GGGGGAGGTTGTCTATTCAGAGGTGGGGAGGTGGAGGAGGGGATAGGGACAAATAAACAAGTACCGAGTCGGACGCATATGCCATAATTAGCCAGCAATGTATTATTACATGCAGAGATGGTAGTCCAATAGCTCCAGAGCTGTATGTCTTGCCTCATATGTTCTTGATGTGCGTGACGGCGATGCTGACATTACTATTAATACAGTCTACAAGTATTACGAGTATTACGGAGTAACTACATGACTATATGTACGTATATATACTAACTAGCAAGAGAGAGAGAAAATATACATCAGCCGTTACAAGTACGAGAATCAGGATTCCTATTTCCAGGCTATTGCCCGACTGCTCGTACTCGGTATAAACGTCTTGAATGCTGACAATGGTTCCGCCACAGCCATCAATCGTCATGCATCAGTTCCAATCACTCTGTACACTGGCTATCATCCCACACACGTCTCGCACGAGCACCTGCACCCGAACCCCGACTCCCGGATGGGAAGAGATGATTAATATAGGTATCAATAGCACCCGGGGTGACCGACCTCACCGATACGGGTACTCGTATACCGTAAAATAGCCTACATGTAAGCCCGATGCGATGCAGTAAGCAGACGTTTGCTTCTAGGACTTGGCAATTGCTTGACAGCTGATCTCCTCGTAGAGAAAAAAAGAGAGAGAGAGAGAGAGAGAGAGAGAGAGAGAGAGAGAGAAGGAGGGCAATAACCAGGCTCTGTGTGAATATCAAACCGAATAAATCGGCAACTGTCCTTCAAGGAACCCCAACCTCATAGAGTCCCACATCAGATGGACTGGCGCTTTGCCTTCTCAAACGCTGGCGAGCGAGCCCCGATCATGGCCTCGGCAATGGGAAATACCTTGCGTTCGATGCTCTGGATGGACGTGTTGAGCCTCCTGACGAGTTCCGAGTTGAGCGTGGCGATGAGCGACGACTCAGCCCGCAGGCAGGCCTGGGGGTCCGCATCGACGACGTCGGCCTGCGTCTTCTTCAGGAGCCAGCGGCGGTGGGTGGCTCGGGGGCCGAAGTCGCGGACCTCGGCGTAGAGGGACCAGCTGCCGAAGCGGAGGATGGTCTCCTTGAAGGACACCTCCTGCTCGAACAGGGTCAGGGGCTGGCCCGCAGCGTCGTGCCGCGGCGTCATGTGGTTCTCGCGCCAGCTCTCGGTCGCGACGCGGCAGAGCATAAACAGCCCGATGAGGTCGTCATCCGGCAGGCTCTGCAGCATGGCCACCTGGTGCCTGCGAGCCGTGACGGCCACCATCTCCTTGACGAGCATCCTGCGGAGGCCCACGCTGTTCCCGGTCAGGGACCGGTACTGGGCCGCGAAGGCGGGTCCACCCTCGGGCAGCACGTCCCTGGCCCGGCGGTTGCGCCAACGATTCACCGGCATGTCCATGTCCACGAAGGCCTTGGCCTCCATGTCGTGCAGTGTGTCGCACATGTACAGCGCCCGCCTGAGCATGGCGCGCAGCCCGGACCTGCCGCTCGCGTCGAGCCGAGGCCACGTGAAATCGCTAGCCGCCGGCCCGGGACGCAGCCGCAGGTATGGCGCGTCCAGGAGCCTCTCCACCTCTATTCTGCGCCACTCGACTACCTTGAGGGAGCCCCAGTCCCCGGCCGAGTGGATCTTGGCGTAGCACGCGAGGCCCTTGCTCGGGCCGGAAAAGGTGAGCTGATATATCAGCAATGCCGATGGTGACGCGCAGCCGGCGGGCAACGGGTAGGAGTAGGACCGGTGCTTTTCTCTGAGTATAGACCTTCGGTGCGTCTCTATGAGCCTTCCTAGATCCTACAACACTGTCAGCAGTAGGACACGTACTCGCGCGCGCACACACACATTGCAAGTCGAGAATTCTGGAGAGATTCTTGCCCACCCTCACTTCCATCAGGGCGCTGATGGTCTGAAGGTCCGAGAGCTCAGCTACCCTCAGGATGAGCTCCGAGCATTGCAAGAATCTCTGCATTGTAGTAAGAAGGCGGCCGTCCGCGCCAGCCAGAGAAATGGCCGAGGGGGTTGTCGTTATCCTAGAGCAAAGAGGAGGCTATAACAGCTGTAAGGAGGAGGAGGAAAATAATATGACGTGTTGGTGCTCTGCGGCATATGCTCCAGGGTCGTATTGGTTCCGTTCTGCCAAAAAAAAAAAAAAAAAAAAAGAGAGAAACAAGATCGTGCAGCCAACAAGGTCGATTGAGATGTTGTTTGACGAGGGTGCCGTGAAAAGAAGCAGGGAGAGCTCTATGGAAATAGGCGTGTTTTATATCCCCCCCCCCCCCCCAAAGTACAGTTCTCGAGGGACCAGCTGTCAGCTGCCAGTGTGAGCAAGACTGCCCCTGGGTGTTACAATCGCTGTCGATGGAAGCAAGGTGCCATCGATTGAACACGATCGAGGCTTCCCACCGTGTCAGGTGGCAATGCGAACTGACAAGTTGCTTGGTGAATCAGTGACTCATAAGCCTACTCTCTAAATGCAAGTGAGGAGGAGAGACGAATTATAGTTGATCAAGTTGGGCTTCCGCGCAGAGTAAGAGTAGCAAGACAGATGGGAGAGGCAGATGAATATATATAGTCCAGAAGAAACGAGAAGTATAAGAAACAAAGTAAAATACAATACCCCATTATTTCGCCTCCCAGAAAGTCTCTGTACCAATCTTTACAAGGTAATCCGTCAACGCCATAAAGAGAAGAAGAAGAAGAGAAAGGTCTCCAGGATGATAGCAGTGGTAGTAGTGGTTTTGTCGACCAAGGCGGTTCCGTTCTTGGATCAGGACCGATCGCCACCACGAGAACTAGGCCGCTTGACCATTTCGATGCGCTTGCTTCCCAGATCGACAATCTTCCCGACGAGCTTGCCTTCCTTGTCGAGGGCCTGGATGTCGTCGGATCCACCGATGCTCACGCCGTTGATCAGGATGTTGGGGACCGTCCTCCGACCGGTCTTCTCCTGCAGGGTGTCCTGGAGGCTCTGGCCCATGGGGTGCTCGTTGAGCTCGACGACGTAGGGCTCCGGGGTGATGGCGTATTTGTTGATGAGGAGCTCCTTGGCTTTCTTCGAGTAGGGGCAGTATGTCTTGGAGAAGATGATGACTACGGGGAGGGGGGGAAAGCCCGGGTTAGCACCGTTTCCGGAACAGGAGAAGCGAGATACCAGGCATGGATATAGGGGAACCAGACGGGTGATACATACTCGGAGACTTCTTGAGGATAGAGTTGAGCTCAGCCTCGGCATCCCTTTCCTCCTCGGTGACGGCATCCTCCTTCCTGCCAGATCCGGAAGAGGAGCCGCTGCCACCACTCTCGACCTTCTTGACCTGACCGTCGGCAGAGCTCCCCACGCCGACGACGTTGCTGGGCGGGTCCGGGCGCAGACCGGCCTTTTCGTTGGCCTTCTCCTTGGCCTTGACCTCTGCGGCCTTGAGGCGGTCGTGGGTTCCGGCGCCGATGCGCGCGTCGTCGAGATCGACATCACCATCCTGGTCGCGGTCGGCAGCCACGAGACCGGGACGGGAAGGGTCTCTGCTGCCGGTGCCGAACCGGGTTTTGTCCTCCATGGCGTTGACGGTCTTGTGGTAGAAATCTTGAATGTTCCGCGTGTCGCGGCCGTCGACGGAGCTGGAGCGGTAGAAGAAGAGGAGGACGAGGAGGGTCAGGGCTGCCAGGATGACGAGCCGCATGCGACGCGGTGATAGCATGGTGGGCGAGGGTATCTTGTCGTAGAGAGAGAGAGAGAGAGAGAGAGAGAGGGCGAAGATCGAAGAAGAAGAAAAAAGAAAGAAAAAAAAGGGGGGGGGGAGGGGGGGAGTCGAGGAGCTAAGAGCGGTTGGTCCTTTTATGTCGATTTCCGCTCCGGGTTCGTTTTTCGATCTGTTGTATAGCTGACCCAGAGACACGGCGTGTGAATCATTGGTGGGAGAAGATAAGCGAGGGGAACCCAAGGCAGGTTGGTTGTGGTGGTTGGTGGATGGTAGATACCACCTGTAGAAGCTGGTGGTGACGGTTCCCCTCCGGAGGTTGATGGCAAAGAGGTTGGAGGGTGAAGGGGGTTATAGTGAATAACTGCCGGGCGTTTACCGGGAGGTGATGCGATCAGAAGATGGCACGGAGGTTGATCTATGCCGTTTGCTCCTAGTGGATGGGCGGGATGCACGGAAATGGGGAATATTGTAAAGATTCGACAAGTACGAGAGACCAAAAGTATCTGTACGAGCAGACGAGTAATAGAGAATCTTTATTAATCAGGTGAATACGACGTATGGGAGCGTCAGTACGACGTTCGAAGTACGCACTGTGACCCCTAGGGGCCGATCGTATAGTAGCAGCAGCCGTGGCTGGACACTGTGTTCACTGTGGACCCTTTTCGTATCCTCTGCAACGTCCATGTCGAAGGTTCCCTTTCCCTCTTGTCCCTCTTTACAGATTACATTTAATACCGTTGAATGCCTATTACAAGTACATGTATATATATCAATACCTGTAGAGGCAATACACGGTCACGCCATGCTACTGCAACAGAGCGTCTCTATCGATTGCGCATATCGATGCATTTTCTCGACCGATCAGTTTACTCCTGTCCTCTTCCAATCAACCTCCTACTTTCTCTCTCCGTTTTCACCACATCTCCATCAACAGATCTATTTACAACGTCATAACCATGAACTTACCTATCACATGAGAGGGGGCCGCCCTATATCACCGCCCTATATCACCATCCTATATCACCACCCCACGGGCCCATAGATTAAATATGAATACGAGCTTGTCTCTCCATCTTTGGCGGTATGTCTTCTATTGAGATAATCTCCCATCCAATCCAGCAACTTCTGGCTTTGTGTGTAAGACGTCTCGTCCCTCCTAGTCCTACTGCTGCTGCTGTGCATATACGCACTTGTACGAGCACTCTTCTCTCCCCCGCGACCACCGCTTCGACAAGAACCCCAGAACCCAACCCTCCATCACGCCAAGAACGCCACCGAGCATCAGCCTCCCAAGCAGATACTCCATCTTATCGTATGCCGTCCCGGAAGATGAGGGGCCCGTCTTACTTGTGCGTCGATAGTACAGGTCTGAATAGACGGCTCTACCCAGAGAATTCTTCCGAAGACGATCATCTTCACCCTGCGTACTTCGTGTCAGCTATACCACAGTACTGGGAGGTAGAATAGAAGAGAAGAGAGAAGATCTGCAACAGTATATCGATTTTGGAAACTCACCTTTTTTTCGCTTTCATCATGCTGCTGCTGCTGCTGCTGCTGCTCTGCCTCTATAGCGATACCGCTGCCCTCCAGCAGCCGCATCCTGTCGTGGTGGAGCAGTTGCATCTTGCTGATGGCGACGTCATTTGTCATGGTGCCATGGTGTTGTTGGAAGACGGGCGCCGCCTGGATGCACATGGCCATGAGAGCAGTCATGGTGAGCCATAATGACAGACTCTTGAATAGCAGAAGGGTCATCTTGCTATTAATTCTACGGACGGCTTGAAATGTTTGTGTCCGGTGCAGTATCTTCTTCTACGAGCTAAGTGCCATACGAGAGGGCTGTTCATGCTTATATAGAGCAAGTTCCCTGAACCGCCCCAGCCTTGAAGACGTATGGATCTGTACTCATATATAGTCATGACATTCCAAATACCGATGACCTCGGGTGTGGCTGGTTTTTTGTTGTCTCGCACCACATCTACACATTCCAACGGGCGGGTCGGGCTTGGAGTGTGCGGCTGCCGGAGGAGGGAGAGGGGCCACCTTTCGAACGCCAGAGATGAGGTGAACCTTTTGCGAGTGTTGAAATAGGGAAACAGCAGCCATTCGAGATATATCGGAGCTCATCCGGCGTAGCTGACGGCGATCCATTCATACGACAAGTTGCCGTACGTCCTTGCAGTGTCTGGTACCGAGGTTGAGGCATTGCAGCATTGAACTTGTGGGCATGATGATCCACATCGCACAGCCCATAGCTTGATACAGTTTCCACCAAGCAATGAGATAGAGAAGAGAAGGATAAGAACGGGATGATGGACCTGAAGAGAAAGAAGAATCATCAGATAGGGAAAGTTTCTCGTTCGTGATGCGAGATAATTAGAGGACAGCGCATCTTGTCGGATGACTAGGGGGGACTGGCCAATCATGTACAACCATTCTCGCCACTTTGGCCTTCTTCTGGCTTCGATGAAATCTGGCTTCATTCAGAGGCAGCTCTGTTATATCAAGTTCCTCTCTATAATACCCATGTAGTTCCTCATTCCTGTCTTCTGTATGGTGCTTGGAAGCGTCGCTCCATCTTCCTATATCATCCCGTCTTCATCAACGAGCATTATACCCAGCGATTCCTTTACACATCATTCTTTCTTGAATTGTTGGACATAGCAACCCACCCACCCCACACAATACCCCAGGGGAGTTGGGAACATCATCATCTTGACGAGAAGAAAAGAACAGAAGAAAGAAGATTCTTCACGAGAAGCACAGACGACACAATGCCCTCTTCACGCAGATCACCATCGCCATCATCCCCCCTCCTCGTGATCCTCCTCATCGCCCTCCTCTGCCTCCTACCAGCCCCAGCCCTCGCGAAGTCACCAGCACCACCACCAGCGGCGTCACCATCGCAGCAAGCCTCAGCAGAGAATGACATCATCTGCCACACCTCCAACCCGGACGAGTGCTACCACCGCATCTTCCGCCCCACAGACGACTTTCAGGTCGTCCACGATGATCAGGAGATCCCCAAGGGCCTGCACGTGCGGCTAAACATGTCGACGGGCAAGCGCGAGGCCAAGATCAACGTGGCGGACGAGGTGCCCGCGGAGCTGGTCGGTCTGGACAAGGATCAGGCCGTCATGGTAATCGACCAGGATCAGGGGAAGCAGGAGCCCCAGGTCCCCCCCGGCGCGCCAGAGTACGAGTCCGTGGGCAAGATCAAGGAGCCCAAGAACGACGCGCAGTTCTTCCACGAGGCGCTAGGCATCGTCAAGGCAGGCGCTGCCAAGAGGGGCGGGGAGGCCGTCGACGTGGCGCTCGAGTCGCTCGAGGACATCTCCCACGACATCTACTACGGCCTCAAGATCACCGAGGACACCGACGCCGTCAAGGCCCTCCTGTGTCTCATGGCCGGCCAGGACGGCTCGGACGGGTCGGGGAAGCCCATGTACGACCGACAGGCCGCGTCCGTCCTGGCCGGCGCGCTGTCCAACAACCCGGCCGCCCTCAGGGAGATGACGGGCGCCTGGCCTCTCCTCATGGGCGACGCGTGCCCCGGTGCCGACGCCCCGCTCGCGAAGATCTTCTACTCGGGCTTCGTGCCCGCTGCCGACAGCGCCGCGCAGGCGGCCGCCAAGGCCAAGGCCAAGGTGTCGGTCGTCAACGGGCTCGTCAAGAGCGATGCTATCCGCCGGGATTTCCTCGAGAGCGGCGGCATGAGGCAGCTCCTCGAGGTGCTGGCCCTGGAGGGAGAGGAGTGGGAGGGTGCGCAGCGCAAGGTCGGTCAGCTCGCCCTCGACACCTTTCTCGATGAGGACATGGGGGCTACGCTGGGACAGTGGCCCACGGTGGACAGACTGGACGACAAGCTGTGCCAGGCCGGCGCCGGGCGACAACCCAACGAGGGCTGCTGGGACTACCATGTCGACCAGATCATGAAGGCCAACGAGGGCAGCAAGGAGCACTGGAGCAGGGATCTCAGTGATAGGTTGGCTGCGGCGAGGAAAAATCAGCCTATCAGGGGGAGTGGTCATGATGAACTATAGATTATTCTATGATGATAGTAATGAACTCTTCATCGAGTCTTCTGCTCTCCCTTGCACCATACAACTCTTTTTCAGATTTATTGCTTTTCCATCCGTCGATTGATTCATTTTCAACTATCCTTTCTTCCCCTTCCTGTAGAATGCTGAGTGAATGGTGTTGTGGCAAGAGTTGCCTGGCTATAGGTGGAAACAGCATGCAACCCGATCCACTTGACCTCAACTTCTCTCCAATTCTCACCTCCCATTCTCATCATTCAACCCTCGACACACACACATACACACACACACACACATACACACACGCACGCACGCACGCACGCATACGTTGCATTAGGCAACTCCTAGGACAATGTCGGCAGCGTCGGCAGCCGTCGAGGTCCGTCCGTCCCCCACCAAGGGACGGGCTCTCGTGTCTACACGCACCGTCGCCCCGGGCGCAACGATCCTGATCACGTCGCCCCCCCTCCTCCTGCCGTCCCTATCCCACGCCACCACAGTATGCACTTACTGCCTGCGCACGGGAGGCACCGGCAGCCTCCGCGCCTGCACGCGCTGCCAGTCAGCGCGGTACTGCGGCGCCGACTGCCAGAGGGCGCACTGGAAGGCCGCTCATTCCAGGGAATGCAAGCCTCTGGCCGAGGTGCACGGGGCTGGGAGGGGGGATCTGCCCACGCCCGTCAGGCTGCTCATGCAGGTCCTTCTCGGGGTCGGGGACACCAGCAGCAAGTCCAAGGCCAAAGGCAAGGGCAGGGAAAAGGTCGAGGGAGGGGCTGAGGGAGAGGAGAGTACAAGGGTCAAGGACGGATTGGCCGACTTGGAGAGCCATGTCGAGGCTTGGAGAAGCGGTGCGCAGTGGCCTGATGTCGAGATGATGGCTACGGCGGCCTGTGCGTATGCTGGGTTGGAGACGGATGATGACAATATCAAGAAAGCGTGTGAAATCATGTGCAAGGTAAGCTCTTCTTCCTCTTTTCTTTTTCTCATCAGAACATTTTCTATCCCTTCTTTCTTTCCTTTCTTTCTTCTTCACTGTCGAGATCCACATCATGCCTAGATGACTGACAGACAGCCCGCAGATTCAAACAAATGCCTTCAACTGGGCAGACCCAGATATGGGCCAGGTAGCCGTCTTCATCGAGCCCACGCTCGCCATGATGAACCACTCGTGCATGCCCAATGCCATGATCCAGCTCATCGGGAGGAACATTGTCCTGCGTGCAGAGACCCATATCCAAGCAGGAGACGAGATTGAGATATCCTACACCGGTAAGCTCACCTACCACAGCCCATCCCTCGTATGTTCCTAACTCTACCTCTCCTCACCTCCCCCCCCCTCCCTCTCCCAGACTACACACGACCTAGGTCGTCGCGCAGGCACGCCTTGGAGACGTATAACTTCCAATGCCGTTGTCTCCGCTGCACCGACGACCTGAACGTGTACCAGGCGTGCGCGGCGTCTCCCAGGACTGACATCAACGGCATGAGCGTGGCTCCGGACGTCGCCAACGTGGCCGCCCACCCCGCCGTGACCAACAAGGCGGGCAGGGCGGACGCGGCGCGTGCCATCTCCGAAGAGGCCACGGCTCAGTGCGACTCCATCGTCAAGTCCAGCACGCCCACGCCGCAGACCTCCATGCTGCGCGCCCGCTACCTGGCCTGCGAGCCCCTCGTCTCGCTGGACTTGTGGGCCGTATCGCCCCTGCCGCAGCTCGTCGTCGACATCGCCGTCCTCCACGCGGACCGGCAGGACTGGCCCGCCGCCCTGGCCACGGCCTGCCTGGCCGCCACGGCCTGCGACGCCTACCGATACAAGCCGCCCTTCAACCCGATCCGCGTCAAGGGCCTTTTCCTCGTGGCCAAGCTTCTCTCCAACACGGCTGCCTCGGGTGCCGCCATCGACTATGACGACGACGCTCACGGCGGTGGCAGCGCCGGCACCAGGGCCGTCGGCGGCCCCGCCGTCGACAGGAAGCTCCGAGAGACGCTGAGATACATCGACCAGGTCTCTCTCTGCCAGATCCTGCTCATCATGGTTCTCCAGCTCGCGCCCCAGGGAGGGCTCGCCCGCCAGTGGGAGCTCACCAGGGATGCCTACGACATGCTCCAGGACATAGGCCAGTTGCCTGGCCGCGAGGGTGAGACCTCCCTCATCAGAACATGGGCGGCCAACCCGCGCGACGCGCAGTCAGAGGCCTTCTTCAAGTTTGCCGTTGTCGATCCCATGAAGGGCCTGTCTGAACTGGGCATGGAGGTGCTCAAAGGCGAATTCGGGAGTGCGTGAGTGTTGTTCACTAGTAATCATACCTAGTAGTAGTGATGAGACAAAACACATACGACAAACGATAAATATAGAGAACTTGGGAGAGGAAGAGAAAAAAACCACAAAGATCAAGACATAATAAATATGATTGGTATTTGTTCCATAGAACAAGGACTGTAACTATAACATTTATCTTCAAGTTGCCGCTCCCTCTTACACCACTGGGAGGCCCGCGCTTATCCGATAAGATAAGACTTGTTATCACCCAAAAAAAGTTGGTTGCAACCTTCAACAGCAAAGAAGCTGGCTAAGCTTTTGGTTCACCAGACAATCTTCCTCTAGATATGCGTTGACCTTTGCGCAACGTGCCAAGCGACCGAATTCGACTTCCCTGTTTCACGGCTGTACGAGAAACGTGGTCATAGCAACCGCTCCCCAACTTCTTGCCTCCCCGCCACCAACTGTCGCCAGTTAGGAGGAGCATGGGCAAAGGTCTGAAGCGAAAAGTCAAGCGCGCAAGACACTCGTCCCTCGGAAGGCTAGCCAGCCGCCTCAAGGTGCAGTCTGGGAACGAGCAGGGGGGAGAGAACCGGTCAACGACGAATTCACGACATTTATCAGAGGACATCATCTCCGACATCATGACAAGCCCGACCAGCCCGACGACGGGCCCCGCTGCAGCATCTGCCGCCGCCGCCAACGACAGCGGTCAGAGCGACGGAAGCGGGAGCCTCAAGCGGGCCAAGACGCACGACGAGGAGAGCGGCGGTGACAACGGCGGAGACTGGGAGGTCATCACGCGACCGAAAAAGAAGGCCAAGAAGCTGCCCAAACCGGGCAAGGGCTACCCGTCCATTACCTTTTCGCCCAACGCCCGGCTCAACTCCAAGATCAACGTCAACAGTCTGCGCGACCTGGTGACGTACATATTCGCCGACGGAGCGGGCCCGCAATGGGTTGCTGTGTCGCACAGGCCCGAGTTTAGGAAGATTGTGTCCATAATGGTTCCTGGGCTCGAGGAGGCTATGTTCAAGGCGGGCGTGGACCTGGCGGCATTCAACAGGATGCGGGAGTACGAGAGGGAGGAGGAGGAGAGGGAGAGGGAGGCTGGCAAGGCACCGGATCACGGCTTCCCATCGTCCCCCGACGAATACTATCCGCGAAAACTGGTCAAGGACGATCTCCCCGATGCGCTGAAGCCGTTCGCCGACATGTTCCCACACCTGTGGCCCGTCAAGACGCCGGGCGATGACAAGCACGGGAAGATGCACTCGCCCATGACGGCTTTTCTGACAGTGCCATCGAGGGATAAGAACAAGAAGGGGTCGGGGGTGAGGCCTGCTTCTGAGCCCCAGGGGTGGAAGAATGAGCGTACGCGCATCACCGAATTCATAGCCACCGTCGACGACTTGGCGGACAATGGATTCGTCATCCACCCGGCTCTCCTGCCAGAGGGAGAGGCGCGGGATGCATTCAAGGCACCCGAGGGATGGGCCGTGACCAAGGTTGACGAGATCGAGGACGGCGACGTGCCCGAGAGTGAGATTCAGCAGGGCAGCATCACGGCGGGTCGCGAGGTGCTAGCTCTCGACTGCGAGATGTGCATGACGGGGGAGAGTGAGTTCTCGCTGACGCGCATCAGCATCGTCAACTGGTCAGGCGAGGTGGTGCTGGATGAGCTGGTCAAGCCGGACAAGCCCATTGTTGATTACGTCACGCGCTTCTCGGGGATCACCGAGGAGATGCTGGCGCCCGTCACGACGACGCTGCGCGACATACAGGAGAAGCTGGTGGAGATACTGCACCCGCGTACGATCCTGGTAGGCCACTCGCTCGAGTCGGACACCAAGGCCATCAAGCTGGCGCACCCGTTCATTGTCGACACATCCATCCTGTTCCCCCACCCGCGCGGCCCGCCGCTGAAGTCATCACTCAAGTGGCTGGCGCAGAAATACCTGTCGCGCGAGATCCAAAAGGCCGGGGCCAGCGGCCACAACAGCATCGAGGACGCCAAGACGTGCCTCGACCTGGTCAAGCAGAAGTGCGAGAAGGGAAAGCTGTGGGGCACGTCAGACTCACAGGGCGAGAACATCTTCCGCCGCCTGGCCCGGGCGGGCACGGCCTACAAGGCCCAGGGCGGGGCCGCGGCCGTCGGCGGCCTGGAGGTCGGCAAGACGAGCGCGGCCGTCGACTGGGGCCAGCCGTCCAAGGGAGCCGGCGCGGGAGCCACGTACCAGCTCGGATGCAAGGACGACGAGGAGGTGACGGCCAACGTCATCCGCGCCGTCAACGGGGACCCGGACGGGCTCGAGATCCGTGGTGGCGGCGTCGACTTTGTGTGGGCGCGCATGCGCGAGCTCGAGGCCCTCCAGGGGTGGTGGAACAAGAATCGCGTCGACGCCGCCAGCAACGGCAGCAGCGACGGCGGACCGCAGGCGAGGGCGCCCGAGCCGGACGGGGACTCGCTCGACAGAGCCGTAGCCAGGCTCTCGGGTCGTCTGAAGCGCATACACGAGTCCCTACCGCCCTGCACGGCCTTTATCGTATACAGCGGCTCTGGAGACCCTCGTGAGATGGCCCGCCTGCAGCAGATGCAGTCCCAGTGGCGAAAGGAGTACAACACCCCCGGCAAGAAGTGGGACGAGCTGAGCGTCAAGTGGACCGATGCCGAGGAGCAAGCACTCAAGAGGGCGGCAAAGAAGGCCAGGGCTGGCCTGGGATTTGTCGGCGTCAAGTAGAGAGGTACATGTAGATTCTTCATGGCGGCCCTCTGGTGGCAGGAACAATCTAACCACAACATGATATAAAATTGGGGGGAGGAGAGGGGGGAACCGAGATCCTGCCAAGTTGATTATTGTTTTTGGCCAACGGATCTTCCTCGTGCGGTATGTGCTGGAATTTACACTTGAAGGATTTGCCTGTCCCATGTTGATAGACGATTCCTACATTCCATCTCTACAAGAGAACTCGTCCAACGAACCGCGGAGCCCTGTCGATCTGGAGAGCGGCAACTGGATAAGCGCCCCTTCTTTGCATGCAGATTGTCCTGACACGACGACCCATCCTCGATACCGATGCATCTCCTCCCCCCATCATCACCATCCTGCTGCTACCTCGCACACCATCTCTGGTCAACGTGTTGCCTGCCATCATGATCATCATCGCGTCCCTATCTCTAGGCAAGAGGCCAGTCGCTCAGTCTAATCGGACACGCTTGGTCAACCCTTCTTGTTTCTGTACGTGCCTTTTGCACTTCTCACCAGCGAGCGGGATAGGCATGATGTAGAAACAATGAAGGGCTCGATCCTGGTAGCTCCTGCCTCTTTTCTTCTTCTCTTTCTTCTTCTTCTTCTTCATCCTCCCAGATTCCAGATGATTGCAGAACAACCTATCAAGAAGGCCGACGTAGCCTTGGCACAAAAGCGAGGTGGCCAAGCTCGATAGGTATTGAAGCATCATATCCTCGGACCTTGGCATGCACAGAGTGCACGTATCTACGTGCTGACATATCCAGGTTCTGCTGCTGCTCTTGTGTTTTCCAATCATAAACGATGGCCGCCTTCGAATCGTCATGGCAAAATCCGGGGGTAGTGGATCAAGTCGGTTTTGACGAACATGCCAGCTCTGAGGATCCGCAACGCTTCGAAGGCACTCGCGTTTAGTTCCTTGACCTGGTACAGAGTTGGAGTCAGGATTGCGGCGGCAAGGATTGATTCTGGCTGAACGGGATAACCGGGGAACTGGCAAGCCAACCGTGGCTAGGTCGATAGTCCGGAGCTTCACCAAGCATGGGACCCCCTCCTTCGAGAGAGGAGAAGGTGACGGTAGCCGTGAAGCTCTCCTATTCCCTACATTGGGCAGCTCAGCTCGCCCGCCGGCTGCCGGACTTTGGACCAGGATGCTCGGACCCAAATCGACGCAGATCCTACATTCCACAACAGAGCTCCGGGAGAGCAGTTGGACAAGCTTGTCATCAAACCTATAAGAAAGCTAAGCTAACCAAGGCATCACTGCCGTTGAATACTGTGGCTGTCATTGATTCACTCGATGCGAGCGATGGGCCGATTAAGACCCGGCACATGCTGCATCTCCTGTCCCAGACGAACCAATGCCTTTGACTTTTCTACCTCGGAATACATTCGTACATTCGTCCTCGCTTTCCTTTGCCCCAAAACAGAACCTATCCATATTGGCCTCGAGCCGGAACGCAATCAGCATCAACTCAAGGGACTGCGAAACGGGGTGTGTGGCTAAGATGAGAGGCCCTACGATGGCACCTTGGAGCAAATCCAGAAGGAATGCAGAAACGCAATACAGCTGACGTCGATATATACCTTGTCTACATCTTTGATGCATTTTTTGTGTGAATGAATTCGTCAATGCAGTGCAGCTGATGCAGTCAATGCAGACGACGTAGTCAATGTAGTCAACGCAGTACGCAGTCAACGCGGGCGGACGTGGTGCGGATAGCATCAACAATGGCTTCTGCTTTGGACTCGCGAGGGGGGCCCATCTTTCTTTCATCAACATCCTCTCCATCGTATGTCTGTGAATCTGAGAACAGAACAATGCAGCCAGCCGTTTTGGGGGGGGGGTCTTGTTTTTTGGCGAGAGACTTTGAAGATTGCCGACCGTATAGAGTGTCTCGATTCACTCCCACCGTGGTCCGTTCTCCTTGTTTGCTCAACTCCATCTTTCTGTATACACATTGTACATATTGATATCAAGTTCCAACCGTCTTGCGTGCGCTTGAGAAGAGTGGCAGCATCCCTATCTCGTCACCTACCTAGATACCTAACCGCCCGCTCATCCGGGTCAGGTCACTCCCGTAAGCGGCGTCACGGGAAGTGAAGGACTGAATGCAAGGCGGCGATGGGTCTTTCATGGTGTAGCAGGCCGTTCCGCGACGCAGTGATGCAGTTCGACCTGAAGTCACACGCTTTGGAGTGTCTGCACATACACACACACACACACACACACACACATATATATATATAAGAGTGTAAGAGGCGGTCTCCCTTTATGATGGTTATACCGACTGCATCCCATCCTCATCCTCGCCTGAGCCGGGAAAGGAAAAAGAAAAAGAGAGAGAGAGATAGCACAGTCACACAGTCACTCTACCCGGAATCATCATGCCCCCGACTTTCTCCCGGTGGGAGGTCTGGGTGGCTATTAGCCAGGGGGAACCCGTGAACCTTCGCATGTATAGGCACACGTCGATCTGGTACGTGGACAGGCAGACGGACCAGGCTTTCTTCTTCCACGCTGTCCGTCGGATGGGTTTCCTCCGGATCGAGATGGTGGAGGGCTTTGACATCACGTACCTGCAGAGCATAGAAGACAAGTTCCAGGTCGGGACCACCGTAGTCCGCAAGAGACGTGGCGACATCTCCTCCCTCATGGGCCTAGTCGACGTGCCGCTGGCCTCCCCAGGCTTCGACTCTTACTCGTGGGTAAAGTCGGCCCTGGGGGTGCTGGCTGACAGAGGCATCATATACCGAGAGCAACGGGACACGAGCTGGAGGGTGATGGAGGGAATCATCACACGAGGCGAGAATGAGGTTGTCGAGATGAGGAGGAGGAAATTATACCAGGGAGTAGGAGAAGGAGAAGGATAATCAGTAGTTCAAGAGGCCAGTGTATCAAAGCACTTGGATCCGTCGAAGCTGACCCGAGGTCCTTGCCCGTGGAGACCCCATCGTCGTCCTCACAGGACTACCCCGTTCCTCGGTTGACTTTCTCGTCGTCACGGGAGACATGTCCTCATCTGATTCAGTCTCAGGAGCCCATTTAAACTAGATACTTTTTTTCCATTATGCGGCGTTTGCTGGTGTTTATACAAGCAGATACCAATTTTATGTCCTCTTTAATCCTACCTTGAGCTATTCTCAAGGAAATTAATAAGAGAGAAAGAAGAAACTTTTTTCAAAAAAATAAAAAATAAAAGAGGAACAAACTACGCCGTCGCTGTATGACAAAAAAAAAAGATCCAAAAAAAGGAGTGAAAGACAAGAAAAGACGAGATGAAGAAGAGGAGGGGGGAGAGTATGGAAGACCAAAAATGGCATAAGAAAAGCCCCCATGTTAAAAAATACAGACGCCAATAACACCGAATCATTCCGTATCTATCCACTCAATCAGACAGGAAGAAAATGTGAGAAATTGCGAGAGGGAAAGAGAGAGAAAACATGAGAAGAAGAAGGAAAAGAGAAGGATGATGAATTATAACAATACAATGCGGTATACCGAGAGCAATCACCTCCCCCGATCAATCACCTCTGCGGAGCTAGACAGTATATCCACGTCGGAGAACGCCGGGTCCACCCTAGCCGGGTTCCTCTGCGAGACGACGCCGAAGCTGACGGGTCTGTCGCTCCTGGAGCTGGGCAGCCTCGACAGGGGGCGGAAGTCCTCGTCGTCGTCGTCGTCGTCGTCGTCGCCGCAGCGGGACGAGCCGGCGTTGGCGGAGCGCTGAGATCCGTGGTGCTCAAAGGGTAGGCGGGTCTGGTTCTGGCCCGCGGTCAGCGGTCGGGCGGGTGGTGCTGCTTCGGCTGCGGCGGCCGGGACGGGGACGGGGGCGGGGACGCTCGGATGGTCCATCAGTGCCGAGTGCCTCTTTGAGCTCTTCCGCGGGATCTCGGGACCCGAGGCCGGCGAGGCCGGCATCTGCTCGTCTGGGTCGTCCGAGTCGGATATGGAGATGGGACTGACGGGGTCGCGTAGCGGGTCGTCGTCGTCGTGGCGGTGGTGGTGGTGGTGGTGGTGGCTGACCGGGCTGACCGGGTCGTCCGAGTCGTCGTCGCCGGGACGGGGTCTTCCGTCGTCCGTCAGCAGACCGTCTGGCTTGCGCTGCCGTGATGCGGCTGCCGGGTTGTTGTTGCTGTTGCTGCCGGGCCGGGACCGGGACCGGGACTGGGACTGGGACTGGGCTTTGGAGTGGGAGCGGGAGCGCTGCTGCTGGGCCACCGCGCGGTCGTCGCCGCCGCGGTCGTCGTCGTCATCCGACTCGATGGGTCCGTTGCGCAGGACGCCCATGGCCACGGGGATACCCTCGGGGGGGGTCTCGTCGCCGAAGCCGCCGTTGCGTGCCATGTCCGGGGGCATGCGGGCGCTGCGCACGACCTCGAATCCCTTGCCCTTCTCCTTGGTCTTCCCGCCGAATATGCTGCGGAACCAGACCGATGCCGTGGCCACGGGGCCGGTAGGGTCGGCCGGCCCGGTGCCCAGCTTGCGGCCCGGTCCGTCCGAGTTGAGGGCGGGTCCGCGCACGCCGTAGTAGAAGTCCACCTCGCGTGTCGAGTAGTCGGGTCGGTTGGGCGGGAGTATGTCCGGGTTGGCGGCCGGCGCGGGCGTGGCGCCCCGGGAGATGTCGCCCGGCAGATCCGCGGCGTCACCCGGCGCGCTCAGACGCTTCGAGTCCGTGGCGCCGGCCGAGGCGGCGCCGGCGGTGGTGGCGCCGGCGGCAGCCCCGGCAGCCCCGGCAGCCGCACCCGCGGCGGCTGCGGCGCTGGCGGGGTCCCCGTGCCCGCAGTCGTCCGGCTGCTGGGAGCCGGGGAGGGTGTCCCTGCGCCGGCGGGGGGGCCTGTAGTAGGGGTCCGAGGCCTCGGGGACGGGGGGCGGGTTCTGCGTCCTCGAGACCGCGGCGGACGTGAGGAAGGAGAAGGTGCTCGTGCCGCCCGGGGTGCCGGGGGCGTAGGAGCTCGCGCTGTCGACCGGTCGCTGGCCCGGGTGGCTCACGTACATGTCGGGGCTGTCGAGGCCCGAGCCGGTCCTCCGGTGGGCGGCCGGGCCCAGGAGGATGGCCCCGAGGCTGGCGCCGGAGGAGCTCCTCAGGCGGCCGCCGGGCATGGAGTAGCCCGTCTTGGCCCCGTCGTCGACGTCGAGCATGGCGGCGGTGGACAGCTGGCTGGCCCGGGAGGGGCCGTCGCGGGGGGTGGCGCGGCGCGAGAGCTGGCGCATGCCGAAGATCTTGGACAGGCCGCCCCTGGTGAGGCCGCGGTCGTCGTCGCCGCCGGCGCCCAGCATGAGGGCGACGACCTCGACGATGGTCTGCAGGGCGTTGACGAAGAAGCCGAGGGTGAGGACGACGGCGTGCAGGACGAGGATGGCGTAGCCGATCCAGCCCTTGGGGCCGTCGGTGACGCCGAGCGAGGGGGCAAAGGTCACCATGAGCATGAGGGAGACGAAGCGCAGGGCGGAGAAGACGGTGTGGTAGGCGTTCATCGAGGTGGGGCGGCCAAAGGGGCGGAAGGCGTGGATGGTCAGGGTCTGGATGATCTCGCAGATGGCCAGCAGGACGACCTGGGCGATGCCGCTGGCCTGGACGGCGCCGATGGCGATGCCGCGCACGAAGGTGAGGACGACGGGGATCAGGGCGAAGGCGGCCGAGTGGTCCTCGTAGGTGTTGTAGAGCGGGCCGTAGCGCAGAACGATGGGCAGGTCGTCGAACAGGACCGACTTGGGCCTGGTCGTGATGATGAGCCGCAGCGACCAGGCGGTGAAGACGAGCAGGGCGACGATGGTGACGACGGCCAGGGCGACGGCGAAGGAGGGCGACTCGTCGGCGACGACGAGCTGGAAGGTGGACAGGGAGATGATGGGCAGGAGGAAGTAGTTGTAGACGATGCGGATGACGTTGCCGACCGAGAACGGCAGGTTCTTGGCGCGCAGGTCCTCCTCGGGCGTGCTGGACAGGAAGCGGAGGAGCCACTGGACGAGGAAGCCGGCCTGGGCGAGGACGGTGGCGGCCAGGACGATGACGCACAGCCAGACCATCATGCCGGCCCAGACGTCGGCGGGCTCGGCCATGCCGGCCAGCTGGGCCAGCCTGGCCATGCCGTTGCGGGCCTCGGTCACGTAGACGCCGTCGACGACGGGCTCCCACGGGTCGGCGTGCTTGACGAAGCTCTGGGCGAACATGAGGGCGGCCCAGGAGGCGCGGCTGACGATGGGCTGGTAGAAGCCCGGGTAGCTCAGGCCCAGGCCGCCGGTCAGGACGACGAACTGGATGTACTGGAGGCAGTCGCCGAAGCCCGGGGTGACGAGCCTGAGCAGGTCGGCGTCGCGGCCGTAGTTGGAGGTCCAGTGGAAGACGTTCGTGCTGCCCCAGGGGCTGTAGACGGCGGCGAAGACGACGGCGACGCCGGTCAGGGCTAGGACGAGCAGCGGCAGGAAGCGGACGAGCTGGGCCAGCCTCCCGAGGTCCGGGGTGATGGAGGCGGAGATGCAGCCGATGTCGGTGGCGGCCCTGTCGCCCCAGATGACGATCAGGGTCGGGTTGAAGGTGGAGAAGGCGTACGAGGAGTAGAAGTCGTGGCTCAGGTTGAAGGAGGGAAGGCCATATGGTTCCTGGCTGCCATCATCTCATCCGGGTTAGTACTCGTCTGTCTTGCCGTCGGCTCCGTGACCTCTCCCCCCTCCCCTCCCGTGGGAGAGGAGAGAGAGGGGGGGAGAGAGGGGGAGAGAGGGGGAGAGAGGGAGGGGGAGAGAGAATGAAGAAGAAGGGGGGGAGGGGGGGGTTGGTTATCCTTACACATCCGGGCTAAAGACTGGACTGAGCGGGCAGGTATAGTTGACCAAGGCCTCCGTGCAGAAGTCGACGGCCTGACTCCAGGGCTGGTAGGTGAGGATGTCGACCTTGCGATAGAGGGTGGTGGCCTTGGCATCGGCGGCGTCGGGGTCCGGCGAGCGGACGATCTTGCCCTCGGTCTCGTTGTCGTCCTGCCAGTAGGGGCTGTTGGCGGCGGGGAGGGTGGTATCGCTGACGGAGCCGCTCACGTTGCCCCAGATGGTGAGGCGGAGGTTATGGCTGTCGGTCTCGGTGTCGAAGACGGCGTCGGCGTACAGGGGCTCCCACTGCAGCGGACGGGGTTTGTTGAACCTGTACTCGGCCGACAGGCAGTTGGTGAAGGGGATCTGGACGGCGGCAACGGTCGGGGTGAGGAGGGCGAGGAGGAGGGCGAGGAGGAGGAGAGGCACGGTGGTGGTGCTGGTGCTGGTGGTGGTCGGGATGGCGATACCATTTGGCGGTCGTCGTTGTCGTTGTCGCCGTCGCGGCCCTCTGCTGCCGCTGGTGCCGCTGCTGTGTTGACAGCCGATGAAGGCATCGGCGGCTGAGCCTTCCAGCATCGTGATTGTCATGTCGCTGTTGCTGCTGCTGCTGCCGTCGTCGTCGTCGTCGTCGTCGTCGTCAACATGTGTGGGTAGCTCGATGGGATTCGACAGAGATACTCTGGCGGTTGGGGACGCGATGTTGTCGTCATCACAGGCAGGGGGAGCCAGCGAAGCAGGCAGATAGGATGATCGAAGGCGCATCTGCTCGCCTTTCTCTCTTCTCCTCTTCTTCTCTTGATCTAGAAAGAAAGAAAAAAAGAGCAGCGGGATTCCTTTCTTTTTTTTTCTTCTTCCTTCTCAGAACAGTCCAAGCATCCTGAAGGGTGGATGGAGGGTTAAGTTCTTTGAGAGGTGAGCGCGCGCGCGTGTGTGTGTGTGTGTGTGTATGATTGTATCTTCTATGATTGTTCTTCAAGAATTCTTCCCAAAGCGTGTCATCCAAAAAAAAATAAAAATAAAAAACTAAAAAAAAGAAAGAGTCCCTCTCCCCCGTTTATGATAGAATGGTATTAAAGCGCAGGCAAGTCTGTCAGATACGAAGGATGGACGCGGGACCCCTGTACTGTAGTGGAGATGGGATCGTCGGGGACGACTGTCGGTGGTGTGTGTGTGTGTGTGTGTGTGTGTGTTGTCTGTTGTGCGTGTGTGTTATTATTAGAGATTGTATTACAAGAAGGAATGGAAATTAAACAAGTTTTAGAGAAGAACCACAATGGAAAGAAGAGAAGAAATGGTGGGAGGGGAGGAAGGAGAAGGAAAGAAAAGAAGAGAGAGGAAGAAAAAAAGAGAAGAAGAAAAGATGCGCGCGGTTCGGTCGGTTGGTGGGTGGTTGGTGGTGGTGGTGGTGGTGGTGGTGGTGGCGGGGAAGAGGAACCAAGCCATCGGCAGAGCGCAGAAGGAGAAGAGAGAGGGACAGGGAGAGGGAGAGAAAGGGGCGGAGCTCATCAGCTTGGACTGAATCGTCGGTTTCCGGGTACCAAAGCTGGGCCAGCTCAACGCTTGGCAAGTTGAGATGCTGGTGGTATAAAGGTATTTCAAGACCTACGGCAGCTATACATGTAATGTACGGATTACTCTGTACAGCTACCGACTTAGCCACGTCGTATGGGCCGCAGCCCACGGCCCATGGGATGGGGACAGAATAAGAAACACGCGCTACCCACACGTACAGAGGGGAGGGAGCGCAAGGGATACGGGGGGAGCGCGGGCGCGCCATGGATGGATGGCTGGCTCTGACACCTCTCCATCTCTAGCCTTGATGGTGATGAGGGACCAGGCTTGTTGCCAGGCGCCGAGACGACGACGAAGACGAAGGCGACGACGGCGACGGCGTCAATCCCACGGCGTCAATCCTGGGGGACATATGCTGATGCTCCCTCCGTAATGGAGATCCGATACCGAGTACGGCTCAGAGGATGGAAGACAGATCACTCCGTACGGAGTTGCATCATATTACTGCACGCACGTATTGCCATCCATACTCGTACGAGCACTCACTATCATCACTACACCACCATCACTACGAACACCACTATCACGACGGCTGCTATTAATACTTGCTGCTACCGCTACTGCTACCGCTACTGCTGCCACTACCACTGCCACTGCCACTACCACTACCACTACCACCACTACCCGCTATCTGTACTGCTGCTGCCACCACTACTCCGCTGCTGCTGCTGCTGCTGCTGCCACTACTCCGCTGCTGCTGCTGCTGCTGCTGCCAACTAATATTACTACTACTATTAATACTACCACCACCAATTAGCATTACGTAGTTTTTGTCGCACCTGTCATACTCGTACGGAGTACATGTATATATCATCACATGTATCATGTACTCCCACCACTTCCCAGCTCCTTCCCTTGTCAACCAGAAACTCAGGCTTCAACACGCACCCCCCCCCCCCCCCGATGCTGTCCCGAGTCCCACTGCCCCTGGGCGGATCCCCCTTATAGGCCATGGAGTGAGAGGCTGAGACGGTTGACGGCTCGGGGACATGCACAGAGACGCTGCTGCGCCACTGTGGGCTTGTTGTATTGTTATACGGATAGGCCGTCTAATTGCATGGCTGCATCTTTCCCTGTCGTGATACAGATATACACGTATGCGAACATCCTCATAGCTACATAGAACTACCCCCTACGTAGCTGTATCGGTATCGTTAGCTGATACTACCCATCACGTGAATAGACTCCCCTCCCCCCTTACCCTATCAATCTATAATCGAGACTATACTATATATATATATGTTGGGAAAAGAAAAGAAGAAGAAGAAGGAGAAAAGAAAGAAGGGGGGGGAAAGAAAAAAGGGAAGGAAAGGAGAAGAAAAAAAAAAAGGCTGGTCGGTGGCACAACGCCGCTTATCTTACAATTACACACACACCTGTATACCATGACGTGTATGTAGACGATTCGACAGTCATGTCATCGGGCAGAATGTCAATGCCATTGTTGATACGGACGGTGCCCATCGGTTCGGTCAGCCTTTTCTAACAACTTACCGAGTAGTAATGCTACTAGCAAAAATCTAAAGGGATGCGATGCAGGAAATACATGAAGTCGCCGTCGTGTATGCGCCGTCACCGCGATTGTACTGATCATCACCACTCTATCACCCCGTTTGACAAGGTCCCCCCCTCTCCCCCTCCTCGTCCTCGTCCTCGTCCTTCTTCTTTTACCTCAGCCGCTGGCATGATGCTGCGATGCAAATCTCGAATGTAAGCAGATTAGAACAAGAATGAAAATAGAAGAGAAGAGAAGAGAAGAGAAGAGAAGGGAAAAGATGAGAAGAGAAGAGGAGAGGAGACAGAACATCTACGGTGCCGTAATATGTTCCCCACACTTGGCCCGTTCATATGTAGCAAGACGCACCTCTTCTGAAACTCTCACATCTCTCTCTCTCTCTCTCTCACGCACACATCACATTGACCTTCGTCATTCCATCCGTACATGTCATCTTCTTCCCCCCTTGGCCTGCTTCTGAAGCCTATAGTCGGCACGCGCATCTTGGCCGTCCTGCGTCTCTGCAGCCCACCCGTCAATCACATCCCTCAACCGCCTCTCCACCTGGGAGGCGTCTCTCATCGTTCTGAATGAAAGCGGGCCCGGTCGGCTTGCATCGCTCTCGTCCGTAGTCTCTTCCTCCTCGTGAATCGTATCCGTCATCCTCCTGGCTACGTCATCCACCGATACGTCCAACGTCGTCGTGAGCAGGCTTGTACCTGCTCCGCCGTCGAGCGGCGTCTCCAGCGGAAGTTTCCTCGAGTGCAGCCTCTGGCCCATCCCCTGCTTCCTCAATCTCTCATGTCTGACATAGTACTGCCTGGGATCCCCAGAATCACCCGTGCTGGCTTCTGAACTCCTTCGCTCCTGTAGCCCGCCATCGTCGGCGTCCCCCTTTTTCAGCTCGCCGTGTGATCTTTCCCGCTCCGATGCCCTGCTTGGCTCGCGCTCTGGGCTGGGCGGTCGGCTTCGCATCAGCAGTGTCTGCAAGGCGTGGGACCACTGCGGGCCACCTTGAGGCACACCTTGCATCTTGGGGCTTGACTGGGCGCTTCCCCAGGTCCGAGCCTGGTCGCTGCCTCCGTCAGTTGGATGTACGAGTCTGGCATGATCCAGCTGCGGCACCGCCAGCGCATCGTAAGGACTGATCTCGACGTCGTCGTCGTCGTCGTCCGGCAGCAGCCCATCTGATCCTGTTCCTCTCCTCCTTCTCAATCGCCCCGTTGCAATCGTCCGAATTCCCGGCTTGGTATCCGAGTCGAGAAGCCGTGGCTTGAGGGACACCCGATTCGTCGGCTCCAAGTCCACGCGAGCACCCCTTCCGGGGTCACCAGTGCCGTTTCGTATATCGGTGCGGCCGTTCCCACCGTGCGCCCTCGGCAGCGGCGGCGTGAACGGGGCCCGTATCCCCATCGGTCTCCGTCGGTCTGACTGGGGAGGCGTCTGCAGCGGAAGCGGACGTGGCGTCTCGGGGACAGCTTCGAAGTCAAGCCCTAGGTGGCCGATTTCCATGGGGTTTCGGGCAGGTGAACTTTCCCCGGAGTAGACGGACTCGCTGCGTTCATCTTGGCCGTTCCGGCCTCTTCTCCGCCCTGCTCTCCGTGGAACTTGAGAGGTGCTTGGAGAGGCGTGGCGTTGGCTGTCCTGGAGCCTCCTCTGTCCTGCTCTTGATGAAGGTCTCTCGGAGGGGCTGTGTCGGTTGCTGTTCGCTAGGCCCGATACGCTACCTCTGACTTCAGAGGCGTCAACCCCCTGGTTGAGGACGGATTCCCGAGTGGGACTGAGCGGGTTCATACCAGCCTTCCGGTCAAGGTCACTACCAGTCAGGCCTCCCCGCCACGCCCGCTTGCTTTCCGGCGCTGCAGTCTCGTCGGTGGCGATCTGTATGTCCGGTGGGTCTGTAGCAGGGAAGAATTTGCGGCTATCGTCCTCCTCTGCAGCAGGCCTCTCCGTAGTCGGTGTCGGGTGAATTTCAGGGATGCGAACGGGTATCGTATCGGCGGTGCCGTCCTCGTCGGTCCTGCTGCTGAGGTTGCGGGCCATGTTGACCCTTACCCTTGTACGCATGTCTGCGGAGCGGTAAGACATGTTCTCTTCGACGGTCGACTCAGCGTCGGGGTCGGCGTTTCTGCCTCCTCCGTTGCGGGGAGTAGGGGCATGAGCTGGAGCCTGCGGTCCGGTGGGCTTCCTGTCAGCCCCCTTCTCTCTGCGGTGTGCATGGGTGGCATGCTGTAGTCCGGCAGGCTCATCAAGTTGAGGGATATCTGACAGGCTGTCCGGAAATTCGTCGTCAGAGTCATCGTTCGGAGTAGGCTCTGCGGAGCCGTCTCCGGAGAGAAGACCTGGCGGTTCATCGTCCCTCACACCACAATCATCACGCTGGCCGGGCTTCTGTTCTTGGCCATGGCTCTCTTCTGCATCATTGCGGTGGGCATACACCCGACTGCACAGCTCCTCGAAGCAGTCAAGAACGCTCTTCTCATCAGAAAACAGAACCTCATCCTTGAGTGGGGTGATGTTGGGATCGTACGTCCCAGCTGGACACATGATGCTCAAGCACATGAGCGGGTTCGATATCGGCCTTGACTGCCCACGGGCCCTGCTCAGCCGCGTCCTGAACACAGAGGCAATCTTCTTCCCCGTCCCCCGGGAGGCAGTGATAGGTCTCCCATCGACGGATATATAGCATCCCTTTCCCCTGACAACGTCTGCGTCGCAGTCTGCCAGCGGGCACAGGCACTCCATCGTGATCGTCTCTCCTGTCCCCCGCTCTGCGGCCCACGGAGGAAGTAGTGTCGACTCGGCCGAGGCAGTCTGCGACGCCAGCGCGTTGCCAAACGTCTTCAAGACTACATCGCGCATGGAGCCCCACGACACAGGCGCGTATGCCCACGAGGGCGCATGTTCGCCGACCACCTTGAGCGAGAACCTGATGTGCGGCCTAGCCAGCGCATACGCAACCATGAGGTCTCTCACGGCAGCTAGCGTCTTCCGACTGCCCTTGACAGAATGCCCTCTCCGGACGGGGATCCTCCCAAACAGATCCTCCACGACAACTGTGGTCCCCCGGGGCGCTGAGATGGGCCTCCTGCTCTCCGTCCCGCCCACCGACGGTCTCACCCTGATGCGTGTGGCCACGGGCTCCCCGTTGGTCCTCGTGATGATGGTCAACGGGTGACCGGCAACACAGTTGATGCTCGCGAGGGCGTCGCCCCGGAATCCCAGGGTGCCGCGGCCGCGACCGGCCCTCGTCAGCTCGTCGATGCTGCGCAGCTTGCTCGTGTGGCTCCGACGAGCTACAGAGTCCAAATCCTGCGTGGCGATGCCGTGTCCGTTGTCGCGGACCTGGATCCTGTCGACCGTGTTGGCGGCCATGAGGACCTCGACGGCCGTGGCATCGGCATCGACGGCATTTTCAATCAGCTCCTTTACCAGTGAGGTGGGGGTGGATATGGCTACTGAGGAGCCGAGGAGGCGGACAGTCTCTGACGAGAGGGCGGAGATGGGCATTCTGGCATTATTCTCTTTGCTAATAGCTTGTAATACATGTAAGTGCTGCGTGCGTCACGTTCAGGACAGATACTGAAGTCATTGACGAGGGCTGAAAACGATCAATGTAAATGTAAATGTGTGTGTGCGTATGCGTGTGTCTGCCTCATAGTTTACTATCAACTCTTTTCATCTTCTTCTCCCCCTCTTGTGTGTGTGTGTGTGTGTGTGTGCGTGTGCGTGTGCGTGTGTACATCACAACGGAAGGTGCGACACACAAGGAAGGAGCAATGCAGTAAGGAGCAATGCAGTAAGAGGTGGTATGGTAAGGTGATGTGATGTGGGGTTTCAGTCGCACGAGACAAACCCCGCCGCCGCACTCGGAATCGCACTCCAGGAACCCTTTACCCCACCATTGCATTATGCCTACAGTAATAGAAACGTGATTCCTTCCCTTTTCCCATCGCAAACTTCTGTTCTTCTCTTCTCTCCTTCCTCCTCCTCCATATTCCTCCATATTCACCTCCCAACCCCAACTCAATAACGACAGAATCGCTCCCTCCCCCCCCCCACCCCCCAGTCAATTCACCATGTCTCTCAAGGGCCCTACCCCCCAGCAGCACGACGGCACAGGTCTACGCGTAGCCATCGTCCACGCGCGGTGGAACTCGACCGTCATAGAGCCTCTCGTGTCCGGGGCAAAGGCCAAGCTCCTGTCCGCCGGCGTCAGGGAGTCCAATATCGTCGTTCAATCCTGTCCTGGATCGTGGGAACTCCCCACAGCTGTTCAACGGTTCGTTTCTCTCTCCCTCGGGCCCCATTCAACTCATGCTCTGTCTCTCTCTCTCTCTTCTCTCTCTCTCTCTTCTCTCTCTCTCTTCTCTCTCTCTTCTTTCTCTCTTCTCTCTCTCTCTTCTCTCTCTCTTCTTTCTCTCTTCTCTCTCTCTCTCTCTCTCAGTGTGTGTGTGTGTGTGTGTCATAGATACTAACATATGGTACAGCCTCATCTCGGCGTCCAACATCCAATCCAACGCATCTGGAACCCCCTCGGCCACCGACCTGCTCGCCTCCTCGACCACGGACCTGACGGCAACGGCCGACAGCACCGGTAAATTCGACGCCGTCATCGCCGTCGGCGTCCTCATCAAGGGCGAGACCATGCACTTTGAGTACATCTCCGAGGCTGCCGTCCACGGCCTCATGCGCGTCCAGCTCGACACGGGCGTCCCCGTCATCCTCGGCATCCTCACCGTCTTGACCGAGGAGCAGGCCAAGGCCCGTGCCGGCATCGACGGCAAGGGTCACAACCACGGTGAGGACTGGGGCTCCGCCGCCGTGGAGATGGGTGTCAAGAGACAGGAGTGGGCTGCCGGTAAGATTGAGGGTTGACCAGTAGGAGATCGAGCAAGAGAGATATAGCAAAAGCAAGTAGAGAAACATGAGAGAATCACACACTCAGTCCACGTTGCTCACCTGCAGCTGAACCTGTCCGTTGTTGATATTCGTATAAGCCACGCGTTGCCTGCACTCCAAACACTTTGGGACTTCTCACCGGGATATGAAGATGGATATCCATATTATCTCATAGAAATTATAGTCTATCATTGTTCAGTTGCCTGCTATTCCTCCATAATGTTCAGATATTTCTCTTTCTTATCTTATCCTCCCATCTTTTCCTTCACCATTTACACACACACAAGAGAGAGAGAGAGAGAGAAACAATATGCCAAACGTAGAAACAAAAACAGCCCAAAATGCACAGAATACCCCTGGTTTCGGTGTAGGTTCTTTTCAAAGAAAGAAGTGTATATATGAGAGAGAGAAAAAAAAGAAGCAACTTTGTAACTGCGAAAACGACGACCCAAGTCATGACCGAATAACCAATGAAACCCCCAACATGAAAAGGAAAAAAATGGTAAAGACAGAAAAGAATGGTTGAAAGAGATGAGAATGGGAAAAACAATGAATAAGGAGGGGAAATGGACAGGTGATTATATAGACCAGAAATGTTGCATCAGAATTAGGGACTGCCCTTTTTTTTTGGCATTATACATATTTGTGTATCGTGGACGCAATCAGATGTTCGGGTTCTCTGAAACAAAACAAAAAAGAAATTCGACGTGATCGGATGAAATCACCTGATCAGATAATCTCGCCAACCTTCTTCATCCTCCATCGAGACTTTCGCGCCTCCTTCTTGGCCTGCATCGCCTCCCAACCTTCATCGTCGTCCTCGTCAGACGAAGTCTTGGTGGCAAGCTGGCTCGTCACCCGGATGGTAGATTTGCTGTTGGTGTCGTCGTACGAGGACAGGGACAGCGTCGGCAGAGACGGCCCCCTCATGTGGCTGCTTGTGGGCGGCGCGCCGAGGCCGCCGCTGAAGCTCACGTTGTGAGCGCCACCCAGGCCGTTGGGTGTGTTGGCGCGCCCGTTAGGCGCACCGCCAGCCTGCGACACAGGCCTGTAGCGTCCCGGGAGACCGACGTTGCTGCGCTCGGAAGGCGCGATTGACGGGGTGTAGCCCACCGCCGGGCCCCCCAAGGGTCCTGGCGAGTTGAAATGGGGTAGGAAGGACGACGTCTGTGGCTGCACCATGCTCATGGTCCTGTTGCCGGCGTCCATGCGTCGAGGCTGCATGAGCGGCGTGCCCATCTGCTGAGTGGCCCCGAGGTCCGCGTATGACTGGTTCATAGGCAGGTTTCCTCCCTGCTGCTGCTGCTGCATATTCATGCCGTTCACGCCCATTGGCATCTGCATACCCATTGGCATCTGGGGCATCTGGCCTCCACGGGTGCCCTCCGCCATCATCTGCATGAACTGCATTTGCATCTGCATGAACTGCGTCATCTGCTGGTTCATCTGCATCTGCGCCTGCTCGGCAGGGCCCATGGCGGGTGCCTGCGGCATCCTCGGCACTCCGCCGGGGTACATGGAGCCCGGGTTTATGGTGGCCATGGGGTCCATGGAGCTGGCGCCGAAGCGCTGGGCATCAATGTTTGGGCTGCCGCGGCGCATGGCCTTGGAGCGCTCCTCGCTGACGATGACGCCGACGAGGCCTCCCGGGTGCATCGACTGCTGAGGCTGGGGCGTTCCGATGCCGCTGCCAAACGATAGCGACTCCCGCATGGCTGGCCGCGAGACGCCGGCACCGACAAAGGGGTCCGTGGGCAGGTTCCGAGCAAAGGCGGGCAGGGCGGAGGCGCGCCTCATGTTGGCCGAGGCGCGCTCGCCGGCGGCTGACGCCGGGCGGCCCATCTGGGCCTGCAGCTGAGCCTGGTGGTGGGCGGCAGCGTTCAGGTTGGTGGCGGAGCCAAAGTGGCTCAGGCGGCTCGCGGAGCGGTTCTTTGAGGGGAACCCGTGGGCCTGGAGGATGGCCAGGGGTACCTCCTCGTCCTCATCATTCTCCTCCATAGGACCAAGCTCGGGCGAGGGAGTTTTGGCTAGGCCGCCGAGGTGCGGTGCGCTGAGCGACTGGGGGAAACTTGGTCGGCCGCTGAGGGCGGGCGATTCCGGACCGCTGAGCGCGTTGAGGTTGCCCGTCGTCTTCATGTTCTTCTGGCGATAGGCCAGCATCTGGGCCTGCTTGCTACGCTTCACCCTAACCTGCTCCTTAGCCTTTTCCTCCTCGTCTTCCTCATCGTCGTAGTTGATCTCGTCCTCGTCCTCGTCCTCGTCGTCGCTGGCCGAGCCTCCGTAGACGGCCTTCTCGAGATGCTTGCGCTCCTTGTCCTTCTGGAACTTCTCAAACTCGGCCGTCGTCATGACCTTGCTGTTGCGCGGCGGGCTGGAGGATCGCTGGGCGGGGCGGTCGGCGGCGGTGGGGTGTAGGGCCGTTGGTCGGGAGAAGCCGGCACTGGTGCCGGCAAACATGTTCTCGTCGTTCTCGACGGGAGAGTAGACGGGCTCGGGCTTCTTCATAAAGCTGATGTCGTTGTTCAGCAGGGCCATGCTGGAGCGGGACTTGCGGCGATTGCCGTCGTCCGAGAGGAATCGGGTGGCGGCGACGGAGTCAGCGAGGAACTTGGCGTCCTCGTCCTCCATCGCGCCACCCTCGGGGCTGGCCGAGCCGTACTCGAAAGATGGCTGGTGTCGGGGTGTGGAGGATGAGTCCTGTGGCGAAAGGGCGTCTGAGCTGGCGCGGTTGGCGCTGGTAGAAAAACGGCCTTCCCACGAGTTGGCAGCGAGCTCGGGCGAGGGGGCCTTCTTGTCGCTGCCGATGGTGACGCCGCTAGCTCTCTTGCCGAACCTGTTGAACATGGTGCTGAAGTCACCGCCGAGATCCAGGTCACTCTTGTGCTGCTCCTCGATCTTGGGGGGCGTGGCGGTGCTTGTGGTAGAGGCCGTCATGGCCCGCGTCCGGCCATTCTCGTCCTCGCGCTGAAGAGTAGGCAGAGGAGGCATGTCGGGGATGTGGTCGCTCGATGGTGTCTGAGAGGCATGGCTCTTCTTTTGTATGCCAAAAGAGAGTGACCTGCCAGCACGGTCGAAAAAACCACTGGCGCCCCCCTTTTGTGCTTGGCGGGCGGGTGGGTCCTGGGTCCTGCTCGTATTCCGCGGGGCGCCCCGCCCATCTTCGTGATTATGTGCTGCCATGTCGGCGGATGAGGGCGCAGTCGAAACGTTGCTATGCCTGGATGATGTGTCGGTCGAAGTACCTTTTGTAGTGTTGGATCCCCCGCTGCCCCTTATACCAGTCAGCCGCCGTCTTGTGCAGGGCTTGGCGGTGGTCTGTCACGCCGATTGACCTCTCTTGTTTCATCCTTCATTCTCGAAAAAAAAAAAAAAGGTTTTCGGAATTGGAAAATGGAAGAGGCCTGAACAGGAGTGACGGACGGAAAGACGTAGGGGGTGCTTTCAGGTCGGCATGGGATGGTGATGGAAACTTACCTGTAGGTGTTCAATCCAGAAAAAATGTTATCTTGGATCTGGGAATCGGAGTTGGTGGGTTTGTGGAAGGAAGGGGACGAATGAGCCATACGAGCTCCGCCATCAAACGACGGACCGCCGGGTGGCCCCGGGTTTCGCTCGAGAACTCGAAAAGACGAGGTGGACGACTCGCTGGGGATGGTCTGGTGGCTCTGAAACTCGTCGGGATTGGCAGAGGATTTCCGCCTAAAGGCAGCTGAGAAGCGGCTAGGCATGACGGCGGTCGGGAGGTAGTCGAGAAGACAATACCGTTATTGATCTCTGATACGGTCGTTCAAGATGGCTTTGTTAAGCCAAACTTGCCGCGGAAGGCGAGAGAGCAGTGTCGTCGTCGTTGTCGTCAAGGATTCAAGGTCCGAGGTGGTCGAGCAATGGGGCTAGTGTATGACAATGACGTTGGTTAGGATGTTTGTTTGTTTTTGTCCAAGATCAAATGACAAGCATGCGAAGTCCCCGACTGAGAAAAAAAGAGAGAGGAAGAGAAAGAGGAGGGGAGAAAGCGGTTAAGGGCACAAGCTGGAGATGGAATCCCAGCAGAAGCACGGTTGCAGCAAAGCCACCATGCCAATCATGGCCAAAAATGTCGCATCCTTCCTTTCTTTCTTTTCTTCTTCTATTTCTTCTTCCTCTTTTGGGTGACAGGTGCGTTCGTGTCTGCCGGTATGGCCGCGACCGAATGCAAGACGTTGGGGGGGGGGGGGGGGGGGGGGGGGGGGGGGGCGTGTGCCAGAGACTCGTGAGCTCGACTAGAGCCTATTGGGCTACGGGCTCCGGAAGTCGAAGGACGGAAAGACGGAAAGACACGAAGAGTGCTTATGTCTAGGAGAGGAAGAAGAAGGGTGAGACTCACATTGATATCCAAAGACAGTAGAGTGGGCCGACAAAGTATGACAGGCCAGACACGGGAGAGGGGAAGTGGTGATCCAGATCCCCAAGCGGTCACCGGCCCAACGAAGAGGGCAAAGGGCAATGTGGAGAAAAGGAGAGAAGAGATGCGGGACGACCGGTAGTTTCTCTTGTGACGGAGGATGGCCTGGTCACGACGGTAAAAGAGAAAGAAACTCTCAACGGCTGGGCTGAGGTGGCGGGTCAAGAAAAAAAAGCCAGCGGTGTGGTAGATCCGGTGGCGTTTCAGACGGTCGGGTCAAGACGGTTTCGAGAGAGAGGAGAGGGCGGTGGCCCAGGCAGCGACGAGGACTATTATGAGCTGACCAGCTTGTCTGTGCAGAACGAAGGGGGGTGGGAAGGTATGTATTCGTCGTTGTCGATTAAAAGAAGAGTAGTCTGGTCGGAAAAGGGAAAAGTGTTGCTGCGGCCGGGGTCGGAGGGAGAGACACACGAGGACGAGAACGGACAACGTGGCGCAGAGAAAGAATCAAGAGTCGAGAGACACGGGAGCGAGAGTCGTGGGATAGAACAGAGAGACAGACACACACACACACAGTCAAGACTTTGCTGCTGAGGTGGGAGAGAGAGAGGATGGGAAGATTATGCCGTAGGCCGCTGGAAAGAAGTAGAAAAAAGAAGAAAACGAGAGGAGAGAGAAAAAAAAATAAGAACAACCGAAAGAGAGAAACGGTGATGCGAATGGGGTGTGGGGAAGAGAAAGAAAGAGAAGAAGAAGAAAAAAGAAGAAAAGGGCAGGGTCTAGCGGAGGTTGGAGGGAGAAGGAGGAGGAGGAGGAGGGAAAATGGAATCAAGCCAAGGAAAGATGACGGACGGGCTCAGTAAGGCTTGTCAGGCTTCTTAGGAGATATGTAATGGGAGGGGGACGAAGGGGGAAAAAAGAAAAAAGAGTTAATGTGTAATATGTACCGTATTACGAGGTGGAATAGAGATGGTTGGGTATGCTGGTGGTGGGTGGGTAGGTAATGTTGATGGTGGCGAGGCAAGAGACGGGTGATGGGAGCTGTAGCTGTGCCTGGGCCCATGGACGGTTTGCGGCTGTTGCCATTTGGGGCATGGGACGTGGTAGAGACCAGAGTACAGATTATAGTCGTACGAGGATATCGGTATTGTCACTACCACTAATACTTGCTGCTAGGTATTGGCACTCCGGGAGGGAGCTTCTCCTTTGCTGGACGGCGGTCTTCTCTGACTGACAGTATGGGTACAGTACGAGTAATCTGCAGTGTTGCTAGTGTGGCGTGTATTGCTCCATACACGAAGGCTAATTGGGGTATTGTTCCGCATGTCGGCAGAGACATTCAACATGTCTGCGACGGCTATGGAATATGAGAAATGAACCCTGAACGCTCGTGCTCGTGCTCACCCGTGCTCCACCTTCACTGCTGGGTGCAGGGGACCAGCTGCTGTCGGGGCGTCGCTGCGTGCGATGGGAATACCTCTAGCACCTGTAGTGGGACCTACAGCTGTTCATACAGATACGCTGGACCTCCAGGCTCCCAGTAGGTAGCCGACAGAGAGGTCGGTGGGACCTCTAGTACGTCTGGGCACTGTACCCGTACATGCTGACCTACCAAAAACACCGACCCCCCGCCGGAATGCGCTAGACGACCCCCCCTGTCGGTCCCTGGGAGAGACCTTTGTAAGCCCCGTGAGCTGCCCACCTGCCCATACTTGCATGTCTCGTACAGTCCTGGATACAGTCCTGGATGCAGGCTCTGGATGCAGGCTCTGGTAGAAGCCCACCTGGAGGCTAGGTAGTCTCTACTCGTACACACTCTAGCCGGTAGCGCCTCTCTACTTACTGCTACCTGTACAGATTACTCGTTTCGTAGCACTCGTATGCAGCCGCCCCGCCCCAAAAATGGAAGTCTCAGCTGGCAACGCCTCGTAACAGAAGGAACACGGTATTTACAGGATAGCAGGAGCAGAAAAGCTCGTATGCAGTGCACATGCACACTGACTACCAGAAAGTAATGCACATCGTGTACGGTACGGGCTTTCTTCTTTCCATTCCTTGTTCGATTCTCGTCTCCGTCTCTCTCTCCCTCTCTCTCTCTCTCTCTCTCTCTCTCTCTCTATCTGACTCTCTGACTCTCTCTATCTATCTAATTATACTCCGTACCTCTCACCCTCGCCTTTCTAATGGAGATCGGCTCCAAACTTCCTCTAAGCACGGGCCCAACGCACTAACCACGGTGATCGTCCACATCTCTCTCCCCTTTCCGCATTCCGATCCATACGAGGATGAACGAACCCGATGTGACGGGAGACTCAGAGACTCGGAGGGATATGCAAAGCCTGCGAGGTATGACGTTTCTTTATTCTATCTCACCATCCACGCTCTCTATCCGCTAATTCTCCTCCCCTTCTCGGGTAACAACACACACACACATACACACACACACATCAGACATCAGACATACACATCTGTCAAGGCTCAATACTCGCCGCCGGGTCAGGGGTGGAAGCGAGCTAGGATACATGTACTAAACAAAATACGCCAAGATGCAAGGATATTTTATGACTGGACTAGTGGCTAAAAGAAGCAATATAAACAAACTAAACAATTTAGAAAGGGGCAGGATGACAGTGCCAGGGGAAAAAAAAAAAAAAAAAAAAAAGATGGACGCAGGGGTCGGTGTGTGCGTGTACGAGTATATATATATATATGTGTGTGTGTGTGTGTGTGTGCCATGTTGACGCTCCGCTCCTTGATTGGGCCCGGCATGAGCGGGCAGAGTGACAGAGTTGTTGGTCTATGGACCGGAGTGTGTTTCTGGTTGGCATCCTGTGTGGTCCATGGAGTAGTACGAGTATTATACATATATACACACACACATATATATATATATGCGTGCACAGGTCGTACGGAGTACATGTACTAGAATCTAGCAGTGATATTAGCAGCAGTAGCTGCAGCTCTAACCCCGTACACAACATCGTATTCCTCTCTTGCCGTCTCTACCTTCCTCCTTACCGAGTATTGATGGGCATAATACAAGTCCCATATCGTCAATATATACGGACCGCGCCGCGTGTGATGCGGTGGTGACCGTTGACCGTGCAACGTGGCGGAGTCTTGTTTTTTTCCGTCAGAGATGCTCTGCGCTATAATATCATATACAGCACTCGTACTCGGTCGGTACACTGCAACGAGAGATAGGTACGACATAAATCATCCATCCGTCTTGTCTCGTCTTCTTCTCGCTCTCTCTCTCTTCTTTCCCTCTAGGACCTCCATCATCCTCCCAAGCTCCGTAATTATGGCAGTATTAGTATAGTACGAATACTCGTAGCAGTACCTCACTGGCTTAATGGCTGGTGGACCCGCCAGCTAGAGTAGATTCTTCAGCTCCGGCGCTGGCATCTCATCATCTCCTTTTCCCCTGCCAACAATGGAACCGCTCGTCATTGTGCTGACCCTTGGGTATTACGGATAATACTAATCTGTACATGTGGATTGATGCCAGTAGACGACCATGTGGCCGGGCTGCTTGGTATTACTCGTACAGGCTAATAGCAATGCAATACACAAGACCATCCGTCATACCGTAATCCGTAGCGACAAAGCAGATTACAGACCAGACTGTTTCGCTCTCACCAGTGCCTTTTGGTACTCCGTGATAAGAGTACGAGCAGTACAGATTACTGGTAGTCATATCGGCTACTACCTACCTTGGGCTACCTATGCTGTCACTCCCCCCTCTGTCATGATACGTCGATCTCGACCCGACCACGGATACAGGCAGACAGGTCACAGAGGAGACCTGGACTGGTGGGACACGCTCCTTTTTGTTGTTGTCGTGTGTGCATCCGGCAACATTCCTTCGCACCTTCCATCTCACTCCGCACCTGCCTCTCCCTCCACTGCTCCTTCCTCAGCAACTGCGTGTAAACATACACACACGAAAAAAAAAAAAAAAAAAAAAAAAAAAAAAAAAAAAAAAAAAAGGTAACACTTACCTGACTAAAATGTGGTAATATTAGCAGTACTAGCAATACCTTGACGCCAGTGAACCACACCCCGCGAGGCATCCATTGCCATTCGAGAGAGAGACTTGAGAGTCAAGACATTAGCAGAGAGGGGAATATCGTTACCAATCTCCATTCATTCCTCCGGCCTCTTAATTCCGTCATTCTCCTGGTCCCCGGCCAACCACCAACCACCAACCCCCAACCCCAACCCCCAAACCCCCCGGCACCACCAATAAAGTAAACAGACTGTACTAGTATTACTCAGTAGCAATCTGCATTACTCGTAAATATGCCACCTCTCATCCCATCCCCAAAGACAGCCTCCTCTTCTTCCCTCCTCTCTCCATCGTAGCAATGATGCAATTCCTCCTCTCCAGATCCAGATAATTCCTTTTCTCAGTCGCTCCTCCCATCTCCATCCACACGCCCCCCCTAGGGAACCATGGAGGGGTGGGGAAGGCGGCGCCGAAAAGAAAGGAAAAAAAGGGACCCACCCCCAATGCTCGTATCCGTCCATGGCACTATGTATTTATTTGTGGGGAATGAATCCCCTTCTTTTATGCCGGCTCTCTCTCTCGCTTTCTCTCTCTCTCTCTCTCTCTCTCTCTCCCTGTCTCTTTTCGCTAATCAACTCGTAATAATGTCAGCACGGACCAGAACATGTCAGCCATGGCCAAAGGCAGGTTTTCGTTTGATCAAACTAGGAAAATGAGAGGCATAAGAGGCGAAGATAAGAAATGGGGAGGAATGAAGCCCCGAAAACGTTTGGAATTTATATATAAAACAACACAAGTTACGCCCCGATGCTTCCGCTTGTTTTTTTGGGGGGTTTTTTACCCAAATATATTTTTCAAGGGGGGGGGGTGACAAATTCAAGTTTGTTACCCATAGTTTATTATCCCATAGCCAGTAGCCTTACGTCACTTTGATGACGGTGGTACTCCCTGCATTGGCAATATTCATTTATCCACCCGGGGTCGTGGGAGAAGGAAGAAAAGCTTGGGTAACACGTGGAGAGGTCATGGAGAGAGGTCCGTGGGAGTCTGAGAGCTGTACCGCCTACAGCCTACGAGCTGGTCATCAGACGGGAGAGGGAGAGCATGATTAGGATGCGCACTTTCAACCTTTAGGTTCAGTTGTACTACGTCGGGATTGGAGAGGGCTGGGTGGTGGCTTGTCGTATGAACCTTGTCCTGTTCGTCCATGTCTAGCCTGTCCTATCTGTCCTGTCTCCCTATACCTGATCTCGATCTCTTTATTTTGAAAGGTTGCCAGGACACACTGATACCTATCACCTGAAAGTACCTGTACCTGTAGCAATACCTGTAGCAATACCTGTAGCAATACCTGTAGTATAACAAGAAAGAGAGAAAAAGACGGTAAAGACGGGGACAGCAGACCACGTCCAAAGTACGGTCTGTGGTGTCTCTGACATCTACCGTGTCGTGTTTCCTTCACGAATCACGACTATTCCCTTTCACCCAATAATCCGATTGTTGGTCGTGACAATGCTCCCGTGTCATGTATAAGATGCTATATGACAATAAAAATAATAGCTATAGCGCCATCTATTAATACTTCTGCTATACTGTATACTTGCAGTATACTTGCAGTACGTTGTAGTCTATAACGCAGTAGCATGGGCCATCCATCGTGTGGCCCGTGGGTGGGGGGGTCTTCGCAGCCTTAGACTCTTGAGGTCTGGGCAAGGGGCATTGAAGCCAAGGCAGCAGCAGCCTGTAACGGCAGTTCTATACATAGTAAAAAGAATATAATGGAGTGAAGGCATGAAGCTCGGCGCTCACGGTAGACGTCGGTTGAACCCAAACGTGTGTGGTTTTCTTCCTTTTTCTGTCTGTTGTTCTCTTTAGGTCGGTTCTTTTGATAGTCTTTCTTTTTTTCAGTCCATATCCGTCCTATTTTGATCATTCTTTTGATCTGTCGGAGGTACTACTACTACTACTCACTGTCTGGTCCATCCGTCACGACTGGTTTCCATACGTGCAGTACATGTATTGCCAAGAAAAATATAGTTCGTCGTTCACGTCGTGTAAACTGCTCTGCTATGTTGGCATAGACCCCTTCGGCCGCCAGGTGGTACAGTCTTGAATCTGTCAAACGTACGACTTCCCCGAGTCACGCTAGAGATTGTGACGGCCTATATTGCATCGTCGCGTCGTCAAGGACAGAAGTAGCTGTAGTCCTGTCCTAGTAGTACCGTACGATTGAGCGGAGGGCCCAGGATGGTAGTATGTATAGGGTAGTTAAAAACACCAAGGTCAAGGACGAGATCGAGGGGTTGAGGAAGGACGTCAACATCTTCACGCCGCGCCTATATTATATGATATATCTTTTGAAGCGCCTCTCCTGTCATTTATTGAAATGGGTACGGTCTCTATGGTCTTACGCTGGTGGTGGTAGCATCCGAGCTCTTGATGACGGCCAGATACACTCAATCTTTCTGGCAGCCAGCCTACCCGGCACCTCACCCTCGACGAGAATGCTTGATGAGAATGCCATGGAACATCGTTCCTTCCCTAGGAACTCCTTCTCGGTCCTTTCCTTCTGAGCTCTTTCGGCGAAAGAAAGAACCTTCGACGGTCTTCTTCCCTCTCTCACCGCCACTCTCCAATATGGACTTGCTTGGGAGTAAAGGGGAGAATAAGAAAAAAAAAGAGAGAGAGAGAGAGGAAGGGTAGAGGAGGTAAGAAAAGGGGGGGGGGGAAGCAGTGCTAAACCCAGAACCGGCCATCTGCAAGTTGGGTTCGCCATCCCCCCTGGGCTTACCACTGTAAGTACAGCAACCATGAGGCCGAAATAACCATGGCTTGCTTTGACAGCAGGCGCTCACAAGCCGACTTGCAGTATCAAGCAGAACAAGAAAAACTCAGCGAATAGAGAAAAATCCCGACCGTCCACTGCATTGATGGACCTGACCATCTTTCAGACCCCTTCCCCGCCCAAAGAGCCGCGATATAATCTCAAGCTATCACGGCAATTGATGGTGGGGATTGGCCGGTGGCTGCCCCGTCCCCTGTGATCTCCCGTGGGTTGGGCCGTCCGTCTCACGTTCCTGGCAGGGGTAGTGACTGGTGTCGTCTCGACGGCCTCCGTCAGCGTTTACGACATTGGGGTAATTACGTCGGTCTACTCGGTCCCCAACAAGAGGTAAATGCTAGTTCGTTACGTCTCGAGAGCGTGATGGCGGTGGAGGAGGAGAGAAAAGTTGGCCGTGGACTTGACCGTCTCTTCACATACGAGTACGAGAAACACCCTCCTCTCTTCACTAGGATCACCAGCTAAGACCGTGCAGGTAATGCAGGTACAGACAGCAGCAACATCAACCAGCCTTTGCCCCCGCCACTACTGCTCGTGACGTGCTTCCCCCGTCCGGACCCGTCGAGGGCGAGAAGAGAGGTTCGAAACAATGGCAGGCCAAGGCCGCTGCAGGTAGACTGCAATTATGATTGGGATCTCCGATACGGGGCAAAAAAGAGACCCGAGACGCAGTAAGTGTCGAGAGACCCGCTGTTTTGCAGCCTCTGCTCGCAGATTGGGGACCGTTGGGTAGCATCGGTAGCAGACACTGCAAGCAAGGGACGCTGCAAGCAAGGGACGCTGCACGTAAGGGACGCTGCGAGCCGCTGTTACGCCGTACGGCGTACGTGGGAGCTTGCAGGCTGCTGCAACAGGTGCTGCCTCCTCGCTTCGCGTTCGGCACTTGGGAACAGGATGTGGGTTGCCGCGAGACGAGAAGGAAAAGAGACAAGGACGGACAGCAAAGGTGAGGTGAGAGATATAATACTTGGGAGTATGAGTACTACGAGTAAGAGTGCTACGAGTAAGAGTACTACGAGTATGTACTATGTGGTATGTTATCGGTGATGGATCCCCCCGATAAGAGAGCCAATAAATGACTGACCAGTAATAATGTGCTGCAGTCGTTCCCAGCTTTGCACCTAGTATTACTCGGTACTATTGGTAGCTGTATATATATGTACGCTGCTGCAAGACACACTTATGCTTAAGTCCTGACTGGTCTATCATCATTGTGTCGCCCATACGAGTGCATATAAGCCACTGCGGGTCTCTCCTCTCAGTGGCCGAAGGGCAGACCACCTCAAGGCAAATTACTCAGCATTGGATAATACCAGCTTATCGATCTCCAGAAGTATCGTGCTCAAAATTAGAGACGGCGCTTACTCCCGAATGGCTCTTCTGCCACATGGTACCTTCCAACAGCTGGCTGCATGCTCTCGGTGCTCTGTGACTGGCCTTGAATGCATGCGCAATTACTCCGTAGCTGCAGGGACTGTTCGTGGGTGAGAGGTGGAACCTGAGCCTTTTCCGATTAAGGATTAGCCGCGTACAGGCATTGATTCCCTGCAAAAGCTGCAACGAGAAGAAAAAACAGGACTCTGTCTGCTCGTTTCCATCAAGCCCTCCGGAGACACGGACTGACCAGACTTGCCAGGACCACCACGTCTTGAGGGGTGGAGGAGGGTCGGTGGCACTAAAGCGATACGGAGTACTTTGCCCGTTTCTCCTTGTCCAATGACCCTGCGGGCTATTGCTGGTAGTAAACATTTTTGAGTACTAAAGTGCTAAGCCATCGCATCAAGGGATCTGCTTCAACGGCTTCTCTTTCTTCTTTCCCTTTCTCTCTGTCCCTTCTCTCCCCCCCCCCTATTTTCCCATCCTCTCCCCTATCCGAAGGACCGTTCCCATCGCCATGACGTCACCGGCAACCCGCCTTCATAGTCGGCGGCCGTCGACGACGCCGTCCCTCGTCTCCGTGACGGAGGACTACAACTACCCTCTGCCGACGAGGAGCGGTGTCCTCGCGTCCCTCATCAGGACGAGGTCGGTCTCCAGCCTGTCAAGCGCCGGACGCCGTCATCCGCCCTCTGACGAGGAGGCCTGCGCTGCCGAGGACGACATAGAGCGTCTGATCCACGACGAGCACCGCCTAAACCAGCTACTCCACGGTTCCCAGGCGCGTAGCAAGATTCTGATTGGCAAGAGTAACCCGCGCTACCGATGGGAGAGGTATTGGAAGGATGAGGAGCAGCTCGACGCCATGAGTGCACCTCTGTGAGTTTTTTCTCTCCTCCATCTCTTCTTGTCTTACTCGCATGCCCTGCTTCCATGCGAAAGAACAAGAGAAGGAAGACTGACTCGTGATAGACGTAACTATTATGAGCGCACCAACGAGCTCATAGAGCAGTACCTCTATATTGACAGGCTTCTCGACTCGACCATTCCCCACGAGATCCTGTCCGAGTACTCCACCGAGCTGGAGGCTTCTGCCTACCGACCTGTCGACGTCCCTGCTACCATCCCCGAGGACGACGCGAATTCTCAGCTGTCCGACTCCCCACTGTCCTTGAAAGCCAATGACAACAATGACAACAGCAATGCCGGCAGCAACGGCAACTACGGTAGCATCGCGCCCACCCCCGACATAAGGGGCAGCTCCAACAACTCCAACAACGCCAACAGCCCCGGCAGCCGCCCCCCCAAGCAGAACCGTACCCCCAAGGACATCTTCCGTTCGTCCGAAGCTCTGCCCCTCCTGCAGCGCGACGACGAGGACGATCATCACGAGGATGACGAGCACCACAGGGCCGGCTCGTCCAGCAACGCCTCCGGCTCAGGTCCCCAGCCCAATCTCCCCTGGCTCGAGGATGCCGAGCTTGATAGCGACAGCCCCATCGTCACCCTCGCCATCTGGATCAACCTGATTGCCAACACGGTCCTGCTTCTGGGCAAGCTGGTCGTCGTGCTCAGCGTGCCCTCCATGTCCGTCCTGGCCAGTCTGGTCGACGCCGTCCTCGACTTCCTGTCCACGGCCATCGTCTGGACCACCACGCGCCTCATCTCGCGCAGCCAGTCCGACCAGTATAGCTATCCCGTCGGCCGGCGTCGTCTCGAGCCCGTGGGTGTGCTTGTATTCTCCATCATCATGATCACCTGTTTCTTCCAGGTCGGCATGCAGTGTATCCATAAGCTTATGGGACCCGAGCACACCATTGTCGAGCTCGGCGTCCCGGCCATTGCCATCATGGGAGGAACCATCGTTATCAAGGGTGTTGTCTGGATCTGGTGCCGTCTTGTCCGCAACTCGAGTGTCAGGGCTCTGTATGTCCTTTCTCCCAATCCCATCCTCGCCTCCTTTTTTGTTGTTGCGTGTGTGCTGTCCGTGTTGTAGAGTTTTGCTGACTGATCACCAGGGCTGAGGATTGCAAGACGGATGTCATCTTCAACACGGGTTCCATCCTGTTCCCTATCAGTAAGTTCCTCCCCAGTTGAGTGTCATCGAGAAACAACCGGCAAAAGAAGAGAAGAGAGGGGAAAAGGAAGCATAGAGAGAGCGCCGTATACTGACTTGACTCCCTCGCAGTCGGCTGGTACGGCCGCATATGGTGGCTCGACGCCCTGGGTGGTCTCCTCCTATCCGCCTATGTCGTCTTCCAGTGGAGTGACACGTCGGCCCACCACGTGCGTAACCTCACGGGTTTCTCGGCCTCGCCCGACGAGCGCAACCTCCTCCTGTACCTGACGATGCGCTTCGCCACATCGATCCGCAATATCCAGAACCTGCGCGCCTACCATGCCGGCGACAGGCTCTTCGTCGAGGTCGACATCGTCCTCGACGCCAGCATGCCCCTCAAGGACAGCCACGACCTGTCCGAGGTGCTGACCTACTTCCTCGAGTCAGTGCCCATTGTCGATCGAGCCTTTGTTCACGTCGATTATACTAGCTACAATGCCCCCACGCATATGCTCAAACAGGATTCGTCCAACTGATCAAGGGTTGTTTTACCACGGCGCCTCTTCTTTATACTCCCCCCCCCAACCTTTTTCAGCCATGTTTGGTTTGTAGTCTGTATTTTTCTTTCCTTGAAAAGAAAAACATTTGGGCATCTATAGTTTTTGTTGAGCAGATGAGCTCTTTAGAAAAGTTTTAGAAAAGCACTTTGTATTCCGTAGGTAGGTAATTCAGATACATATTAAGAACCCCCCCCCCCCCCCCACAAAATGTATTATGGCTTGTGATTTGGTTTACAAAATATACATTTGTAATCTGGACATTCCATCGATATATTAACAACCAAGCTTTCCCTTCCTTCAGGAACATGGATAGAATGAAGATGGAAGCTTATAAGCAATATGCCTTGGACATTCGCAGGGGAATATCTTGACAGATTAAGGGAAAAAAGAAAGAAGGGGAGAAAAGAAAAAGAAGAAAGGATAAATCGCAAGACTTATATACCACGATTCAACACCTAGTAAGGAATACCATTGGTCATGAGCTGGAACTGGTCATAGATACCAGTACTGTAAGAGGAGTAACTCTTCCGGATGAGAAACTTCATAAACTCGGCGGCCTCGCGGTCCGTCTTGTCGAGGACGAACCTCTGACGGAAGTGGGTGACGCTCTCTGGTTTGAAGCAGGGCAGGCCGCTGTCCATCATGAGCTGGACCATGTGGCACAGCTTGTCGCAGTACTGCCTGGCGGCGAGGAAGGCCTTGACGCAGAGCTCCTCGAACCACTTGAAGGACTGGTGGTCGGTGGAGCCGCCCATGACGGCGAGCATCTCCTGTGTGAGCTTGAAGGGGGCGCGCTCGAACTTGATGCCGCCGGGGGCGATGTCGAAGCAGAACCCGAAGTCGATGTGGAGGATGTGCCCGGCGTCGTCGATCATGATGTTGCCGTTGTGGCGGTCCTTGAACTGCAGGAGGAAGGAGATGACGGAGTAGGCGGCCATGGACTTGACAAAGTTGGCGCGGGCGCGCTGGAAGCGCAGCGAGTTCTCGTTGCCGTACTTGCTGACGAAGTAGTCGTACAGCTTGTTGACGGCCTCGCGGCCCAGCATGTCGCGCGAGATGGAGTTGGGGAGCACGTCGATGACGCCGCACCCGGGACCCGTAGCCGTCACCCGGTACGGGAAGACGTACACGTCCAGCCCGACATTGTGGAAGATGCCGCGGAACGCTGCAATCATCTGCAGCGCTAGCACGTCCTGCCGGCAGTCGTCGCCTACCTTGAAGATGGCAGACTGCCACGTCTCGACCGTGTACTCGTCGTCTTGGTCGCCGTCGTTGCTGTTGTCGCTGCTGCCCGAGACGCCGTTCTGCGCCTTGGCTTCCCGGATCAGCTTGATCTGATCCGCCGTCTTCGTCTTCTTGATCCGGAACGTCGCCATGAACGGACACTTGGCGTGGCTCTGCAACGGCTTGCCCGACGTGCGGTCGATTCCGATCACCGAGCCTTCCGGGTTGGACGGGAGGTACACCCCGACGTCCACGTTGATCCGCCGCAGCTCTTCCTCAATCTTCTGCTTCTTCTCGTCCTTAGGCCGGTCCTTGATCGGCCGCAGCTTGCCAGAGATGCTCGTCACCTCGTCGAAGAAAGCGAACTCGCGTTCGTAGAAGCTGCGGTCCTCGGCCGCGAAGCTGTCCACCATACTGCCCATGACCGTGTCCAGCGTCGGCTTGATCTCGTCGGGGACCTGCGCATCGTCGTCCTTGTACGAGTTGGCCTTCATGTTCCAGATGATCTGGTGCGCAAACAGCTGCGAAAATTGCGCCGTCTCCAGTATGTACCGCTTCACGTAGCCCAGCGCGTCGTACCGCAGCGTCTGCACAATCTGCGGCACGTAGAAGAAGGTCACGTCCACCGGGTGCGACTCCAGCGCCCGCATCGCGAACTGCAGGATCAGTGGGTGGTGCTTGTATGCCGGTGAGAACATGGTCACCGCCGAGACCGGGTTGACCGGCGCCCAATACAAGAGGTACTATCATTCAGTGTTAGTCAAAACCCATGTTCCCCTTAGACTTCCCCTTCTCTCTCCTGATCCCTTCCTCTTCTTCTTCTTTTTGGTGAGGGAAAAAAAGCGGATCGATGTCACGTACCTTGAGCATGGGAGTGGCGTCGCTAGGCAGCTGCCCACCAGCAAAGATGATGGGCAGAGCCTCTGGCAGTGAGATGGCCTTCTCGGGCATGGTCATGAGGAGGAAGCGGACGTCCTTGTGCAGCCGGGCAGACTGGAATCTGGTGACGAGCTCGACGGCGATGGCCGGGTCGAGCGCCCAGGCCGTGCGGACGAGCGGTGCCAGGGCGGCCTCCATCGACGACTTGGGCGTCGTGGGGACGGACAGCTGCTGCGACAACGGGCCGTTGAGCGGATTGGCCCAGACGGACAAGCGTATCTGCTCGCTCTCGAGGAGGAGTTGGAGCAGCTGTTCCTTGGCCTGGAGGGACTTCGTCGCGGGGCCGACGCCGCCGCCGCCGATGAGGTTGACCATCTGGAGGGCGAGGAGGACGTCGGACATGAGGCGGATCTCCGTCTTGAGCTGGAGGAGGTTGCTGCCAAAAGACCACTTGGGCGAGTTGCGGAACCAGCCCAGCCCGGCCGACAGGATATTGTCCTTGAGGCGCCACTGGGCCGTGGAGCTGATCATGGTGCTCCAGCGCAGGACGCGCAGGCCAAAGAGAAGGATCTGCAGGCGGAGCTCGCGCGCCATGGGGTGGGGCGCCGCGTCGCGCATGGCGCTCAGCGTCACGTCGAGCATGCGCAGGAAGCTCCGCCTCGTGTCGAGGCTGCCCAGGCGGGTAGCATTGAAGTGGCTCGTGAAGAACTGCAGCAGCCGCGTGTGGGGCGACAGCATGTCGTGCACCATCTGCCTCTGCTTGCTCATGGCCTCCAGCTCGCTGGGCGCAAACTCCTCTTTGAGGAAGAAGGGATCCGGGTGCGCTAGCGCCGGGTTGAACAGCCCGACCCGACGGGTGATGGTGAGTTCCCACTGCTGCGCAATCTCGTTGACCAGCTTGGGCTCCAGCAGCGGGTTCTCGTGGATCACGCCTAGCCACAGCGACACGCCCAGCTTGATCGACTCCTTGGTGAAGAGCGCGAACGGGATGCTAACTAGGTAGCGCGCAACAGCCGACTCGTTGCTTTCGCTGCGGCACAGGAGCGCCGCCGCCCTCCGGAGTATGTCCCGGATCTCGTTGAAAGGCGTGGCCTTCTTGCTGAGGATCCGGGCCTCGACGTGCGCCAGGGCTGTGGAGGCGTTGGCGCTCTCCTTCAGGGCAAGCTGCATGGAGGCTCTACCTCCAGCACCCCCTCCCTGGATCAGGTTCGTCAGGTTGTGGCTCCTATCCGGCAGCGCCTCGCCGTAGCGGTACTCCTGGCGCGTCGTGTACTGCGCAATAAGGTCGGAGGCCGTATTGACACCAGCCTCTCCGACCGGCTGGAGTGACTGGAGACGGTGGTCGGTCGAGGGGATGACGGAGCCCATCTCCAGAGCGAAAGACCTCCCGAGATAGATGTGGCCGTAGGCGCCGTCATCGCCGAACTCGGACAGATACGTCTGGAGAAGGCCCTTGACGTCCAGCGGAGCGAGGTTGATGGCCGTGTGGACCCATACCCTCGCCTTGCGGGTCAAGATGTCGAGGGTCCAGCGGCGAAACTCGTAGTCGTCCGAAAGCTCTACCCTGACCTTGCCCAGCTTCGACTCGAAGACGGAGCGGGGCGAGTACATGTCCGTCTCGGCCTCGAGGCAGCCAGTCCACATCAGGGAGAGAAGCTCAAGCAGGGCAAAAAGCGATGTCCTGCTGCACAGGGCGGACGGGACATCGCGGATGATGCGGTCGGCGCAGGTGAAGGCTGCCTCCTGCACCCTCTCGATGCGGTGACAGCAGCTGCAGAAAATAGAGGCCAGCTGCTTGGCGGCATACTGGGCCGAGAAAGCCATGTCGTTACCACCAAGAGTCTTTCTAAGATACTTCTCGATAATGGTACCAGCGATGCCTTCCATGACACTGCTGACGTCGCTCTTGTGCATGCTGGGCTCCAAGAAGTAGGGCAGCACCTTGGTGCAGTCGCCGACGTCAGAGCGCAGGCTCTCGACGAGATACGCCGCTTGCAGGAATATGACCTTGCGGTAGCTGAGCCCCTTGATATCGGCCGCCTTGGCTGGGATAAGCTCCACCAGCTGCTTCTTCTGGGCCGCCTCGCGCTCGTGGCTGTTACCGCGCCTCAGGACCGTGTTGAGCTCGATGTCACTCTCGACCTGCTCACTGCGCTGCTCAGAGACCAGCGGCGGGGAATGCACGGCGATCCTGCGGAGGTCGTCCATGTACTTCTTGCCATTCTCGGTGGACGGGGTGAAGCCATGGACGACAATGTTGAACCAAGAGTCGCGCAGGAGCTGGGCCATCTCATCACTCTCGATAGGGTTGGCAGCCAGGTCGTTTTGAGCCATGAAGACTCCAAGAGGACGAAGGAGCTGGGCAATCTTCCTAGCGGCCAGCTGGACGTCAATCTCCTTGGTATGGCCACTTGGCGGGTCATCACCAAAAGAGATGATAGTCTCCAACAGGTGCTCTAGGTAGATATCGAAGAGAGGCGAGTCACGCTTCAGGTGAGTGGAAATGTGGATGCGGGCCTTCGTAGCCGCCATTGACAGATGGTCCTTCTGCTCGGTCAGACCCGTCAAGCAAGTCTTCGTGAACATCTTGAGGAGGGAACGGAACTCGAGGGGGCTGCTGTCGAGCGCGAGGTTGGCGGCGCCAATGAGGATCTGGTCATCGGCGCTGGGGCTGATCTTGCCGAGCTTTTGCAAAAGCATAGACACGGCCAGGGCTGTAATCTTTTCGTCCTGAGCAGCTGCGGAGATGGCAAACACTGCCTGCAGAATGTTTTCATAGACTACCGCGCCCTCGTCGTCGGCGCTGAGCTTGAGGGACATTGAGCTCCCGGTAGACTGGTGACCGGCGTAGACCGAATCAAGGCTCTGTTCGCTGTCATCTCCGTTAGATTGACCGTTGTTTAGAGGCTCGGACTCGGGGCTGAGGGCGTTTCCGAGAGAGTACAGCGTGCTGATGATGGAGTCCTTGGAGAGCAGGTTGAGGATGAAGGCCAAGCACTCGGAGGCAACGCTGCTCGTCTCTCCCTGGGGCGCGCTCTGGACCAGGAACTGAGGGACCAGCCTGCTGACAGCCGGGGTAAACGAGGGCGAGACGTGGCACACCAGGGCCAGGGACTTGAGGACAACGGCGGCCAGGCCGTCGTCGGCCATCTGAGCGGGGTCCTCGATAGTCTCCTGCAGCCAGGACAGAAGGGTCTCGGAGTCTGCAGCATTCTCGTCAATGAAGGCGCAGTTGAGGAACGCGATGAGAGCGGCTCCCTTGGTGTCATAGGCCAGCTTCTGCTGGGACGGCGTGCCCATGCTGACAAAGTCGGCACCGGCCTCGATGTAGTCCATCTGCTCGGCCGCCAGTCCGGCAAGGACCTCGACGGACTGCGTGTCAGCGTCAGGACCGCTCAAAGAGTCACCCTGGAGCTTGGAGTTGCGGGCCATGTGCAGGTCCAGGATATGCGTTTTCCTGAGGTCGGTGACATCGGCGACCATCAGAGACGTGCTAGACACAACCAGGCGCATGAAGTTTCGCTGGAGGAGCATGGCCCCTAGAGGTCTCCCAGAGTGGGCGTAGTGGCGGACAATGCGCTTCCATTCCTTGACTTCTCGGCCGTGGCTGTGGGAGTTGCGGATGGTCGAGAGAGCCGTCTCGACGGCAACCAGGAAGCGCTCAGAAAGCAGGTGGCGGACCTTTTGAACGAGAGCAAGTCTCCCCGCGGCCCTCCAGAAGTCGGTCTGGGCAGCAGCCGCCTCGAGGAAGCCAAGGAGGGCGATGACAATGGTCGTGGTGCGGACCGCATCTTCCAGGTCGCCATCCTCTGCGGGAGCAGAGATGACAACGTCAACCGCCTTGGTGCAAGTGTTGAGGAAGGCCCAGATGCTGTCTAGGACCGTCTCCTGGAGGTCGGCGTAGTTGAGTCCGAGGGAGAGCAGGGCCGCCGTGACGTGGAAGGTCAGGGTCTCGGTGGGCGACGGCTCCATCTGGCGGAAGAAGGGCGAGTGGGCAAAGGTCTGAACAGGTGCCTCGAGCATATAAGGGGTGAGCTGGTAGGAGAGCCTCTGGGCGCTCTGGCCGGGCTGGACACTGGGAGCCGTCTTGCACAGGGCTAGTAGAACCTCAAACTCGCGAATTGACTACAATGGTGTCGGGGTTTATCAGCGAATGGCCCACGACAGCGGTGCGGCACAAGCATCTCCTCCTCTCTCTCTCTCTCCTACAGAGCCGGATTGGACGGGACTAGACTAACCATTGGAACCTTGCCCAGGGATCCGCCCTGGGACCTGACGCCATACGAGTAGTCCCTCGCCTTCCCGGCGGCGTGACATGCTCGACATAATCTGTCGAGGTCCGACCGGTCCGCAGATGAGGAGCCAGCTGCAGACAGCGAGGCAATCTTCTGAAGGGCCAGGGCACGAATGTCGCGCGCCATCGTAGATATCGGGAGTGCGTTGTTGTTCGCTCGATTCGAAAAAGACGAAGCGGTGGCAAGATGGTCGACGTCCTACGGAAACATCAATACCTTGCGGTATGGAGAGTTTGTCGACAATGCCGAGGTACGGAGTAGTGTCTACTCCTTTGTTGGCATTGACGATCCAGGAGTGACACTGGTAATTATTATGAGTATTATCACATCAAAGTACGTACTCTCTCTCCCCCAATTCGACAGCTTCCAGCTGATAGGGAGGCTGCGCGGGCCACAATGCGTGGTGATTCTGCTGAGTCAGCCACCGGTCTACCCCAATCAGACAGCCAGCCCAAGGCTGCAGCTTGACTGACGTGCACTGGTCGCGGGAGGAGCTTCAACCGCCACCTTCCCACCTGTCACCATTGACCCCATCCCGACGACATCACGAACCCTCCCCCATCAGTATCCATCCCGGAACACGAACATCGAAGAGGTCCTTTCACATTTGCAAGGGTCGGCACGCACAGAATACAAAATGTCCATGTTTAGCCAGAACCCGGTGCTGAACGGGGCCAACTACTCGTTTTCGGATGTGCCCAAGGCCAACCACGGCGAGCCCCGGGAGCGTGGTTTCAACCCGTGAGTTTGTTCTTCTGCTTGGAGGCCACGGTAGGAGGTGACAGACGCGGCTGACCGGAGGGATGGCGGCACATGCAGGTACTCTGACAATGGTGGTTCGACACTAGCCATTGCGGGCGACGGCTTCACCATCATGGCGGGCGACACCCGCCACACGAGCGGCTACAGCATCAACTCCCGCATGTCACCCAAGGTGTTTAAGATTGGAGGCACGACGGCGGACCAGTCGGACGCTACGCTGGTGCTGTCGGTGTGCGGCTTCGCGGCCGACGGCGCCGCCCTGCGCGACCAGCTCGACACGGTGTGCAAGATCTACCGCTACCGCCACAACAAGCCCATGTCGGTCAACGCCTGCGCCAAGCGCCTGTCGACCATACTGTACAACAAGCGCTTCTTCCCTTACTATACGTACGCGATGATTGGCGGCCTGGACGAGGAAGGCCAGGGCGCCGTCTACTCGTACGACCCCGTGGGGAGCTACGAGCGTGAGCAGTGCCGTGCCGCGGGTGCCGCCGCCAGCCTCATCATGCCCTTCCTCGACAACCAGGTCAACTTCAAGAACCAGTACATCCCCGGCAGCGGGACGGGCCACGAGCTCAAGGAGAAGGAGCGCTACCCGCTGTCGCGCCCTCAGGTCGAGACACTCGTCAAGGATGCCTTTGACGGTGCCGTCGAGCGTCACATCGAGGTTGGTGATAACCTCCAGATGCTCATCATAACGAAGGATGGTATCGAGGAGACCTTCCTGCCCCTCAAGAAGGATTAAGCTGGGGGGACGTTGTTCTCATGGTTTAAATAATCAATGCAAGACAACGACAAAAAAGATGAATGATATACACGACGGCCTTTTAATTTGCCTGATATGACGTGAGAAATGCATCAGATTGGCCAACTGCCACCCTGGATCCGTGCGGAGCCCCTGTCACGGGGGGTTCACAAACACACTTGTCTCTCGGGAAGGTTCTCATGTGTAACTTTTCCCATGCAACGGTTCGTTGTGTGGTTTATACGTCACCAGTGTCTAAATGAGATCATGTGGCCATGCCTCTCCGTCTACACGTCGTAGAGGGTGTCCTGTCGAATGGCTGCTCCCGCCACTTGGTATAACTACTCTGGGACAATACATGTCTCAGCTCCGCGTCCAAGCCCGGGCACCGAAACAAGTAGTTTTCTTTTCCTGCATTGTCGCGAAGCGGCATGTATGGAATTCTCTTTCGGATGTCCCGATGGCCACCACAACACCAGGTATTTATATAACCTATACCACTAGTAACAGGCCACATCACAACTACTGACGACCACAAAAGGTTGGTCTTCAATCCTAGATACTCGGTCCATTCGCTCTTGTTTTTTCTATTCGAATGAGAGAATTCAGCTCTCCGCCCGGTGTCACTTGGCTTGTTCTGTCGAGGCACCAATACATATACCCACATCTCCTCGTATAAGACCACGAAGTCAAGTCATCAAAAATTGACGACACTTGACGAACACCCCCTACCCCTACCATCAACATATATATTAATGCCAAGCCTTGTACAGGAATGCCATAGCTATGGATAGATAATGGGGTGGAGGGTGAAAGAAAGGAAGAAAGGGGGGGGGGGGGGGGGGGAACCTCCAAAATACAAAATTCTTAATGGAATTTAGGTGGCAATCATCAGGAATAGGAATCTGACAAATGGATAGCTTTGCATGTGTCACTGGCAACTCCATCGACTAGCACGAGACGAGACGAGACGTGGCGTGGCCGTCCGGCACCGTATGCTGTCTTGTCAGATAAGAGGAAGGAAAGAAGAAGGAAACTCCGGACGAGACTCTCCGGACGAGACTCTCCGGACGTTGTGGATATAAGAAGGAGGAGGAAAGGGGTCTAGAAGGGAAGGAGGGGTGTGGCTGTGTAGTCCTGACAAGTCTATAGTTCGGCCTGATCCTCGGAGGGACCCCTGAGAAGTGGCGATGGTGAGGTGGCAATTGCTTGTTCGTATATGAAAGAAAGTCTGGGGTCGAACATGGGAATCCTCAAATTCCCGGCTTCCCGAGAGGCGAAAAATAAAAACCAAGAGTTGCATACTAGTATTTTACCGATATCTGTGACTGGCATACACACAAGGCATACACAGCCTTATCGGTGAGTAATGCAAGAAGGCCGATGGAGGGAGGGTCCTCCCTCTTCCTATGCAGGGTTCTATCCCCCCTCCCCCTATTAGTCGTTCCTGTTGGTGATGTACACCAAACATGCAATACTTGCTGATCTACTATACAGATGTTTTTTTCTTTCTCTTAGCGGCTTTGGGCAGAAGGCGGCTCGTCCCCTGGATTCTTAAGAAAAACTCAATTGTCGAACTCGACGTATGCGAGAGTCAGTATACACGTCGCTGTCGTAGCGTGCCAGACTGACGGGTCCCAGGGTCCTCACTGACTCTATAAGGGTGGCAAAACGTCAAAGGGGTGCTTCCGAAAGTTGCACTCATGGTAGGTGGCCTTAGGAATAAGTTGTACGCGGTTGGATATTTTCCTCCCCCCCCCCCCTCCTTTCCCCCTCCCCCTTCTTCCTCTCCCTTCCTTCCCCAAGGGGTCCATATTCCCGGGTATGGTATTAGTCGGAGGTAATTTTGCTAGTTCCCCAGAAGAGCCGAGTCTTGGAGTAATACGTCGGAAAAGCCAAGAAAGGTCAGATAGAGAGAGAGAAGGGTCACCGCTACTCGACTGCTTGTTCTCTCACATGCCCACGAAAGTTCCCCTTTTTTACTTCCAAGGAACCACCACATCGGATGACGAGATACTCGGTAAGAGGCGGTGGCCAAATGCAGAGATTTTCTCATCAGGTATGGAATAAGTCTTGATTGAAAGCAGGCTTTCGACTGGTAAGGTTGATTGATGCCTAGTAGTAGCAATGGTAGGTTGTACTGGGTACGGGTTACAGTTACGAGTTATCAAAACGTACCATGTTCCAGTACCGAGGAAAGGAGACACATGGCTGTATAACGCCGCTTCCCCGATATGTCGGCAATGCCGCTGGAGGGTAGAGTCGCAATGTGGCTGCAGATGTAGTCGACTTGCTGCGGAGTAGGTAATATACGCATACCGACTGACTGCCAGACAACGAGTGGGTTGGAGGGTCACGACTGAGTATAGTATATCGTATACTTCGTACCGGTGGTTGAGGAAAAAAAATAAAAGATAAATAATAAAAAAAGAGGAAAAGAGGAGACAGTCTTACTCGCCTGACCGGCAGCCCATGTCGGTGTACCGTCTCGTACAGCAGCATTACGTGTCGTGTAGTTTGACTACATGCACAGAAGAGAGGAGAGAGAGAGTACAGGTACAACCTGTCCGGTAGAAGACTAAGAGGAAAGAGAGACGTGTACGTTAGAATGTAAGTGACACACATATGAATGTGATGCACGTACATCATATGCATGCGTGTATTACTTGCCCATGTACGGAACTTCAATCCTATTCCATCCGCTTCTGCCCCACGTTCAGAGAGACCGACAGTGTCAATTACTGCGGATTGCTTCTGGATATGCCCCCTGGGAAACAACAGGCAGAAACCCGCAGAGCAATTTGCCACCCTCCATAATACGGAGCACGCCGTAGCAGTAGTAGCTGTGATCCGCAATCCGTACCGATTACATGTATGCGTATTGTGGTAGAGAGGAGCTCGGGAAAAATGCACAGTGTATCGTGCCAGGCTTTTCCGAGTTGCTCCTAGTACTAGCCGTGCTCCTCAACACAAGGACTAGTACAGGTATCTAGTAGACTCCCGCTCAGACGTATGATGGCTGGGCGTGGAATACAGAGTTGGGCGATTGACTGTGGTTGCCACTAGCTCAATATATCGTATTCGCGTAGTTGGCAATAATAATAGGTAATGTACGAATAGCATAATACCTGGAGCATTCTAGTCGTCACTACTAGCATGGTGGTGGTGGTGATGGCTCGTTCATACGTGTAGCTCTATTACTACTACTCCGTACATGTAATCTGTACTATGGTCCATGTATTGCCGTTTACAGTGGCAGCCCCGGTTAGCCCCCAATTACCGTGTTGGCACAGTTTTCGACGTATATAGTACTTGTATATGTAGAGACCGGATTGACACGGTCGTATATTCCCCATTCTCTCCTCTTCTCTCATGCAAGTGATATTACTACTACGTATACTACGTATACTGCAGTCACTACCAGTAATACAGAGTATTTGTACGTGCAGTTTTCGTACGGCAACACTCGTAGAATCAGAAATGTTCAAGGGGGGGGGGAACGCTGACGTAGCTGCTTGAAGGAAATGTCGTCATAAGGCAGCTGGGGGGGGGAGGACCAGGGGTCTGCGGGCGACGGTGGATCGAGTCACGCTAGTCTCTAGACCATGAAACCCCTCGAGATCGGCCTTTCTTTTCTTGCTTTTCTTCTTCTTCACCTCGTAGAAGTCTTAATACCTGTACAGATGGAGGCCTGTCATGATGCCGAGGCGTCTAGCCGTAGTCCATGCAGCCAATCCAAGATCCACCATGATGGCTGCTCATCGTGGAGAGGCGTGTAACAGGTAGTCGTACTCCGTTGCCAATTTCCGAGACTTCAGATTGATGTACAGTGCCCTTCTCAGTCTCAGCCCTTTGACTCTGTGTGCGGGTGCCAGTGGGGAGAGACGATCATTGAACGATTGCCTAGGGTTGGTCCCATCGCGCTGCTCCATTCATCGTACAAGTAATCTGTACAGATTGAGGTGTCGCTCTTGTGAGGTGAGCCTGTGCACAAGTGACAAAGGCTAGGCCCATGTGGGGGTGGCAATCTGGAATGAGTCGCCGAGATTGGAGGATGGGCAAAGCCATCGGAATTTGCCAGTGCAGCCTAAGCAACGCAGTGAGGCTAAAATTAACATTGTACCCGTGAAGACGTACGAGTGCCCGTAGACTCTCTTGCGAGTTGGACGTTTCCCCCCCCCCCTTCAAAACGCCGTCATCAGAGTACGACGTATCGCAATTCGCAAGGTGTCTGGAGTTGGTGGGACGGGTGCGGATCACGGCGGGGAGGGGGAGAGAGGAACAAGGTATCGAGTGTGCTAAATTTATCATTGTAGTATCATGAGTAGCATTACCTCGGAGTAGTAGTACTGTGCTGTATTCCTGCTTCCTGCTCTGCGAGTGTACGGATACCCGTATTGACTCGTAATAAGCAGAAGTAGAGAAGGAAGGCGGATTTGGGAGTTTGTGTCGTGCAGCCGTAGAGGAGGAGCTGCAGGCGGGACAAGGACCAGAACCAGGGTTGAGATCCAGTCGCTACGAGATGATTACGTCCTCTTGGCCAGTCAGTATCTTTCCTTTCCTCTCCTTTCCTTTTTGCTCTGTCCACGGTTTGGAGTACATCTTACTACGTTGGGACCCCATGTACCGTGGGGGAGGCGCCCTGTGACGTCAGTTTGGGGAATTGGCTTTGCTCTCTCTTGCTTTGTCGAGCTGCGAGTGATACGAGTGCGGTAATAAAGCCGCATATCATTTAGGACATTCTGTGTTTCTGTACTGGCAGTATAATGTACATGTAGTGAGCCGGAATACCACTACCAATAGTAGCGACTACGAGTAGTGATACTACGTGTGATAGTACTAGAGGTACCGTACTACCAATTGAGGTACGGATACGCACCGCACATATCACCTCCATATCTATTCGCAGTCTACCAGGTTCGGTGGCAATTGTGGGCAGAGGTGCGAGCTGTCACCTGGATGCGTTGCTATTCGCTCTCATACACGGTACCCCTACTAGTTTTCGTGCGAGTATTCGTGCCTGGACATGCAGTACTATTAAAACGGTGGCCCTCTCCCTCGGAGTACACATGGTAAGCAGGTCATGCTCGCGAAGTTCGCACGTATTCCATCATCGATCCATTGGGCTCCAATCTGACCATCTATGGGTGATGCGCCACCACGGAGAAGACTAGAAAAGGGACTGCGCCATTGAACCTGGTCGAGGAAAGATGTCGCCGGAAGGCTCGTGTAAGTCACCCACACACGCTGTTTCCTTCCCGTCGAGCGGTTAGGCACAGGATTCACAGTCGGGTTGCGCCGGCTTTTTATTGCCGAATCACCGCAACCTACTCTTACCTGAAGGAAGCTGTCAGGAAGGATGCACGATGTCGTTCCTGCCGTGGTATTGAATATTGGCGTGCTCTTGCCATCAGCGCCTCCTGGCAGCTCCTTCCTTCCCGTACTAGTAGACCTTGAACCATATCCCTCTCCCCATCACGTCTTCTCGATGGAGAGATTGTTGGCACTTCTCTCAATCTCCATCTCCCAATACCCACCATCATCTATATGAAGAAAAATCGCCACAATAAGGCCATCGACAATCTGATTTCCGGGTCTCACACGCAATCCTATGATTCGAGGTACAAGAATCGAGTCTGGCTGATGGAACGATTCTCCGTACCTTTTACTGGTGCTAGTAGATTCACAGGGAGCGGGGGGGGGGGGGGGGGGGGGGGGGGGGGGGGGGGGGGGGGGGGGGGGGGGGGGGGGGGGGGGGCAATTTTCATGTCCTCGGCCACCAATCAGTACATGTATTCACCAGCAAACCGACGGCTTGCCTCTTCGGCTGTGTGTACAGTAAGTACTCCGTATGCTCCGTATGCTTCGTAGCATTAGAGAACAATGATAAATTGTAATAGGACAGGCAGCTCCAAAGTTTATGACCACGTATGGAGACCCTTGGGGCGGGTGGCGAACCTGGCGGCTGTTGATGTTTTGACAGGTTTATCGGCGCGCCGGTGCAACGCCACGCAGACCCATACCCATGAACGAGGCCCGGTATTACACCGTCCCAAGTGCAATGCACCAAAGCCGCCGCTTTCTCCCCCTTGGTGTCGTTGTTGCTCCATATGCCCTCCTCCACCCGGGGGCCCACACTCGTGATCCCTGACTATTACGGAGCACGGAGTACAAGATTACATGTACGAGTATTTATGTACGGGGCTGCACACGACTGGCGGCGTCCTGTTAGTATGAATACTCCGTACGAATATACGAACAAGTACAGTCGACCTGCCGTTGCGGAAACCCGTGAATATGGGAGGCCCAGGTGAAAAGCTTACCAGATCCCGATCAAGTGCAACAAACTCCATCTTTACTACCGTGACCAAGGCACACGCACAACCACTCTGAAGCAACGTTGCCGTCCCCCTACGATGTCATAGCTTTTCCACTCGCTTCGACCAAGAAGAGTAAGCCTGATCCTCCCATTCTCCTAGCATATCCTACTAGACAATCCTCGATATTACTCAGTACTGTACTTGACCGTTCACAGCAAACCAACCGCCAACCTCGGCAGCCCCCGGTTCAGCCTGAACTGCAGACTACCGTTATTAGTCGCCATCTTGTTCACACACCACACACCACACACCGCACACCGCACGCCACAGAACATACACGCCCCCCCCCCCTTCCGTATCGATTCAAATGGCCCCATGAGCCTGGTCGCTGAGCTTTGTGGTCATCATATCCTGTCTTGCTCAATGAGCTAGTGGGTCCCTGGTTCTCTTGTTCTGCTGAGCCCGTCACTTGTTGCTTGCTTGAGGCTGTATCGGGATCCCCTGCTTCAACCTGATCTAGTACGTGTACGAGTACCTGACGTGGTGGTAATACTCTTGTACTTTTGTTCGCCTCATGTCCCATCTTCCCCAGACACTGTCCTTCTCTCGCTTTCCTTGTTTTGCCGCTCTTACCAGACATTCGTCACTCTCAGCCAGGTCAATCAAACGATCAGCTTACTGATACGTTAACCAGGTAGTCTACCTAAACGTCTGCTACCACTACTGCATCATCACTCATCACTACTCAGACACCCTTACTTGGGTCGAAGAACACGAGAGCCTGTACATCCCTCGACGTTCCCATATTCCACGGGGATCGACTCGTCATAACCCCATTGGCTCCCATCTTGCGTTGGGGCATACACATACATCTCGCCTCTACGGGACAGTAGTCCTCGGATCCATCATTCGTCACGACCTAGGAGACACTATCGTTCGTTGACGCTGCTACCACCCCGTCTTCTGGCAGCTGCCGTTGCGTGTCATACACGACGTCAAACATAGCGCCCAATCACCATACCCCCTCCCTCCCCCTTTTCCCCTGTCCACTCCTATCCTTATTCTCCAGCGATTGTACTCTTCGAGTACGGAACGGAGTCTAGGTACCAATCCCTGCACAGATCCTCACTGTGTCATTGCATTGGTTCGTGGCACCTAGGAGTTACCTTCTTCGTTAGTACGCCCAAGGAAAGACGCTGAGGTACATGAAAAAGTCTGCAGGCGGCGCCCAAGACGACACGCAGACAACACTCCGTCCCAACCTTGGCCATAACCACCCAGGCACTTCTCTATCGGGGCTGCGCGACCCGCTTACCGCACAACTCCCCGCAAAGCCCTCTTTCCCGCCAGCCACAGCCACCACCTACATCTTTTCCCGGCCCAAGTCCCACACACAGCCGTTCAGGCTTGTAACAAGCTCTCTATCCTATGTGGCGTCAGCTCCGTAATCTTAAGTGGCAACTTGCTCCCTGAGCTTGGACTATATCATTTCCTTGACGACCGCCGCTTCTTCTTCTTGGGGGCAGCCCTACCGTGTATACCGTGGAACGTGCTGTTCTGGGGACAGTGGTTGTTCTTTAAAGGCTTGGGAGTCCCCCCCTCTTTAGGCGCTCCCTAACCATTCGTCCCATCCCGGCCATTAAGGCGCCCGAGCCCACAACTAAACCGGGCTTGAAGCAGAACCATCACGATCCTTATTGTCGGAATTTTTGCAGCCTCGATCAAACCTCTGCCATCGGTATTGACCTCTGTTTAACAATGGGTGAGCTCCAGGAACAACCGCCGCCGGTCTCTGGCCAAGGCGGCAAGCCAATCCAGGGCAGTCTCGACACTGCTGGCATGCCCCCCCCAGCGTCGGCATCAGCCCAAGACCAACAGAAAGCGCCCGAGCTGGCAGTTCCGACCACGACAGGCCAGGGAAGGGTACCATCGCAAAATGCGTTCGCCTCTCATCCCGTTCATCGCGATGCAATGTCTCCGCCTCAGCCAACTCCACGGTCAGGTCCTTACAACATGATAGCCATGGCCAACGCTCTCCCGCATGATCCATACAGGGGAGGGGGCCACTATCCCTCTGGAGCCCATCATCACTACAGCCCATCCCATTCAGCATCGGGGATGCGACACCCGCCTCAGATGCCGCCGTACGGGGCAGCACCGCCGATTCCCCTGATGGACCACGGGTACTATGCTCAGCAGCCACCGCCGCCGCCGCCGCCGCCGCCGCTGCCGCCAATGGGACAGTACTATGGGACTGGCCAGCCCCAATCTTCGATCCCCCCGAGACAACCCATGCCATACTACCCGAACCACATGGTCATGACCCACGCTCAACCGGCCTATTATTACCCGCAAGCGGCTCCTTACGGTGCTGGGATCCCTGGAATGACGCCTGTGGTGCATCTCTCCCAGTACATGGCTGGCGGTGCGGCTATGGGGAGCAACACTCGACCGTCCGGACAAGTGCCTGCTCCGGTCTCACCTCAGCCTGATCGGCAGCGGCAGGCCTCAGGTGAGACAATAGGGCGCCCTCTCTTCTACAGCCAACGGACCGTTGATAGAGTTAACACTGTAACAGATCCCGGCGATAAGAAAAAGGGTGCAGTGCGTGGTCCACCGCGCAAGCCTCGTCAGAGTGGTAAGCTTCTTTCCCTCCCAGGCCGGAGACAGCGTTACTTTATTGGCTGACACGAGAGATAAACAGGTCATGCAATTTGGATCGGGAATCTTCCTCCACAGACTGAGCTAATGAGTCTGGTGCAACATGTGTGCAAGGAGGCCCCGGGGCTCGAGTCTCTCTTCTTGATTTCCAAGAGCAACTGCGCCTTTGCCAACTACAAGGACGAGGCAGCTTGTGTCGAGGCACAGCAGAGGCTTCACGACTCAAAGTTCTACACGGTACGACTGGTCAGTCGACTTCGGAAGAGCACGGTAGAAAGCGTGAGCGGAGCAACGGCACCGACAGGGCCGTTGTCGACGGCGGCAGCTACGCCGACGGTACATGATTCGAGCGAAGAGTCATCGAGTCTGTCTCACCTCCAGGAGAGTGGCAGCGCAAGCCCGGTTGCGACTTCAGAGCCGCCGTCGCAGCCGCAGAGCCCTGCACCGGCTGATGCGGCAGGTCCCAAGGACAGATTCTTCATCCTCAAGAGCCTGACAGTCGAGGACCTAGAGCTCAGCGTCGACACAGGAATGTGGGCAACGCAGTCCCACAACGAACAGGCGCTGAACAGTGCATTCAAGGTGAGTGGTGTCGAGGAAGTGTGGCTGTTTTGGCGCGGTTCGCTAACGGACGTATGCAGCAAGCGGAGAATGTATACCTAGTCTTCTCGGCCAACAAGTCTGGAGAATACTTTGGTTACGCACGCATGGTTTCCGAGATCAACGAAGACCCTACAGCGGCCATTGAGTTTGCCCCGACGTCGCAGGCCGTGAGCGATGTAGACCTGCCGAAAGCGACCCCCACCGAGGCGAGCGAACACGTACCAAAGGGGCGAATCGTCGACGATTCTGCCCGAGGCACCATCTTCTGGGAGCTTGAAAAGGAGGGCGGCGTGAGTGGTGGTGGTGGTGGTGGTGGTGGCGGCGGCGGCGGCGGCGGCGCCGATGCAGGTGATGGTATCATGTCGGAAAGTGAAGATGACACGGCAACAAGCACCAAGGATGGTGGAGAGGGCGACGATGAAGACAAGCCACAGACGTGGGGCAAGCCCCTCAAGCTAGAGTGGATTTCGACAAACAGACTTCCGTTCTACAGGACTAGGGGACTCCGGAACCCGTGGAACTCAAACCGCGAAGTCAAAGTGGCCAGGGATGGGACGGAACTGGAGACGACTGTTGGTCGGAAGCTTGTCGGACTGTTTAACCGACCAGGGGGTACAGGACAGCAGCAGTCTGTGCAGCAGTCTATGCGGTCCCCTTCTGGCCCTCCCGGGGGCAATGCTTCTCGGGTACGATACATGTGATTATGGGTGGGGTTTGGAAAGGGAAGAAAAAAGTTGGGTTGCTGGTGTTAATAAACATAGATTTCGTGCGTCAGAGATGTCGCTACTCTTGTGTACGGTAGCAGCAGTGTCTGCGAATAATTCTTTGGATATATATATGTATAATATATATTGTTAATTATATATTACATATTATATATATATAGTCGTATAGTATACATATATATATCAAGGTCTTGGGTTCAAGAGTCGATTACAATGGCGCTCGAACAATTCACATTACTCTCGAGGCGAAATTCCATGGTGTGTATCGCCAATAGACTGGCTTGCCATTCTTCATACGAGTAGGCCAGAGAGCCTTCTAGTGCTGCTTATTGCCCACCAAACCGAGGTCTGTCTACTCGTACGTGTACGGGTTACCCACTCGTAGCAAAGTAGTACATCCAGGCGGAGATAATACGCGTATAAATACAGTGTGACAAGAAGAAGAAAAAGAGGACAGTGCTCCATTCTTATCCTGATTGTGTGCAGATTAGTTGAACTAGGGGCCAAGAGCCAGAGTCTGTGTTACACTGTGTGCGGGACAGTGCGTATAACGCTGATAGGTGGAGACGGGCTGGCAGCTGGTGGCGTGCCGGAAACTGCTCGGGGGTGGGGGATTCTGGTATTACAGGTATTATTACAGTGAATGAAACGGCTACTGATTACTAGAAGATTCCACCAACTCCCACGCGGTTCTAGCAACTGCCAACAACTACCAGCAACTACCAGCAACCACCGGCAACCGCCAACCGCCACCATCTGACTTTCCACCTGACAAACCATCTCATCGACCAGAAGCTGGAACATTCTTGCCGCGTCCCAGCTTGCTTCGAGGCAGTACAGGTGTGGAAGATGGTGGTTCATTCCGGAAGGTGCGGTCGTGATGGCTTCGGGGTATTAAAGGGACGTGATAATCCATGATGTTGGAGATTCTTTTCTGTCTTGTTCATCAGCATACACACACTCATCACTCAAGCACTCAAGCTTCAAAGCACTCAAACTTCAACCACTTCACTCAACAGATTCAAAAACATCCTTCCCTGTCTTTCAAGACATACAACACTCATCACTCAGTATCTCGTCTTTTCTTGAGACCGACCACACACTTTCCAACATCAAAATGGCCTTCTTCCCCCGCACCACCTACAACGACACCTCCTTCACCCCCCTCTTCCGTCTCCTTGAGGACTTCGACGCCTACTCCAAGGACACCGGAGCCAAGAATGGCCGCGTCGAGAACGGCCGCCTCTCCGGCCTCCCAACTTGGCAGCCCAAGTTTGACGTCCGCGAGACAGCTGACGCTTACGAGCTCCACGGAGAGCTTCCTGGCATCGCGAGGGACAACGTTTCCATCGAGTTTACCGAGCCCCAGAGCTTGTTCATTCGCGGCAGGATTGAGCGCAACTACACTTCCAGCTCTCCCCAGACGGGCATCGAGGCTGGTGACGCCAAGGGCGCCATAACCGATGGCAGCCACAGCCCCCACCAGGCCACTGTCGAAGACGAAGAGCAGTCCAACGCTCACGAGTCTGGTGCCCCTTCTCCTACCCAGGTTGCCACGTCTAAGAAGAAGCAGCCCGCCGAAAAGGTCAAGTACTGGGTCAGCGAGCGCAGCATTGGGGACTTCTCCCGATCATTCACCTTCCCTACCCGGGTCGAGCAGGATGGCGTGACTGCCGCTCTTAAGGATGGTGTTCTCAGTGTCATTATCCCCAAGGCCAAGAAGCATGAAGCTCGCCGTATCGCTATCGACTAGACGGCTTGTTGAAACGACATTGATCCATTTTGTTTTTTGGCTTGTATACGCATACGACAAACCTGCATGGAATTGGGCGTTTTTTTTTGAGAAATCAGAGGGAACTTGTCCGATGGAGGGCCCGAGTACTTTGGACTGTTTTTCATAGCTTACTTGTTTTTTACCTGTTCGTACCACACACAATATAACTTTGATTGCCTTTTTTTAAAGATTGATAATATCTGCATTGAGAGAAATACGTGTGATGAGTAGACAAGAATAGTACACCAACATCGAGCCGACGATGGCAGAGGAGCCAAGAACCATGACTCGGTTGAATCCATTCTCTGCTAAAATCAGTGATGGCCAGTACAGATAATCGTTTACGATTATCAACAGTGAAAAGAATGTCGGTAAAACCATTCGTTGTTGGCATTCCATCAAACCGATCACGTGAGTTGGCGTCCCGCAGTGGCGACTGCTGACATGATTTCAGTTCCCCCACGACGCGTCCCCCCCGCGTCAACATCAGCCTTTTCCTGTACTTTGTCATCAGCCATCGGCGCGAATTTACGACAAGACTGCATCCTTTGAGACGGTCCCTTTCCGCGCTGCTCACTGCTCTCACGTCGAATAGTCCCTCTCCTCTCCTTCTTTTTACTTTGCGTGGTACAACTCCCGGCACTCATGAGCCAAGAATACGATGAAGGCCAAACGGCCGATGATGGTGGCTCTGCCGGACCTGGAGCGCCCACTCCTCTGTCTGCTCTGGAGGTATGCTCTACATATGTTGCCTCTCTCTCTTCACCTCCATATCCATCTCTCTCTCTCTCCCCTCTTTCCCCACAAACTTCTAATTATCATGACCCCTGACAAACAAACCAAAAACCAGGGCATTGCTGGTTTGACAAAACGTGATATTCAACTCGTTGTTGACGGAGGATTCAACACGGTCGAGGCGGTGGCGTATACACCTCGGCGAGTGCTGGAACAGATCAAGGGGATATCTGAGCAGAAGGCTGCCAAGATTTTGGGTGAAGGTATGTCTCTTGTCTATCTCGGAAGGATATCCCTTCTCTTGACTCTATAACCCTCCTCCCGCGAAAAAGAAAAAAAAGATCCATCTCTCTAGTCTGCCCTCCCTCAAAAAAGGCATGGGGGAAAAAAGAAGAAGGGGAAAGAATGGAAGCGAAGAGGGAAGAGAGAGAGAGGAAGTAAAGAGACTAACACAGAGGTCGGAGAAAAATAGCATCCAAACTTGTTCCTATGGGTTTTACAACAGCGACAGAGATGCACCAACGACGCAGCGAACTCATCTCCATCACCACGGGCTCTAAAAACCTAGATACCCTGCTGGGCGGTGGTATCGAGACCGGGTCGCTGACGGAGCTTTTTGGCGAGTTCCGCACGGGCAAGAGCCAGATCTGCCACACCTTGGCCGTGACGTGCCAGCTCCCCTTTGATATGGGCGGCGGCGAGGGGAAGTGTCTGTACATTGACACGGAGGGGACCTTCCGCCCCGTCCGTCTGCTGGCCGTGGCCAACCGCTTCGGCCTGTCGGGCGAGGAGGTCCTAGACAATGTGGCGTACGCGCGGGCCTACAACTCAGACCACCAGCTGCAGCTGCTCAACCAGGCGGCCGCCATGATGTGCGAGACGCGCTTCTCGCTGCTCATCGTCGACAGCGCCACATCGCTGTACCGCACCGACTTCTGCGGCCGCGGCGAGCTGTCCAACCGGCAGACGCACCTGGCCAAGTTCATGCGCACCCTCCAGCGGCTGGCCGACGAGTTTGGCATTGCCGTCGTCCTCACCAACCAGGTCGTCGCCCAGGTCGACGGTGGCCCCAGCGCAATGTTCAACCCGGACCCCAAGAAGCCCATCGGCGGCAACATCATCGCCCACGCCAGCACCACGAGGATCAGCCTGAAGAAGGGCAGGGGCGAGACGCGTATCGCCAAGATCTACGACAGTCCCTGTCTCCCCGAGGCGGACACTCTGTTTGCGATTTCCGAGGAGGGTATCGGGGACCCGGCGCCCAAGGATGTCGAGAAGGACTGAGGATAAGGTTTAGGTCTGGGCTCGGGTTTGTTTATAGGTCTTTGGTCTGGGGCGGTCTTCTCCATCTCTTGGCTGCTCCCACTCTTGGGGAAATGCACAGAATACTGGCTCATACTGGGGTATCATGGTTGTCAAGATTTCATGGATCAATACAATGTTTGCATGGCTTGAGGCGTTATCTACACAAGTTTTTTTTTAAACTCTTTCTCTTCATTTTTGACTTNCTCTTCATTTTTGACTTTTTTTTTTTTTTTTTTTTTTTGCTATTATTTTTCTTGTTCATTGCTGTCTGTAACGGTGATGGGGTACATGTTTTTCGTTCCCGGATCGATAGACCAGGATCGATTTGCTAATGAGGAAAAGGAAAGAGGGAAAACACCTTTTGGAGCTCCATCGTTAATAGGATGCGGAACAAATGATTTAAATTGTGTAAAAGATGCAAAAGGTCAAACCTCAATAAAAAGGCTTGAAGGAAGGTAATGTGAGATGTATTATATCATTCCTCGTAGACTTTAATCATGGGTTGGACCTCATTGAAGCTCGTTTCCCTTTTGGGTTAGCGTCCGATGAGAAGGACCGGAAATTCTAGCCTGCAACAAACGCGACGACCACGGTCCACGGCAACGACAAACAAACTTAACTATCAACTCAAACCACGACGACAAACCGTCCCGACGACCAGAAGGCCAATCTTCTCTCTCATCTCCCCCGTATCTGATCGGTCTACACAATCGCTGCCGAACAACGATATCGCTCTCTTCCCCTTTCCAGTCGCCGCGCCTCTGGCAACCGAATGGAGGCGAGATGGCCTCAGGCGGGATTCAGTACCTCTTCAAAGAGACCGGCTTGAACCTCGAGCCTCTGTCAGCGTCAGCGGTGGTGACGGTCCGAGTACCCGGATCCTCCTCCTCCTCGACAGCGCCTGGCAATAAGAGATTGACGGCTAGTGGTGGCAGTGGTAGTGGCTTCGGCGTCGAGGACGAGACGACGTTTCGATCTCAGAACCTCGCGTCCGCGTCTTCGATATACCACCGTCAGCACCATGACACGCCGCGCAGCTTCCTCTGGCGCGTGCTGGAAGACGGGACGACGCTGAGCGTGCGCGCCGTCGACGTCTGCCGGAGGGACAGGGCCGCCGCCGACGCGCCTCTCATCCTCAACTTCCACTTCGAGACGCCCCTCCTGCCCGGATGCGTGGCCCTGGCTGACCCGCGCGAGCACGACGCCCTGTGCGTCTTCGCGCTCGACCAGTCGCACGTTCTGTGGACGTTCACCCTGCGCCCCGACCTGTTCAGGAAGAGGGCCGCCGTCGACGCCGGCCTGTCCGACCTGGCGAAGCGGTATGCGCCCGCCGGACTGTCGTTTAAGCACCCTCACCGCATGGTGGCTGTGTCTGCCGACACCCTGCTCGTCACGGTCAATGACGGTGGCCTGATGCGTCTCGACAGGACCACACCAGATGATGGTAAGTACACCCAAGACACCGGCGAGGCACCCTCGGATTGAAAGGGAGACAAGCTGTGGCTAACGATGGTGGCATCAACCGTACAACTAGCCTCGCAAGGCCCTTGGAAGGATTCATTCTTCAATGTCCAGGGGTGGAAGCAGAACCTGCGCAGCCTCCTCCCCTTCCAGGGCAACCACACCATCCGGTACGGAAAGATCAACATGGAGTACAGCGCCGCGACGTCGGTGCAGGTGACGTCCCTCGGCGTGGAGGACTGCCTGTACGCCGTGACGGTCTGCCTGGACCACCGGATGCGCATCTGGAACCTCGCAGACGGCCAGATCCTGCACACGGGCGACATACTCGACGTCGACCGCCCGCCGCAGGAGGTGGGCAGGTGGGTCATCGACCCCTTCCAGTCCAACCTGGTGCAGGTGGTGGGCCGCACGCGCGGGCAGAGGATCTGCGCGACGTACTCGCCCGTGGGGGCCGGCGAGTTCAAGTTCTGGAAGATCTCCGCCAAGGGCACGCACACGGTGGTGGTCGAGGACCTGTTCCCGCGCATCAGGCTCGCGCCCAAGACGCCGTCGACGTCGGACGTGTGGACCCTGGCCGACTTCGTCCTGTCCAGCCCGGAGGAGGGCCAGATCAACCTGTGGACGCTGTGGAAGAACAACATGACGTACAAGGTGCAGAGGCTGCCGCTCGACCGACGCGACATGGCCAAGTCGTGGGCCGAGAGCTGGGAGGGCGTCTTCGCCGAGACACGCGACTGGGCCCCCGCCTCGTCGGGCTCCTGGGAGCCCACCGATGTCACGGAGAAGTGGCTGCAGGCCATCCTCCAGCCCGGACGCTTCACGAAGGCGACGCTCGCGACGGCGCTGTCTATCTACGAGCAGGGCCTGGGCCTGGGCGCCTCGAGAGACGCCACCAGAGGGCGCGGCATCGCCGAGGCCATCTGTACCGTGCTGGGCGCGACGGCCTCGCTGGACCGCGGGGCCTCGGGCTCGGCCGACTACGAGCAGTTCCGCGCGTCGGGGGAGACGCAGTGGCGCCGCTTCTACCGCCTGCTCCTGGAGCTCGACAAGCAGAGGGGCGAGGCCATCGGCCTCGCCGTCGACCCGGCCACAGACCTAGCCTGGGTGGTCTGCACGGACCTCCTGTCGGCCATCCGGGACTGCAGCGCCCTGGAGATGCTGTACTACAACCTGCAGTCGCCGGCCGAGGACCAGGCGCAGCAGGCCGCGCTGATCCAGTCGGCCATGGTCTTCGTCGACGGCTTCTCGGACGGCTTCGTGCACATGTGCGAGGCGGTGCTCCGGCCCGAGATTTTTGAGGAGTCGTCCAGGACCGACCTCGAGCGCATCCAATACTTCTCGGACAAGTCGGGCTTCTGGCGGGGCATCACCGACGACGACTGCGCCCAGGTGGTCAAGTACCTGGGCGACAACTTCTCCGTCGTCACCGACGAGCTGTACGCCGAGCTGCTCGACCTCATCTCGGCGCCCCTCGAGGCCAAACGCCAGGACCTGCGCCACCCCCTCAGCGACTTCGGCCGCAGGCTCACCATCAAGGCTGTGCAGGAGACCATCGACCTGTACTGGAAGGTGTGCTTCAGCCAGCTGATCCTGCTCGTCCACATGGAGTTCGAGTTTGACAACGAGGACGACGCCCTCCACCACCGCGTCGACATCGGCTCCGCCTACCGCCAGCTCGTCGACGCCCTCCGCCGCCTCGAGCTCCTCAGGTGGCTGGCCAGAACCGAGACGTCGGTATCCCTGCCCCCCCAGGCCAAGTCGTCCTCGGCATCGTCCTCGCTACCGTCAGACGCCAGCCCTGCCACCGTCCGCGCCAGCGGCGGCAACAAGTGGTCTGGCTCCGGCGATGACTACCAGGTTGTGACGGCCCTTGAGGCCAACCTGGGTCACCTGCTCGGCTTCGGCGGGGACATCTACCAGGACATCTCCCTTGCCACGGCCCTGACGGACCTGGTGGCCAACCTGTGCGCCCCAGACAGCGACATCGAGATCTCGGCCCCGCTCATCCAGTGCAACCTGCTGAGGCAGGATAGGGCGGATCTGGCCCTCGAGCTGTCCCTGTTCTGCGACCAGGAGCCCTTTTCTGTCTACGTACAGGCTCGTGTCTTCCTGGCCCTCAAGGATTTCGAGTCGGCAGCGAACCACTTTAGAAAGGCAGCCATTGGCATGGGTACGTCTTCTTTCTCTCTCTCTCTCTCTCTCTCTCTCTCTCCCTTTGGTTTCTTTTTTTTCCCGAGCCATTTTCTGAGGAGACGCTTCTTTCTAACTTTACTTGACAGGCACCGAATCTTTCCGAGTGGATCGGCATAGCAGCGGCCTGCTCGACGATACAGAATGGAACATGCTGAACAAGGGGGTGGGCAAGTACTATTCCCACGTGGTGGCGCTGTTCGAGCGGTCCAGGGCCTTCTCGTACGTGATCGAGTTCTCTCGGTTAGCGGTGCAGTTCATGGGCGACGGCGACGGCGGCGACAACCTGACGCGGATCGACCTCCTGAGCCGGCTGTTCAACGCGGCGGTGCAGACGTGCCAGTTCCAGCTGGCGCACACGACGCTCCTGTCGCTGTCGCAGCAGGACAGCGCGCTGCGGCACTCGAGCCTACGCAAACTGGTGGACAGGATGTGCGAGACGTACCACAACACTGAGCTCGTGGCCCTACCCTTCCCGGGCATGCAGCAAGACGTGGACGATCTGCTGGCGGACCGGTGCCGCAACGCCATGGACGTGGTCCACGGCTTCCCCTACCATCAGGTCCTGTACTCGTGGAGGGTGCGGCACTCGAACCTCCGCGGCGCCGCGTCCGTCATCCTCGACCGCATACAGAAACTCCGCCTGGCCGGTGAGGGCGACAAGTTCTCCGGCGATGACGACCTCGACACCCCCGTCACCAGGCAGTACCTCCTCCTCATCAACGCCCTCAGCTGCGTCGACCCCAAGCAGGCGTGGATATACGACGAGGGCGTCCCCACCCAGCGTAACGCAGGCCTTCCCGCCTCTACCAAGAGGAAGGTCGTCTCCCTCGCTGACATCCGAAAGCAGTACCAGGAAGAACTTGATAGGATTGCCGCCATACAGAATAACCAGTTTGGTTTCCAACCCGATGATGACGTGGAGATTGTGTAGTCTAGTAGGAAAGGAAGGGGTTTTTTTTTTCTTTTTTTTACGAAGCATAAATGGTAGGGAGGGTTTACAATTGTATGTCAGTTTTTTCTTTCTTTTTTTTGGCAAAAACAAAAAGTTTGAAGTAATACGAAAAAAAAGAGATACCAATATTTTCTGGTGATTCAATTCACAATGAAAAGAAATGTTGCCAGTATTTTCTTCACGTTGTATAATTTCAAATCTTAGGGGGAGTTCATCCCGTTTACACAGAATAGACACGGACAGGGTTTCCAAGTGACGAGATATTGTAGTTACAAGGGACAAGAGAAGAATGAAAACTTGTATAAAACTGGCTTTCCGTCTCTGATTAAAAAATCCGCAACGCCTATTTCTATGCTTTGAAGAGAGAGAGAAGAAGAGAGGAAGGGCGTAAACGAGGTACCAAGAAAAAAGAGAAATATTGAAGAAAAAGAAAAAGGAAAACAAGACGAAACAGTTCCCGTGCAAGAGAAAAAGACACAGGGAATGTACGGCAAAAGAAGACGATGGATGGATCATGCCTGTGCCGCTGCTGCGGGAGCCATCTTGTTTTCGGGCGGTGGGGGGAGAGAGTGTGTGCCTGGGTTCTCGAGCTGCGGTGTGTCCGGGGGCTGACGGTAGAGGATGATTTCCGACTGCTTAAAGTAACGGCGGGCGTCTATAATACGTCAGTTGCCAGGATGGCACATAGAGAGAGGGAGAGGGAGTAAAGAAGGAAGGAAGCAAGTAAAAATATGAAGGAATTAAGGAATTAAAAACGTACCCTCGTCTATCAGGACTAGACTGAGATAGTACCTGGTGGAAAACTTCTTGTTGACGTCGCGAAAGGTAGGGGTGAGGTCGAATCCACCGAGGAAGAGACGGATGGGAATGGTCTCGCCCCTAGAGGGGGAGCCGTCCATGATCTCGAAGCGGACGAGGGTCTCGCTCTCGTTGTACTGGTTAGGTGCGGCCCCGGTGGTCTCGCGGCGGATGATGGACAGCTCCATGTGCTTGATCTTGAGGCGGACGAGGAGGAAGTAGATGCGGCCGACGATGACGTCCTTGAGGTGGTACTTGGACTTGGAGTACTCGAACTCGATGTGTAGGCAATCCTCTATACCGACGTCCATCTTGATGCTGCTGTTGATCTCGGGAGGGATGCGGTAGCTGTAGACCCATATGTCCTTTTCACGGATGACGTCGGCCATGCGCCTAGAAACGGTGACGCGCGTGAAGTAGCGGAGCTTGACGTTGATGCCGTTGTACGACTCGTACTGCTTCTCGACATTCTTGAAGTTGAAGTCGAACGTCTGGGGATGCTGGAGCTCCCCGGGAGCCGCGAGCTCCTGGTTCAGGCAGAGAAACTCGTAGTGATTTCCGCGATCAAAGAACATTTCTGTTTTTCATCCCCTCGGGAATAGAGAGTCAGTATACATATGAACATATATATATGTATACATGTACGAATGCATATATGTCGCCCCGAGTCTGGGTTCAGTCGATCATACCTATAGTGCCGATAAACTGCACCTTGATGCCAGTGTGCTCTAGGCGCTTCCCATCCTTGGGTCGCACCGTCACAGCTCCCTTGACCGACTCGCCATCCATAAAGAGAGGCGCCTTCTCGCGCCGGTTCTTGTCCAGCTTGACATCCACCATGGACCGGTTGTCCGTGTCCTCGAGGACAATGTCGATATCGACGGGCGTCGAGAAGAAGTACGACATGGTGGGCGGGAAGGGTGAATGTGAACCAATCGCGCGCGCCGCCGCTGCCTATGTTTTGCTGCGTCGTTATGGGGGGAAAGGGGGCGTGCCTGACGTAGTACCAGCTAGTCGCACCTATGCGCAACTTGAAGCTAGACACGGTAAGAAGAGCCAGAGTCGTTTTAATTGACGATGGTCGGCGAGATCCGGGTTGGCTGAGGCGATTGAGCGTACTCGTAGTCGTAGCTTGGAGGGGAGGCTGGAAGCGTTGGGACGCTGACGTACATTACTGGCTGCAGTTGCTTCCCGGGTACATCTGGTTTGGTACCTCTCTTTTCTGTCCGGCTCAAGGGGAATCCCGAGCTTCAGCGTTCCCAGCGTATGTCACTCTCTCTCTCTGTCTCTTCTGTTTCTCCGAGACTGTCGCTCTAGCTCTTGATTAACCCCCACTGTAGACGCATAAGACGATATTCTTGTAAGAGGGATGTGGACCTCGGGATGGGTCACGTGCAATGTCACGTTTTGAACGAATTTCGTAGAGCCCACATGGAGAAAAACCCCGGTTCAACCGCGGCAAAAAAAAAATATTACTCAAGCCTAAAGAAAGAAGACAAGGTCCCTCTTGTGCCCTCACGTGCGCCACCAGCCCTAGAACTTTTCCGCCCACAGGAAATTCGTCAAACCACTTTCGTGATCGCCCGCGTCCCGATACCAAGGATACCCTCAACCGTCCTCCGCCCCCCGACGACGACACTCACCACACAGCCGGCAGGATGAAGTACATTCATTCACAGGAGTCCCTTGACATCCCCGAGGGTGGTACGTGAACACTCTTTCTCTTCTCGTTCTCTCGTCGTCTTGGTTTCGGAATGCGCCTCGATCCTACCTCAAAGAGGATTTTGCGAAATGTTGGACCAGCCGGGCCAAAAGAAGGGAAGGCCTCTTTCTCTCCTCAGGCCCGATGCGAGGACACGGGAGCAAATCCTTTCTCGAGAAATGATCGAGATACGAGACGAATCAATACGGGGAAGAGGGGGATCAACAATCGTTCATTTTTGACCAGGCAAACTGCCAACTGCCTTCGAAGACGTAGAACTGACTTTTTTTTTCCTCCTGTACAGTCAAGGTCAGCATCAAGACCCGCGTCATCACTGTCGAGGGCCCCCGAGGTACGAAGCATTCTTTTTTTTCCCTTCACGATCGACCATACGAGGTTCTCTCCCCTCAGCCCTCTCTCTTTGACGGAGGGAGGGCCCAGGGTGAGGGGTGAACCAGCTGTAGTCGAAAGATGGTTACCCTTTTTTTTTTCACAAGGTCATTTGCCTAACAAGTGGGGTTTCAATTGCAGGCAAGCTCGTCAGGGATCTTTCCCACCTGGCCGTCGTCTTCGGCCAGCCCAAGAAGAACACCATCTCCATTGAGATCCACCACGGCAACCGCAAGAATGTCGCCGCTCTCCGCACCGTCCGCTCGATCATCAACAACATGATCGTCGGTGTCACCAAGGGCTTCAAGTACAAGATGCGCTACGTCTACGCCCATTTCCCCATCAACGTCATCCTGGACAAGAAGGCCGAGAGCGGTCTCTGGGAGGTCGAGATCCGTAACTTCATTGGCGAGAAGTACGTCCGCCGGGTCGTTATGCAGACCGGTGTCGACGTCGAGGTCTCCAAGAACCAGAAGGACGAGCTTGTCCTGACCGGCAACTCGCTCGAGAACGTCTCGCAAAGCGCTGCCGACATCCAGCAGGCCTGCCGTGTGCGCAACAAGGATATCCGAAAGGTACTTTTCTCTTCTTCCTTCCCTGCCTTCCTAAGCCAATGGAGAGGGTAGGAGGGAGAGGGGTAAGAAAGGAGCAGCGTATCATATATGTACATATGGTATGGGTCGAGTTTGTCCTCGAATTTTTGTCCGAGGCCACACCACCTATACATGCGTCTATACATGCGTATACATATATACACTCAACCTCTTTTCTTCCCCCTCCCCCCCCCNGTCCTCGAATTTTTGTCCGAGGCCACACCACCTATACATGCGTCTATACATGCGTATACATATATACACTCAACCTCTTTTCTTCCCCCTCCCCCACCCTCACTCTCTGCCCTTTACACTCAATCTGGAACCACGCCCGTGCTAACAATTGCCTCACAGTTCCTGGATGGACTGTACGTGTCCGAGAAGGGTCACATCGTGGAGGACAACTAGGGACTTAACGGATTGTTTTGTTTCTTTTTCGGTTCTGGGTCTCGGAGTGGCGAAGGGTCATCAATGCATGTCAAGTAGCACGGCCGCTACAAAAAAAACGAATTGAAAAGTCTAAAAAGAGATGCATCATTCTTCTTTCTCTTCTCACAGCAAGGGGAAAAAAAATCCCGAACCCCATCAAAACAAAAAAAGCCATGTCTCAATATCTGCAACTCGCAACATGAAACAGCGCTCACTGCCTCTCGTTTTCTATCCTCTTATTTTGGACCTACATTTCTTTCGTTTGTCCCTCAGCGATATCGGAGAACAGACGGAGGAGAGGAAAGCTGGGTGGGCTGAGCGTTCGTGGCAGGAGGCCCCTCGAAGAAGAATCAAGGATACTATCAGCTCAAAAGTCTTGAATGAGGGGGGGAGGAATCAAAGGCCGTGTGTGCCTTTTCTGGAGCAGACCGTTGCCTTGATCATATTCACATGTCCAGCAGTGAAAGAAATGGCACCAACTATTGTGTTTTCCTCCCCTCACGTGAAAAAAGGATACTAGAAAAAAAGTTTTTTTTTTAGATGTGATCTCAATTGAAATGAAGAAGAAAACGAAGGTGTTCTTTTTAATGCAATAGTACTAATGCCATGTACAATGAGGTCATGTCATGATGGTATTCACCTTTTTGAAAGTATCTAAATATCGTCGTCTTTCCTCTTTCTTTTAGTGTCCATATGCGCGTATATCTCCACCTTGTTCTTGACTAGATCTCATAACTCATCTCCTTCTTGCGTCTTTCATGACATGCATTTCGTATCCATCAACATGACTGGGGACACCAGGCGCAGCAAGGAAAAATAAAAGAAAAAATAAAGAAAAAAAAAACTCCGGAGAGAAATGGTCACTTTCCTTTTCTCCTCTAAACGCCTCTGGTTGTTTCCATATGTGCAATAATAAAAAGATGTGTGTGTGTGTGTGTGTATGTGGTGAGTTGTAAGCCATATACTTTGTTAATCGTATCGTTCATACCATCGTCTGCTACGAGCGGGTAGATCTCGACTTGTATGAGCTGGGGGGGATGCGACTGTCGCGAGTACGACGGCTCTGGTAAGTTCTCCTGCCGGAACTGGAGCTCACTAAGAAGGGAGGAGATGATGTCAGAATACATTTCTTTACCAGACATATGTGCAGAGCATCGAAGAGTGGCGGGGTGGGGTGGGGGGGAGACTTACGAGGACTCGAAGCATCCGAGTAAGAGTAGTAGGACGAATCGGTGTAGCGGGAACGGGAGCGCGAGGAGCGAGAGGGGCCCCTCCTGGCCGGCTTCTTATCCTTCCTGAGCTTGAGCAGGGCAAAGAGGGCGGCGGCGAGACCGGCGAGGCCGAGCCACTTGCCGCCGCCAGAGTGCCTCTTCTCGCTCGTCCTGCCGCTGTCGCCGCCGCCCCTGCCGAAGAGGCCGCCGAACCAGCCCGAGTGCTGCCTGCGGCTGGAGTAGCCGGAGGAGAAGTAGCTCTGGCTGTCGTTGCTCTGCTTCTTCTTGCCGCCGCCGAAGATGACGCCCCAGAGGCCGCGGGCGATGCAGCAGAACATGATGAGCAGGATGAGGGCCGCGCCGGCGAGGGAGCCGATGACGATGCCTGCGATCTCGCCGCCGCTGAGGCCGCTGTTGGAGGCGCCCCCGCCGTTCACGCCAAACGCGTCGCCGGTGGACGTGGCCTGGCCGGCATCGCCGCCGGTGGACGTGGCCGTGTCGGTGGCCGTGGCAGTTCCGGGGGCCTCGTCGGGCACGCCGCTGGTGACGACGGTGGTGGTGCCCGTGACGCGGTAGGGCGCCGAGTACCGGGTCGTCGTCTTGCCGTCAGACGTGACCACGACGGTCGAGGGGGCCTCGTAGCCCGGCTTGGCCGAGCACTGGCCCTGGTAAGCGCACGTCTGCCACCCGGCGCAGCAGATGGACCCGCAGGCCTCCTGGAGCGTGTTCTTGGGCACGCAGTCGACGCCGGCCGTGGGCTCGGGTGCAGGGTCCCAGTCCGTCATCATGGTGCTCGTGTACGTCCTGGTCTCGGTCCAGGTGGTAGTTATGGCGCGGCCGCCGCTGCCCACGCACGTCGCGATGTCGCCTGACAGCGTCGTGCACACCGACCCGCCAGAGCAGCAGAGCTGGTTGTCCGCTCCGCAGTACGAGTCGCAGTCCCGCAGCTGGAGGTACGAGTAGCCCGCATCGTGGAGGGCATCCTTGGGGTAGGGTGTGGCAGACACGAGGGCGCTCAAGATGAGGAGCGTGAGTCGTAATGACGAACCCATGGTGGTAGTGTGTGTGTGTGTTGGTATGCGATGTCTCGGGGATGGGGGGGAGGGGGGGGGAAGGAAGGTTGACTGGAATGCGGGAAGCCCTATGGATTGTGGGGGAGGACCCGAATGTGGCCCTTGTCGAGTTGTTTGAGTGCTTATCACAGTATCCCTCTCTCTGAGACTGATGATCTCTGCCTCGTCAAGATAGAGAGAGGTGAAGGGATCTTTGAGAGCAACTTTTGTAAGTTGACGATAATGTATGAGGGAAGGAAGAGAAGGAGAAGAGGGAGAAGAAAAATAAAAGAGGGAAAATCATGCAGGTCGTCTGCACGTCGGGTTGGGTGGCTGACGTTTATGTGGTGGTAATGGTGGTGTTCCCAGCCTCCGACTTAGACGGGGCCTCGATCATTATCCAGCCTCTTGATTTCATCAAACGCTGGTGCCCAGGGGTCGTCGGTCCAGCGCCTAACGTGCAGCAACGGGAAATGAGGGGATACGCGGGATAAAAGAGAATGATGGGAAGGAGAGAGAGAGAGAAATGATATTGTTTCTTGTCATAATTTATTTATCATGATTCTTTTTCTGTCCTGTCTTGCTTCTCCTGTCCGCCAAATCACCAGAGTCTCCTCACCATTCCTCTCACCGCGCTGTGTGTTCCGACTTTGTGTGGTGAGGACGGATCTTCTAAGGCGGGGGGGGGGGTGCGGTAATAGCCTGCCAGCTCATCGGGCAGGTGCCAACGGATCCGGCTCAGATGAGCCAATCATAGAGACTATATAGCGGGGTTTGGTTGCTATCGATAAGAGATTAGTACTGATGTCGGGGACTGTCAAATCAGCGCAGGTACGGAATACGACTAATCCGTAATCGATACGGAATAAATACGTGCCGGTATACTACGATCTACTAGCAGTAAGAATGGTGGTTGATACAGAGGAACTTCCAGAGAATCAGCCGGGAAACAAAACAAGAATTAAACTCGTCGCGGCCTGTCAAGTGCGTCATAAGCATAATGCTCCGCCAGGTACCGTCGGCTGGGAGTGGGGATGGAATACATGCCCCCAAGCGGCCCCAAGCCCCCGTGAACTCTTGGCCTTGGGGACTGGGTGGCTGGGCGGTGTGTGCGTTGATGTCAATGAGGCGCGCGCTGTTATAGCGTGCAGCGCTAATCCATATTTCTTGACCTCCAGTTCTTTAATCTGTAATCTGTAATCTACAGGTTAGTTGGTTCGTTATAGTATTATTATTTGGTATTCTTATCAGCTCGTAAATCGCGACTGATACAGAGACTTTTTATGTGGCTAGTTTCATGTGGCTAATGTCTGGTGGCTAGTGTCTGGTGGCTGATATTCAATGGCTGATGATATGTGGCTAGTGTAATATGTGGCTCACCACTCGTGAGAGATCCCTGTGGCTTGACTGATATACTGCTGCCGTGGCAGACAGAGTTCAATGAGAGAAAGCTACTGCTACGCCATCCTTTGAGTGACGCCTGTGCCCGCCATCATCGGCATCCTCAAAAACCTCATCCCACATCTCCGCCCTCCGTCTCCCCCTCCCGCCCACGGACGTCGCCCCCCTCGACCCATCGCGACGACGACGAAAACAGAAGCGACGACGACGGCGACGACGACGACGACGACAGCCACAATCCTGCTACCCATCAGCCTAGTCGACCCCCTCCTCCCTCGTCGTCTCAACGATGTCGCTCGACCCGCCTACCTATCTGGCCTCGCTGCAGGGCAATATCCGCCAGCGACCCATTCCCTGGGATGGCGCCGTGCGCGCGGGAACCCTGACCGATGAGCACTATGCCAAGATCCGCGCCATTGACAAGACCAAGAAGCCTGAGCAGAGGAAGGAGACTGTCGAGGCCGACCTCGACGGCTACCGCATGCTGTTCGTCGGTGCCGAGGGGAAGCCCAGCGTCGTCGAATCGGCTGCTCAGCATGCCAATGTCATTCAGTACATCCTAGTCCTCCTGTCCGATCTTCTCGGAGGTGCGTTTCCCACTTCCTCTCCTTCTCCCGGCTGCGAGCTTGCAGGGGGAGGAGAGAGAGAGAGCATCAACACTTGCCTCCCGCTACCTGTCTGGAAAATCCACGGTAAGAAAGGGGAGGAGAGAATGGACACGGTACTGACCCTACTCGACAGACGTTCCCTCCCTCGCCAAGGCCCTCTTCAAGACGACCGATCCCTACAGGCACTTCCTGCCCCTGGTCAAGTCGACCAACCCCGAAGACCCCATCCCCCTGCTGACGGCGCACGCTCTCACCACCCTCCTGTCCAAGGCGCGCGACGGCTCCGACTCGACCCGGAAGGCCCTGCCCGTCATCCTGAGCTACCTGTCCGGCCTGGCCAAGAGCAACGATGCCGGTCTCCAGGACATCGCCGTCCAGGAGTACTCGTCGCTCCTGTTCGGCAAGGCCTCGCGAGACCAGTTCTGGAGCCACCGCGGTGAGACGGTCGAGCCTCTCATCACCATCCTCCAGACGGCCGCCGGCATGGGCGCAGGTGGCACCTCGTCGGCCAGCGTGTGGAGCGGCAACGGCAGCGCCACGGGCTTCGAGGGCACCCTGGCCGGCGGCATCGGGCTGCAGCTGCTGTACCACGTCCTCCTCGTCATCTGGCAGCTGAGCTTTGAGTCGGAGGATATCGGCGACGATCTGAACAAGTGGGTGTCCCCCCACAGATTTTTTGCAAAAAGAACTACATGTGCTGACCGGCTTCGCCAAAACTAGCGAATACGACATCATCATCCTCTACACGCAGCTCCTGCGACTGTCGCCCAAGGAGAAGACGACGCGCCTGATCCTGTCGACCCTGTTCAACCTGCTGGACAAGAACCAGCGGTCCCTCCTGCCCACGGCAGTGCTGGCCCGCCTCCCCAGCGTCCTGGAGAACCTGGCCAGCCGCCACCTGACGGACCCGGACCTGCTGGACGACCTCGAGACGATCAAGGACATGCTCGAGGAGTACACCAAGACCAAGACGACGTTTGACGAGTACGTGGTCGAGGTCCAGTCCGGCCACCTTCGCTGGTCCCCGCCTCACCGCAACACCGTCTTCTGGGCCGAGAACGCCCGCAAGATACTCGAGTTCGAGAATGGCGAGCTGGCGCGCCAGCTGGCTGACATCATGTCCAAGCCCTGGGACAATGACAAGCAGGTGCTGGCCATTGCCTGCAACGACGTCGGAAACCTGGTCAAGGAGGTGCCCGAGAGGAGGCATCAGCTCGAAAAGGTCGGGCTCAAGCGCAGGGTCATGGAGTTGATGCAATCAGAGGACGAGAATGTGCGATGGGAGAGTCTTCGGGCTCTGGGAGCGTGGCTCAAGTATACAATCTAGGCCTGGGTATGAGAAATACCATTACCCTAAAGGCCTGACAAAAAAACTGCTCTCTTTTTTTTCCAGTCTTTTTTTTACATCATCATTCTTCTTCTTTTTTTTTTCTTGTCCGCGATGGGGAGGAAGCAATTGTAGACGGTCCAAGGTACTTTTTCAACACTGATTGTTTTGGTATTTACGTTGGTTGTTTTCGCTTCACTTAACTTTGTATACTTTTGCTCTTCTCTCATCATCATAGCTCAGTACGGGATGGATCCGAAAGGAAAGGGTGTAATATGTTGACTACATGTACTCGGTATACATGTATATAATCATGCATGGTGTGCAATCTTGATACTGTATTTGGCAAGTTCAGTTGAGAAATGAGCTTGACTCGATCGAAGTAGTAGAAGTAGAGGAATAGGAGAGAAGATGCTGATAAAAGTAGCAACACTATCGGCGCATTACGTTTTGGAAGCGAGGAAAAAGGACGGCCGGAGATGATAAGCTGGCACCTCGGGGGGATGCGTTCGGCAAGGCGGCCGAGGTCGGGACGTATCCGATCACACAGCACTGACAGCAGGCACCATAGTGGCCTGAGCCCCACCTCTGGCCATTGATCAACCAGGACGAAGGAAACGGGAACAGCCAACTGACCGTATTCTCCCTTCCTCCTCATCCATAGTTTTGTCTGGGGATCAGTTGTGATCAGAAAGCCTTTTTCATCTCTTCTTCACCTCTATATACTTCCTCCTACCGAGAGAGAAAGAAGAGCAGACAATTCAAGACCAAAAAACAACAACAAAGCAACCACCACCAAAAACCCAGCGACAATGCTCGGTCAGACAATGGCAGCTCGGGCAGGGCCGGCCAGTCGGCTGGCGGCGGCAAAGCGGACGACGACACAGTACGCCGCTCCGCGCCGATGGGCATCGTCAACCTCGGGGGCGGGCGAGCTGAAGAAGACGCCGCTGTACGACCTGCACGTGGCCAACGGGGGCAAGATGGTGCCGTTCGCGGGCTACTCGATGCCGGTGCAGTACTCGTCGGCGTCGCTGGCGCAGTCGCACAATTTCACGCGGACGCAGGCGTCGCTCTTCGACGTGAGCCACATGGTGCAGCACCGGTTCAAGGGGTCGGCGGCGGCGGCCTTCCTGGAGCGGGTCACGCCGTCGTCGTGGTCGACGCAGCCGGGCATGCAGGGCAAGCTGACGACGCTGCTGTGGCCGGGGACGGGCGGGATCGTGGACGATACGGTGATCGCGCGGACGGGCGAGGATGAGTTCTACGTCGTGACCAACGGAGCGTGCCTGGACAAGGACACGGCGTACTTTGACGAGGAGCTGGGCCGGTTCGGCGGGGACGTGGCGTGGACGCGCATCGACGGGTCCGGGCTGGTGGCGCTGCAGGGTCCGGGGAGCGCCGACATCCTGCGCTCCGTGCTTGCCGACGAGACGGCCGTGGACCTGTCGACCGTGTACTTTGGCGGGTCGTTCTGGGCGAAGCTCAAGCTGGCCGACGGCAGCGTCAGCCACCCGGTCCTCGTCAGCCGCGGCGGGTACACGGGCGAGGACGGCTTCGAGCTCTCCTTCCAGGGCGACCGGTTCCCGGCGCTCGAGTCCACCCCGGCCGCCGTGCGCGCCCTGCTCGACGCCGCCGGCCCGGACCGCCTGCAGCTGTCCGGCCTGGGCGCGCGCGACTCCCTCCGTCTCGAGGCGGGCATGTGCCTGTACGGCCACGACCTGGACGACACCACCACGCCAGCCGAGGCCGGGCTGGGCTGGGTCATCCCCAAGGAGCGCAGGAGCGTCGACGCCGGCTTCCACGGAGCCGAGGTCGTCGTCCCCCAGCTCACCCCGCGGTCCAAGGGGGGAGCCGGCGTCGACAGGAGGCGCGTCGGCCTCACCATCAAGGGAGCCCCCGCGCGCGAGGGCGCAGAGATCCACGTCGACGGCGAGAAGGTCGGCGTCGTCACCAGCGGATCCCCCAGCCCTACGCTCGGCGTCAACATCGCCATGGGCTACGTCAAGGATGGTCTGCACAAGGCTGGTACCGAGGTCGACGTCGTCGTCAGGGGGAAGAAGAGGGATGGTGTCGTCGCCAAGATGCCCTTTGTTCCCGCGAAATTTGTGCGGAAGCCTTAAGATGGGGAGGAGGGGGGGAGGACGGATCACTTCAACATGTGGGAAGGGGATACTCCTGGTCTAAAGTAAGGGAGTATTCCGCATTTCGGATTGCCTGCTCTCATTCATCTGTCATGTTTTCAACCTACGGCGTATTTCTTTACCTTGGGATTAGAAGAAAAAAAAAGAACAAGCACCCATCATTTGGAAAGCTGGATATTCAACGGCAATACTAGCAGTATCATTGGTACCTCACTAGGTCATCACACAAAGTCACGACACGTAGAATGGAAAGGGAATCTGGGAGGGAGAGAGAGAAATGTAGCCGCGTAAAAACCATAGGAAGCCGTCACGGGAAAAAAAAATAACGTACGGCCTCCCTCAAACATACGGCTGTGACATTTGGTCTGGCAACCGAGATCCGGCAAAAACCCTCGTACCTAGAGAGGAAAAAGGACGGCACGAGGCACAGGAGGGCAATTGCTGCCCCCTGTGTATAAGGGACCAAGGTTGCGTTGATGATGGAAGGGAAGAGGGAGAAGGGAAAAGAGGCGTGAAGCATTTTTATTTTTATTTTTTTCTTGGTTGATGCCGAGGGATAATGTTTTTTCCGGGCCCGGTGTGATACTGGGTAGGAGGCAAATCTACGAACGACTATCACTAGTGTTGATGGGCTCTTCTCCTTCTCTTCTACAACCATCAACATCGTGGCGTTATAGACTAGCTCTTCTCTCTCTCTCTTCCTATTGAGTGTCATCACCTCTGATATTCAGAAGCATAGGCTATATCACCGTGGATCAAATGCCGTAGACGACAGAAACTGCGCATTACTGCTCTCTCCTCCAGGCTCCAGTGTAGCTGCCTAGAAGGACGGACCATGGCACCTCTTCTTTGATCTTACAGGGAACGCGCAACGGCGATACAGTAGGGCATCTGGAGGGGTACACAGACACAAGCATCTCTTCCTCTCCCACCATTGTTCGGATTCGAATCTCTGTATGGTACTCGTCTTTCAATGACAGTTTTGGCGACGATATCGAATTTGACGACGCCAAGGTCTGAGTCTACACGGACTCTGAACTTGGCAACATGATCGACCTTCTCCCCACCTTGGCCACTGACCCGAATACTGTCCCATTGTCCTCCAAGTATCTGGCCAGGGGATATAGGCCGGAAGATTTGCGAGATGCTGTGGAAGCTGCAGGATTCGCATCCCAGCTGGGCCTTCGCGTCCCTGCCATTCACTGAACCATTCAGGGGGAGCAACACAGACGATCGATGTCGCTGCATCATGGATCGGACTCATGGAACGGGAAAGAAAAGACAGGAAAGGGCCGTGACGCCTGCCTGAGGTCGGTGTTTTCGTACAGCGGCCCATCTGTCCTGACGCACCACAACTTGACGCCTCGCGACTTGATGGTCGACGCTGAGGGACGGTTGTGGATTATGAAGTGGGATCTTGCGGGGTTCTACCCCGACTACTACGAGTATGCGGGCATGCACAACCTTAACCCCCGGCGTGACGGGGTCCAAGACCAGACTTGCATTGTGGAGGTGGGATATCGCTGCGTGGATCGCCGTCGGATTTTTTCTACGGTGACCAGTTGAGGTGGCTGCGGGAGAGACGAAACAGGTAGGTTCACGTGCTTCCGCTTCGGACGCCAATTTACTATACGGACTTGTGGGTAACCTTGTGTTGCGGCTTGATGCTGAGCAGTGACGGATGGCGGACATGCCAAGTGCAAACACGAGACGGGGCAGAGAAGGAGTGAATACGTAGTCAGAGGATGACGGAAGGGTCACGAGCATAGACGCCACTGACGGGGAGAAGAGGGAGAGCAAGCCTGGAGCAGCGCATATTGTACTAGGATGTGATTGCTCCCACAAGTTGTGTGGCATGGCTCGGGTGTCGTCTCAAACCCTTGGTCTCTTGTTCTAATCAATCACGACGCATGCACTCCTCCCATGCATTGGTTACGTCGAGAAGAAGGGCCTCTCCATTTGACTTCTGGTACAAGACTGCATCCATCAAGGGACATGTCTTCTCTCTTGTGATAGAAACTCGAGAAAGACCTAAAGAGTGTCGCGTGTTGTCTTAGTGGCGGCTCAGCCGGCGATGCTCCTTGGGTGGCCGCAACGTGTGGTCAAGGCTGACAGCAGATTGGCTGTTCAGCAGAGCGGTAGATCGATCGCGTCAGTACGGAGTACGAGTACGAGTACGTTCACTGCACGGGAGAGCAAGGAGTCTATGGTTGGTGAGTTGCGCGGGGAGGCGGGGAGGGGGAACAGGTGATATGGGGGGTCTGTCTGACTTGGACGGTTGATTCTGAAAGGGGGGGGTCATGGATCGAAGGATGGGCTCGGTATACCATATTCGTAGAGGGATATGGGATATATATGTCGTACTGGTAGTAGAAGTACGCGTGGGTTTGATTATCCCTGACGTCCCTGACGTCCCTGACCATCTTTCCTTTATTCCTCGTTGTTTCTCTTCAACAAGTCTTGCGGCGTTGCTGGGAGTATTACATAAGCCTGCTCACTCTCTGATACAATACGAATACGAACATCGAGAGTCTGGCCACTGACTGGTAATACGTCATTAGACGTAAAATTTACCGTCCAGACCATCATCAGCTGCGTGAGACGCTCCGAGGATCCCCCCTGGACTCATTGGGGAAGAAAACCAAACAACCAACCCCCCCCACCCCCAAAAAAAAAAAAAAAAAAAAAAAAAAAAGACCCCGAGAAGCCTAAAATCTCGATTGGCAGTTGGCAGTTCACAGCTCAGCAGCTCAGGTACGCACCACCTGACAGACCTGGAAGACCTGGAAGACCGAACCAGCTTCTATTACTTCAGCGTACATCATCAACCCATCAGGGTCCTCACCTCGTACCTTGACTGACGTCTGCAGCACCCGTCTTTCTTCTTCTTTCATTCCTCCTTCATCCACACATGTCAACGCCTTCTTTCTCGCATCTTCCACCTTATTCGCCTCATCTGTTTCAAAAGGCCATCGGCTTCGTGTGTGCGTGCATGTGGGTATTTTCAACTTGGATACTCCCCCACATGCGCGCCTTTCACTCTTCTCTCTGTGTGTGAGATTCACGGATAAAGAAGAGGCAGAGGAAAGCATTGGTCGGCTTGGTCGCCCTCCTCTGCAAGCAATCTGCCGACATGCTTCCTCCGAATGCGCCTAGACGTCTGCCGTCACTCGTATCCTTTCTGGCTCTTGTATTCGCTGTTGTCGCGTCGCCCATCGACAACGCTCAACAGCACGTTTTACAACACGGACATGAGCAGCAGCAGCAGCAGCAGCAGCAGCAGCAGCAGCATGAGGCGTCTGCTGTGCAAGGGACCCAGCGCAAGCTGACTGGCAAGTTTCTGCACATCACCGGTACGTCCTCGCCGTCCTGCACAGTCCTCGGAATGGCACGACCTCCGGAGCTCCTTCTCCTGACAACGCGATGATGCACAGATTTCCACCCAGACCTGTTCTACAAGGCGCATACGTCGCCTGGGAAGAATTCCGCCTGCCATCGGGGACGCGGCACCGCGGGCGTCTACGGCGCCGAGATCACCGAGTGCGACTCCCCCCTGGCCCTCATCAACGCCACTTGCGACTGGATCGCCGGCAACATCAAGGATGACATCGACTTCGTCGTGTGGACCGGCGACTCGGCCCGCCACGACAGCGACGAGAACCACCCCCGGTCGACCAAGGACGTCCTGGCCACCAACCGCATCCTGGCCGACAAGCTGGCCGAGACCTTTTCCGACCCCGACAGCGGCCGCCTCGCCGTCCCCGTCGTCCCCAACCTGGGCAACAACGACTTCCTCCCCCACAACATCTTCTACCCCGGCCCCAACCGCTGGCTCGAAGCCTACACCGACATCTGGCGCCGCTTCATCCCCGAGAGCGAGTTCCACGTCTTCGCCTTTGGCGGCTGGTTCCTCGTCGAGGCCATCCCCGGCCACCTGGCCGTCCTGAGCCTCAACACGATGTACCTGTTCGACCGCAATGCCGCCGTCGACGGCTGCGCCAACCCCTCGGAGCCCGGCTTCCAGCAGATGGAGTGGCTGCGCATCCGTCTCCAGCAGCTGCGCGAGAGGGGTATGAAGGCCATCCTCATCGGTCACGTGCCCCCCGCCAGGACGGACGGCAAGCAGAATTGGGACGAGTCTTGCTGGCAGAAGCACACCCTGTGGCTCCAACAGTACCGTGACGTCGTTACCGCCTCCCTCTACGGCCATATGAACATTGACCATTTCCTGCTGCACGACAGCAAGGACATTGACATCCTGGGGACCGATGCCACCGCACAGACGGAGGCCCTTGACACCGACGAAAAGGAGGTTTCCGTCCAGTCCAAGGAGGACTACCTCCTCGATCTGCGGAGGATATGGTCGAATCTTCCGCTCTCCTCCATTGAGGGACTCACAGACGACGACGACGACGACGACGACGACGACGGGGATGACGCTCAAGTTACCGAGAATGACGACGTAGACACCTACAGGAAGAATAGGGAGAATAAGAACAAGAAGCACGGAAAGAAGAAGCATGACAAGAAGCTCAAGAAGATTGGCGGCAAGTACGCCGAGCGCTACAGTCTGTCACTGGTCAGCCCAAGCATCGTCCCAAACTATTTCCCCACCATACGCGTCTTCGAGTACAACATTACCGGTCTAGAGGATACCCCTGTCTGGGCCGATACCTTTGGCCTCCCCTCGTCTTCCGATCCCCCCTTGCCGGAATCAGAAGTCCGGGCAGAGGAGGAGCTAGCCTCGCCTGATGATCAGCGGGAGCTCAAGAGAGACGGAGGAGAAGAAGACGAGGAGGAGACACTCAACGGCGACGACAACGACGACGTTGAAGCGGAAGAGAAGGAGAAGAAGAAGAAGAAGAAGAGCAAGAAGAACAAGAAGAAGGGCAACAAGGGCAACAAGGGCAAGAAGCCGAAGCAACCTCACCTGATCGTCCCAGAAGACCCTCCCAAGGGGTCTACACCCGGCCCCGCATACTTTCCCCAGCCCCTGACGCTAAAGGGCTACACACAATACTTTGCCAACCTCACCCACATCAACAACGTGGTTGAAGATCTGGACGAGCCTCTTTCCTCTTACTCTCGCCTGAAATCGAAATCAGACACAGGTTCAGACTCGGACTCGGATCCAGATGACTTGTCCTCGCCGGGAAAGAAGCAGCCCTCCCCTCGCGAATTCAAGTACGAAGTCGAGTACGACACATACGAGGACAAGCTCTACAGACTCAAGGATCTGACCGTCCTCAATTATCTCAAGTTGGCCTATAAGATGAGGGAATCTGAACAGGGACAAGGGTCATCTGATGTACAGGAGGAGGATCTTGATGATGATGGTGATGATGATGATGTCAACGATGTTGACGTTCAGAAGAACAAGAAACACAAAAAGGGGAAGAAGAAGAAGAAGAAGAAGCATCATAAGAAGGACAAGAATAAGACTTGGCTGCACTTTTTGGATCACGCATTTGTTCGGACGGTGCCCAAGGAGGAATTGGAGAGGATGTGATTCTTTCCTTTCTACCCTCTTCTCTTCTTTTCCCTCCTTCTGTTGCTTTTCGTATCATGTTTTCCTCTGCTATTGCCGTTGTTATTCTCATGCCTTGTTTGATACTTTGGTCCTCTACTTTGTTTACTGGGATATTCTTTGGCGTCAGGGGAGAAGAAAGGGGGAAGGGGTATGTTGAGGCGTTTATTGGAGTGCATCAGCGTTATTTCTCAACACACATACATGCATACACACACACACACACACATATATATATATATATATGTCATACAAAGCTTATGAAGAATAGTAGAGAAGAGGAAGACGCCTGCAACATGTTTACTGTTTCCATTTGAAACAAACAATCTGTCCCTCATCATTCGGTTCACTCTGCCTTGCTCTTCCTACTCCCCTCAACAGGGAAAGCCCGGTGAATCCATCATGACGACAGACACTCGGCAAGTGTGTGAAGAGATGCCATGCCTCATGTCGTGCGTCGTTACACTGCCCATCTTGGTTACTTTCACATCCGCACTTGCATCTGCATCCGCATCTGATCAGTCGACATCCTCTCGGTGGCGCTGTGACTATCAAGAGGTTGAACAGAAGACAGCAACACGCCCTTTATATGTATAGAGAATCTATATCTTCCCATTTGCAGAAAGTTCAAGTTCAATCTACAGTACAGAGTCGATCTACAGTAATATCTAGGAGAAGATGACGAGGATCGGAATGACGACATTGACGACCAAGACTTCGACACTCAACGTCGGCGAGCCGGGTGTCCCGTCTGAGACGACGCTGGCTTGGATTCCGCCCCCGCTTACCGTGACGACTGGGTCAGCTACGGATACAAAGGTGAGTTGGGGGGTAGAAGCAGAAGCAGGAGACAGAAGAGAGAGGCAGAAGTAGAAGAGAGAGAGAGAGAGAGAGAGATAGAGAGAGAGAGCTGACGAGAGGGGTGGGGGGGAAACAATAACTAGGAAACGAAATTCTCGACAGACATCTCCATCACATACAAGTACGTCACATTATCCCTCCCTATACAAGCCCGCCTCCTCCGTCCTGACGAGACAACAGCAAAGGTGGCACACGCAGTGCATCGACGCGCAGCACACCAGGGAGCAGAGACACGACGGCATATCCGTCAACATCATCCGGATGCCCGGGGATGGCACCATCCTCGAGCACCACCCATCCCTCCCCCCCTGCCACTAGCAGCGCCCCTCCTACTACGAGCAGCGACGCTCCCGACCCTACCGTCCCTGACGGTACCACACGTCCTGGGACGACGGCACGGCCTTCACAAGGGGACGACGACGACGACGACGACGAGGCTGATTCTGCTCCGCGTATGGGTCCTGGGTGGGTGCTCCGTCTGGTAGCAGTGATTCTGGCTGTGCATGTGATATTTGGTCGTACCTAGAGTGGGTGATTACGAGTTCTTGGTACAAGGGTGGGACAATCTGTGCTAATTGTAGAAAGTTGGGTGGTATTGAATAACTTATGAAGAGGGGGGGGGGGGGGGGGGGGGGGGGGGGGGGGGGGTTATTGTTTTGATCTTGCTCGCCTATGTACGAATGTATATGTATATATATATGGTTGCTTCAAAAAAAAAGAAAAAAAAAAAGGCGTGCTGATAACAGAAAAAGGAGAAGAAAAAGAGGAAAGCGTGTGCTGGTAAATGAGAAAGAAGAAATGAAAAATAAAATGAATTTAAAAGAAATCACCATCCATCATCCATCATCCAACTATCAACGGCGCATTAGCCTTCTCGGGAACCATACCGTTGAACGCACCAGCATGCACCATGATGGCCTGCCTGACGCCCAGCTCCTTCCCTGTAAGCGATAGGAGCTCCCAGGCCGTGTCCTCGTGCGCTTCCGGCGTGGACGGGATCGTGTACACAGCCGTGAGGGGCCACACGAGCCTCGGCGCCTCGAGGAGCGTGCTGGGCGACCTGACGGTCTGCCCTCGTAAGTGTGCTAGCTTCCTCGTTGCCGAGCTCAGGATCCTGGCCGACCCGTCCTCGACCCTCTCCAGGTACGCCACACTGTGAGCCTGAATTTCAGCAGCAGAAGCAGCAGAAGCAGTGTCGTCGTCGTCGTCGTCGTCGTCGTCGTCATCGCTGCAGCCACCGCCGGTATAGTGAGCGAGATAGTTTGCCAGTAGGTGAGCGACGTGGTATGCCTTGATCATGCAGGACTGGTACATCGACATCCAGAAGACGTCGATGGACTGGCGGCCCAGATGCGGCCTGGAGGCCAGCCGGGCTTCGAGCTCGTCCCCGGCGCGGGGCAGCTCGGTCACCAGCCCGTCGTACCGGGACGACACGGAGGCGCACCTAGTCACGTAGATGCTCGTCACGATGGGGAGCCACTCCAGATCCAGGGTGGAATCCCTGAAAGCCGTGTCGAGCCAGGCCATCGCTTCGGGGGGGCATTCCGAAGTTGTTATGACGGCGTCGATCTGCTGTATATATATATATATGTGTGTGTGTGTGTCGGAGCGGTATTTCAGTCTCATATCACTCCGAGGGTTGTTGGACAAGAAGGAATAACGAGGCGAAGATATAGAAAGAAGATGTAAGAGAGAGGGGGGGAGAAAGACGGAAAAGGAAGGAGAAAAAAAACAGGCAAAGGAAGAAAACATACCACGATAGTAAGAGCAGACCAGAAAGCTGTTCTACCCATGGGCGTATCCCTATTCCTGCCCCCTCCCCCCCCTCTTCTGGAGGATACTGTACAGTCCCCTGGCATGCAGATGCCACGGGCTGGAAACCTTCTCCCGACCGATGGACCCGACGAGCAGCTCGTAGTCTGCCAGTATCCACACGGTGGCGAGGACGTCGTCACGCAAGAACCCCCCCCCCCCCCCCCCGGGCTCCCGCAGCGCCTCACCTACCGCCCGGAGAGTCCGGCCCATGTACCCGGCCAGCTCCGACCTGGCCCCGGCCGGGGATCCGCCGTCGATCGAGGTCGGGTGCCCGACGTTGATGGTGTAGGCTCGGGAGGATAGGTGGGCGGCCCAGACCAGCGGACCGTCGGTCGACGACCCGGACTCCATGCTGCTGTACAGCTCGCTGGCGAAGCTCAAGGCCGAGTAGGCGTCCGGCAGGATGGGGACCGAGTGTACGGTCCAGTGCTCATACAAGGGTCTGCCGAGCTGGAGAAGCTTCATCTGCATGGCTACCTGGGGCCCGTCACCTTCCCGTGCTCTCGATACTGCTGCCGCTGCCGTGTCGTCGTCGTCTTTCTCTGTCGTGATTGACCATGCTGATTAGGGGGGTTGATACTGGAGGAGGAGGAGGGGGGGGAGGGAGGTTTGTCAGAGATCAGAGGTCTGTTCTGTTTTCTTGTTTATATAGATATATAGATGGCACATCTTCATTCTCCTTCTCCCTCCTTATATCCCCTAAATCCCTCTCCTTTTTTCTTCTTTTTTTCTCTCTCCCTCCCACTTCACTTCTTTCGTCTTTTGACCTACCTTGACTCGTCGTGATCTGCACAAGTGACAGTCTTGGCTTGGCTTGCCCGTGTTGGGCATGTTGGTGGGAGAAGAGTACCAAGGATATCAAGACAGTGAGCGTGATCAATCGAGATCAGACATGGCAGAAGACGAACTCGTTCACTATTCACAAGTAAGAAATCATGCGACGTGATCTAATAAGAGGGAAGGGAGACGGTGTGTAAATGTATCGCGATACTGCGTATACCTTATCGGGCTTGATCACCTTAACCCTCTTCATACCTGCGTGATGCAATCATCATCACTCTTCAACACTCATCCGCTCTACTCTTCTCTTGCTATATACAGATTAGATCATACGTGAAGTAATGTTTAGGATACTTGCCGTATGGGAAAACCCGCCCCGAAAAAGAGAAGAGAAGGTTATCAATCCTTGAGAGTTTTCAAAGCTTTCGAACCAACAGCCATGCAGCTCAGAGACAAGACAGACAGTACTCTGAGTACAGGACTACTACTCTCTAGGATCAATAAGGGATATATATATATATGGTATAGCAAGAGAGAATTAATCTTTGAAGAGGAACAGGTGGTACATTTACTTTCTTATTTTCCAAGTACCCATTGGTAGGACGCACACACACACACACGCACACACACACACACACATAAAGAGGGGGGAAACTCCATCCAACGCCATTCCATGACCAGACAAAAAAAAAAGAAAAAGAAAAGGACTTTCAAGCAGACAACGAAAGGAGTTGAATGAAGAATGAAAAGAAGAATAAGAGAGAGAAGAGAAGAAGAAAAAGAGGTGGTCAACAGAACTCAGCAAGTCACCATTCCTTCTTGGATGACGAAAGAACAGAGCACATCTTGGATATCGGACGCAGTGCGGAGAGTGTCGTGACGGTTGTAAGCATAGTAGTAGTGAGATGACGACGACGGTCAGCGGTAGCCGGGCAGGTTCCGCCTCTAGCTACCCAGCTTCCGGAGGCTCTCCACCCCGAGCACGGGGACCTCAACCTCCCCCAGAGACGGGACACCCTCGTCGCACCGCCTGTCGACGAAGCTGTTGCATTCCCACACCACCTGCGCCCACTCTGACAGGGATCGGCCGCAGTAGGCTGCGTTTCTCGCCGAGATACCCAGCGGCTTGATGGGTTCCGTCATCTGCTGCTGCTGCTGCTGCTGCTGCTGCTGCTGCTGCTGATCCTGGTCCTCGTCGCTCGCATCGCTCTTGCTCGAGTTCTCATCGTCTGCTTCAGACTCGGCCTCGACCTCACCAGCTTCCAGGCTCACCACGGCCTGCGTGGGAGCGGGGAGACGAGGACGGGTCAGCATGCGTTCCCGCGGCGACACGGGCGGTTGGTGCCACGCCAGGAAGAACTTGAAGATGTACTTTTGCTCGTCGTACACCGGCTCCGAACAGGTCGAGTCCGACTCGCTGGGCGTCGGCGACGTCCCAGACAGCTTCGACGCCAGGCTGCTGCCGCCGCGCGACCTCTGCTCCGCCGTCACGCGACGGGCCGTGGCGAAGTCGTCATCCCACGTGCCCTTCTGGCTCCGGCTCTGGTTCTGGGCCTTGGCCGATGACTGTCCGCCGCTGGTGAAGGAGAGCACCTTGCCCAGCAAGGACGTCTTCTTCTTCGACTCGGATTTCGGCGTCGAGAGCCCGGCGATGTCGTCGGCCGAGAGGACGTTGCCTCCCGAGCTGCGCGATAGCGAATCAAAGTTGACAAACAGGCCCGGCTGCGGCTGGTTTACCTCGTGTCGGATGATCATAAACTTCTTTCCCGGCGTCGGCACCATGGGGGCCGTAGACGGGGGGCTGCGGCCCGCCGCCTCGGCCGTCTGCTTGAGGTACAGGTAGTTGGCCCACGTCGTCCTCAGCCGGTCGGCGACGACCCTGAAGATCTTGGCATCCACCTCGTCGGCGCCGCCCTCGAAACGGCAGATCCTCCAGCACAGCAGGCGGTGGTAGTAGGCGCGCACCATGGGGCACCAGTGCGTGAAGAAGGTGGAGAAGACCTCCTCGGTCAGGAGCCAGTCGAGACAGATGTTGGCCTTCCTCTCGCGGTCCCTGGCTGCCATGTCCCAGATGGTGTAGATGAAGGACAGCATGCGGACCTCGGACATGGTGTTGAGCGACGAGAAGATCCTCCTGAAGACGTCGACCCAGAAGGGCCAGTCAATGTACTTTCTCGACCCGACGTGATCCTCAAAGTTGCTGTAGATGGCCAGGGCCTCCTCGAGGAAGTCGCACAGCGTGAAGCAAGCCGGGTTGTCGTACTGCGACGTCTTGCGCACCGCCGCCTTGACCATGGCGAAGCAGGCCTCGGCAAACGTGTGCTGCGCGCCGTCCCTGTCGAGGTTCTCGTCCGTCAGCATGTCCCTGAGCAGCAGCACCAGGCTGTTCTCCGCCATGCCCTTCATCAGGTTGGTCGGCGGCATCGGCATCGCCATGGCGGACGCGTCGGCGCCGGGCAGGGCGGCGTCCATCACGGCCGGCCCGCACATGGCGGCCTGGCGGTGGATCGTGTCGTCCAGCACCGACAGGAGCTGGGCGTGGACCAGGGCGAAGCCGGGGGACCGGGCCTTCTCCTTGAGCGGCAGCCCCGCGGGGATGAAGTCGTCGGCCAGGATGTGGAACTGCTTGTAGAAGACGAAGAGCAGATCCGTGTCTCGGCCCTTCCACCGCGACATCCACGGACCCGTCCAGGCGACCCTCGAGATGATGATGGGCAGCTGCGGGATCCTCTTGAGCATCTCCCACGTGGTCATGGGCGACGTCCAGCCCAGATGTGCCAGGCTGGGGGGGAAGAGAGATGCGAGCTCGTCGCTCTCGCCTCCATCCTTGCGCGGCAGACCGAGCTCATCGGCGGCGCGGCGGATGAGGCCGGGACTGAGACCCCAGAGGCGGACGAGCATATCGGCGGCTCCCGGGAGGAAGAAGTAGGCGTAGGCGCACGTCTTGCCGGCAAAGGTGACGAGGGCCGGGGCGCAGTAGCGCATGGTCATCTTGTCGACGGCAAAGGCCAGCTGCTTGGCGATGTTGGTGATGAACATGGTCCTCACGTTGTGCTCGGCCGAATCGTCCAGGAAGGAGTCGTCGGAGCTACCGGTGGGCCGCTTCCTCAGCCTGACGCGCTCCCTGTGCGGTCGCTGGTTGAGGGGCAGGAAGTTGGTCGTGGTCTGGCGCCACTCGGACCGCAGCATCAGCGTCGTCAGGGTCTCGAGCATCAGGGGCCGGTCGACGCCGGGGACGGAGCTCAGGCCGACGCCGTCGACCATCTCCAGCAGGCTGGTCCACCAGCTGCCGAGGACGGTGGCCCTGCGGTCCAGGTCGGTGGGCAGCAGCCTCTGGGTGGAGGAGTGGTCCATGGTATTCCGCAGGAAGGGCAGTACGATGTTCTGGATCTGAACGATGCGCTGGGGCACCGACTTGCTGGCGAAGTTCTTGTGCTCGACCTCGAGCGTCTTGAACGAGGACCACAGCGGGTCGCTGTTCTGGGACAGTCTCGACATGTCACTTGAGGAGTCGTCGCTGGCGGCGGTGCTGCCGTCGTGTGACGTGTATTGGGAGTTCTGAGTATCGGTCGTGTTGGAGATGGGAGGTGCCAGGCTGGCGGACGAGGCGAAGCTGGCATTGTCGGAATCGGTGAAGGGGACTGGAATGGCGGCGCCGCCGACCTTGTTCATCGAGACGGGCTGCTTCTTGGGCTTCATCCTGCTGAAGTAGGAGCCGGCGCGGCCAAAGGTCTTGGACGACTCGGACTTGGTGGGGGGGCGGCCGGGCTGGGGTGCGGCGCTAGCGGTACCGGTGCCGGCGGTGCCAGGAGCCGCGTCCTCAGCCCGTTCGCGATGCTCACCCTTGCTCGGGCTGGCCTTGCGTTTGGGGGATGAGGAGCGGGAGGGTGAAAGCCAGGAGCGTTTGGTGAAGCCGGAAAAGCTCTCCGACACGGACAGGGTGCGTGAGGATGCGGACGAAGGGGGGCGAGACCCCTGTCGTTTACGCGAAGATGGTTTTCCTTCGGCTGCACCGTATCCTTCCTGGCCATTGGGCATCCGAGACCGGTGCTCATCCGCCAGAGGTGAGGGGGCTGGTGGGAGCTTGGAGGAGGACATGGAGCTGACGAGCCACGACTTGGGCCTATCCATAAGGGAGCCCGTTCGTGAGCGGCGTATAGGTGGTCTGGTAGCGAGGGCGGAGAGGGAGGCGTTGGCGTCGGAGACATCAGCGTCGGAGGCATCAGCGTCAGAGGCAGGTTCGGGGGGGGCATCGATGGTGACAGGCACCGGCTCGGGTTCAAAGGGCTCGTCCTTCTGCTGGGGGGAGGGAGGTGTGAGGGTCAGGGAGGTGTCGAGCTCGAAGTGGTCGCCGAACGAGGGGAGGTCGAAGTCGAGGTCGGTATCGGTATCTGGGCGGGGATCATTATGGGCGAGGTCGTGGTTGTGCGTGCTATCCTGCTCGCCACTGTACTGGTAAGGGGAGTGCACCGATATGAGCTCTGGTGTCGAATGAGATCTGGACAGGTGCGAGGATTCCATGGCCGGAGCCATGATGATGGTGGAACCGCTCATTTCATGGCAGTCCGGTGAAGGCGAGATAATGCGCGAGAGGAAGTTGAAGATGTTGGACAAAACAAAGAGAAGAAGAAAAAGGATGCGAGATGGAGGCTGCTCTGGCGATGATGGTTATATATATATATATATGAAAAAGAAGAAAGAAAGAGGACTGAAGAAACAATGATGAGAGAAGAGAAGACACGAGAGAATCTGCGGCAGTTGCGGCCGGAGTGGTCGGAACCGAAAGCTTCTTTCTCTTCAATTATTCCTCTCGTCTGGTTCAACTCATGGCCTTTGATCTACCCAATATTGTAAAACCCCAGCGTCGGACGTAGTGAAGAGAGACGGGCGGGATAGAAGAAAGTCGAAAAGAAAAAGAGAGGCAAGGATGATGATGCTGATGATGTGTGCGTGCGTGTGTGATGGTAGGTGGGGGGTGCTGTATTGAGGTGGAGAGGGGGGGGGGGGGGGGGGGGGGTGTGCGCAAAAAAAAGGGAAGAAGAAGAAGAAAAAGAAAGAAGAAAGAGAGGTGAGACTCAATTCAACATGACTTCCGTAGCCTCTCTTTGACTCTCTCTGACCAGGTGGTTGGTTGGAAGAGGAGAAAGAGAGGAGAGGGAAAAGGGAAGCCGGATGTGTACGAGTATCGTGTAATGGTGGTGTGGGAAGGAGGAGAGAGAGTAAATGGCACGGGAGGTAGAATGTGTGACTGGTAACGGAGTTGGGTTCTGCTGGTAGGAGGAGGAAGAGGGAATGACGTCCAGATAGGAATACAGGCTACGGAGTAGTACTCTTGTCAGAGCAAATGAGATGGCAGAGTCCAGAGAGGGAAGTCCAGAGAGGGAGAAGGGAGCGTGAGAAGGGGACGACGGGAGGGAGATGAGATGGAGGGGAGGGAGAGGGGAAGCTAGTAGGTTAGGGGGATCTGTTGACCTGTCGTCCCCGCTGGAAGGGTCTTGGAGAGGGCCCTGGCAACTGGCCGGGTGTTGAGTGTTGCTGCTTGTATTAGCTGTATAATACCGGTACAAAGATATGTGTGTACTGAGTACTCCGTAGTCGGTAATCTGTACATCCTGACAGATTCTGTAACCCCCCCCCCCCCAGGAGACAGCTACGGACACTCTTTACGGTAAGAGTAATCTGTACATGTACTCGTACGAGTAGTCTGAGAAAGGAGTCTGAGGAAGATGCAATGTGCTCAGACTGTTATAACGGGGCCCCTCTCCACAAGAGACAGCCGAGGACGCACACACACCACGACCCAGGACCGCTCCCCAGCTTCCAAGCCACCACAACAATGTACGTGTGCAGAAGCGCGGGTCAGACACGCAGAGCTCGATTCATTCATCAGATTGTGAGGAAGAAGGGAGATGGGACAGGAAGATATGAGGAAGAAAAAAAAAAAAAAAAGCAATGTCCTAGAGGTTAAAGTAGAACAAAGGAGATGCGGCGTTTCTTTTTTTTTTTTTGAGATAAAATATTCCATTGTTCTGCGTGTCTCGCATATATGAATTATTACCATGGTACGGAGTACTGACATGAGAGAGGAACGAGGTATTACAAAATTCCTCACCATCAGTCCGTACGGAGCTCCCGTGATGAGGCTGAACCAAGCATCCTGGCTAGTCCCAATATGTCGACTATCTCATACGGACTCCCCCCACAGCCCCCGTTGCAGTCAAGACCTACAGGATGCAGGCGGCGAGTGCGGACGGACCTACTCGCACAGCATCTCATCACATCACTGCTACCTATTCAGAACAGGTCATATTCGAGAAAGGAAGAAATCGTTCACTAAGATAACGCTCCGTGCACGAGCCCGCACGTATGAGTTATGGGACCTCGCTCGAGCACTCGTAGAGGCTTCGATTCGAAGTCATCGCCAACAAAGGCAGAACCAAGATGATGAATGGTGGCGGTGGCGGTGGTTGTGGGGCGGGGATTCCCATACGAGATGATGGGAATTGTGCTCCTCATACTCGGTATGTGCGGTACTGGCGCTGCAGCCTACCTGCAACGCAGCATTCTACGTATGATATCACGAGTACAAGAACCTCCAGACTCCAGCACTGTTATTCCGTACAGCCGTATGAGCGCTCACCCGTATGGAGGGGACTAATCTGTACAGTAATAACTGCCCGAGGATTCAGAGGAGTATCATGGTGTATTGTGGAGTGATAATACGGAGCAATTATGCGTACAGCACAATCCACCCCCACAGCGCTTAGGAGCACTCACTGCAACAGGATTCTACGGGCCATTCATGTTACCGGGGTAGACCAGGTTGCCAGGCTCGGCAAGTATCATTGTTGATACCCGTACATGTACTCCGTACAAAGCAACATTATGCTATGAATCCGATTGATCGCGACCAGAGAACCGTAACTTTTTCTTCTCACTTCTTCTTCTCTCCTTTTTTTTTTTACCTCTGCCAGGCTACTGTACTCGTACTTCCGATACTGCTAATCTCGTACTATATACTCGGTGTTCCGTATACACATCAACAAGTCTCTGCATTGCTCCAACGGCGGAAATGAAAACAGAAGAGAGACTGACGTCGTCTAGACCCACTCGATTGGTGCGGCCACTAGGCCCAGGGGGGGTTCCCCCCAAGACACTGACCTAGTGGCTGTACGGGGTACATGTACAGGTGCTGGTAGTCTGTAGCTGTGTACCGAACCTTGGCCGAAGATACGTAGGACGCATACGTATGCCAAGTTGCGTAGCATAGCGTGAGAGGGGGGGAGGGGAGAGAATCTTTGCTAGAATAATAGTCGTACATGACACGAAGTATTACTAAGCAGAGTCTACGGAAGAGAAGAAGAAGGGAGGAGAAAAAAGAGAGAGAGAGAGAGAGAAACAGACGAAGCATGGCAAGGCCTTGCTCGTAAGACAAGGGCCAGCCGCAGGGGGTATCCATAGGGAAGGCTGCCATAGCGCTGTGAGGTGTGATGAGAATGAGGATAATGTGCACTGAAACAAGCCCCTGATGGGGTATGCACAGTGGAAGTTGGAACGCACCACACACACACACACACATACTCTCTCTCTCTCTCTCTCTCTCTCTCTCTTCTCTAGATGCGATGGAGAGAGACCGCCCACCAGCCTTGCAATTGAAACTACTAGCAAGGGTCGTCGTGGTCGTCTAAAATTGGGGGGTTGGGGGGGGAGGGGTTCATTATCTGATGATGCCTTATGAACTCATCTACTTGATGACATTTACGGGTGCCACTCTCGTACGAGAAGTCCCAAGGTCCATATGAACGCAACTATCGAAAACCCCGACCACCCGTGGCCCTGGGCCGTAAATGCCGGGATACTGCTCGTAATACCACCCAAACTAAACCACCCGTACCTATAATCTGTACGGTGTCATGCATGAGACTCCGTAGCCCGTATTATTGCTCGGCAAACTCGCGGTCGTAACCCCCCAGCCCCGGTACGGTTGGTTCGTCGTTCCTCTATCGGACCCTACTGCCGCGCAAGAGCTGATCGTCATCGTGCACAGAGAGAGAGGGAGGGAGGGAGAGCTTGAGGGAGGGAGCTTGGGGGAGAGAGAGAGAGAGAGTACAGGTACAGTGTGCAGGTAGTGCTGATGCTAGACTAGCACCCTGATTGTCGGACAGAGAGGATGGATGCATCAGCAGCGTCATGTACATGTACAGAGTAGGGGATGCAGACTACTCGTACAGGTAATACATTCCTCAACATCCTTTCTTGGCGCGCAGGGAGGAGAGGCAGGCTTTACCTGTCACCGTCACTGATCAGCCAGTCTACGGTAATTACTCCGTCTCTACGACCGACTGACTGTATTGATGCTGGACACAGTACAGATTACAGATTACGGATTGGAGGTATCCACGATGATATATATCATGTAGCAGTAGTACTGCGGGAGTACGGATGCTGATATCAGTACATGGAAGCAATGCGCCTGGAGAGGATACACATCAAGTTGCATTTTCCAGCTGTAGCCCATGGTCAGCCTTGTCTCGCGCGCCATCTGATACCTGTTGTTGTATCCGTACCGTATCCTGTCGCTGCTCGACTGTACTTGACTACGGGGAGTACGAGTACATCTTTCCCATCTCACGTCTTATTGCCTCCATACGAGCATACCCATGCAGATTGCAGATTACATACTCGTACATCATAACTCGTAATACTCTTCTTACCAGTGCATCGGAATCCTCCTTTACCCGTAATGGATATTACGTATTGACTGTATTAGACTGTATTAGTAATACTTTCCTTTATGAGTGTCATGCTGTCGCTTTGTTTTGAGAGGGGGGGGGAGGGGGGGAGGGGGCCTATATACTATATATATATATATATCATGTATATAATATATGCTTGTATATATATATATATATATATATATCCCTTCCCTCTATAACTCTTCTGCAGAGCATGTAGAGATTACAGAGTAAGTACTCGGTCTATACAGTATCTAAATATATACCGTGTAATCCCTTCTCTCCCGAATCCCAACATGCACCAAAGAGGGGTCGAGAAGGGTCATGGGAAACAAAGACCACGCAGGGTGACAATGCGACCCCCAAGGGCCCTAGCAGCCACATGTCGCTACTGTAAGACGTACATATGAACCCCTCCCACCATGGTCCACCACGGTATATATCATGATTATCGCCTACTCATACCCTAGTGTTGGTCGATCCATCCAAGACACACAGGAGAGAGAGAGAGAGAGAGGTAGAGGGAAGAATACCCCCAAGACAGATATCGCCATACCGTTCCCGCCTCTCCTCTTCTCCTCTTTCTTTTTTTTTCCCTTCCTCTCTTTCTTTGTTTTGCCATGCCCGATATCGTAGCGATCAGCACGGTTATCTCTTCTTCCTCCCTCACTGCATCCCGGCTCACCGCGATTGACATGCCTTCACCGCATTCCTGGAATGTAACGAGAGTAGGAGAACCCGAGATGTACATACGCACATATGGATGTATACGTACGTGTATGCTGACATGTTGCGCGCTGATGTGTATGCTGGCAATCGATACTACCATACAATGCTCTACTATACTGATTGTCATTCGAGCCTCGTCGTCACCCATCTGGCATCTACTACTGCAGCACGATATTCTGGCCGGGTAATGACAACACCCTACAGATCAGAATCCCCAAAGGAATTCTGAACATGATGAGATAATCGTAAACGCTGAAGGAAGAAGTAGAAGAAGGAGATACACCATTCGAGCGCAGTCGCATCTCTCCAACCCCTGCCTCCGACGTACGAGCACACAAAGAAACCACCGGGTGGGTCATTGTCCTGTCATGTGCGTCTTTTTGACGATGCAGCATTTCTAACCCATTCTATTGAATGGATGGAACCTTCTCTCTCGCTCGCTCTCTTCCTCTCTCCCTCTCCTTACATCCAAGCAGATCGTGTCTTTCTTAGTCTCCTTCTCTCGCTATCAATCCCTTCAGACATGCATACATATATGTATTACTTACATGACGGCCCAAGAGTGGATTGTCTTATGGGACAAACAAGAAAGAGCAGCAAATCGTGGGAAAGATGGAATGTCAACAAAAGCCATTACTACAAGTACACATTACCCGTACTCCTACTATCGGAGTATTGATGGCTGACACCGTTGTGGCGCTCTCTGCGGCAATAGTTGTAGAATCAAAACACGTTTTACGAAGCAGGTCCGCTTTCAAACTCATAGTGTCTGTTAACCAGTGTCGCTCGTACCATACTTCCAAGCTTTTTGGCTTGTTTTTAAATTCTTGGCCCACCGCCCCTAATCAATTAGACCGGCGGAGGAGCAAAGAGGAGGAGCGGTGGTCCAATGTACGCAGTCCCCGTTTCCGTATACAACATGTACGAGTACGGGTCTTTTTTTCTTCATCTTTTTTTTTTCTCTCTTACCCGCCCCCCCCCCCCCCCCCCCCCTCTCTCTCTCTCTCTCTCTTTCTGTTTCTTTCGCCCCGAGACATCCAGAATACATCTATATTCTTAAAGTAATACTCGACCATGGTGGATCTCCCACCGGGAGAGAGTGGGTATATATGTATGACGGGGGTTCGAGTGGTGATGTGGCTTACAAAAGTATGGCTGGCTATATGTGCGTATGTTCGGAGCGTCTTTCTTTCGAACCCGTCTCAGGACTACGGTCTACGGATTACAAGTACTCGTATATTCGCGTGTAGGGCCTATAATAATCCCCACCGAGCAGCGTGCCCCTCCTTCTCGGGTCATTTCTAGATCCCGTCCTGGTAGTAGTACAACTACTATGACTCCGTACCCGTAGACCCCAAAGCACCTGGTCTCCATCTCTCTCTCTCTCTCCCGTCGACGGGGGATCGGGCGACAAGAGGTAAAAGGATCCCTCGCACCGAACATGTCTCGACAGACCACATTCCGAGAGAGAGAGAGACAGCTTTCTGTCTACAGACGTCGAGCAGCATCAGACGGTGAGCCGTACGGGTTGTTGATGGTATTCACGGGTCTTGTCCGTCCAAGCTGGTTGAGGTCAAGGACGTGCTATAGGCTGTCTTCTACACGCACCTTTCCCAGTCTTGGCAGTCGGCCAAGTCTCGCCGCTCTTTTACGACTATGTACGATTACAGGTAAGAGTAACTCGTACGCATTGCATTGTGCCGTCTGACTGAACTCCTGCTTCACACACCCTGGTCTCTCCGTACTCGTACTTGTACATATCAGCTGATTGAGAGGGGGGGGGGTGAGAAGCCATGTGAGCTCACCAGCAGCGCCTTGTCTTACTTCTCATATGTCTCCATAGATAAAGATGCAAACATGCAGTAATACTGCTCGTACGAATGGGAAATTTTGGTCGATGGAGATAACGTGGACACAAAAGCAAGACGACGGACGGTATAAAGATGGGGAAAAAAGGCACGAGATTTCGAAATTTCGAGAGAAAAAAAAAAGACTGTTACCCTAGCTTCATGCACCATTGCCCGTGAATTGCGGTACAGAGGTGTTTGGTAATAGTAGGGTAGAAGAAGAATTACTCTTGGCACGATAGATTTCCTTCAGCAAGAAGAGCACTGGAAAGAGAAGCCCATTGCTGTACACACTAATGCCGTTGCAAAGAAGATTGAGAGGAGAGCAACCACACAGAATATGGAGAAAGAGAAGAAGAAAAAAGTCTACGGATATGCATCACTCGGACTTGCCTTCTGTGAACCCGTTCCCCCCCCTCCCCTCCGTGCAGTGTGTGACATTGTCTCTTGGGCTGGTTCCGCCTTGTTGACAATTCCTTGTGAGGTCACAAGAGGAACACGGCTCTGAACCCTCTCTCTCACGGCCTGGAGAGACAGCCACGAGAGAGAGGGTCGTGATGCCAGAGCAACGTTGAGGGGGGAGGTGAAAGTGTCACGCCGAGGAATGTCCAGAGGACGGTTGTCACGGTGGGTTGTGCAACACAGATGGGATTGCGTGTGAGACGCGCCTATTGCATCAATTCCACCTGCATCTTCCAGTGCCGATGTTTTGTCGATGCTGGAAGGAGAAAGATTTGCGTTGTCTTGTTGGTGGAGGGAAGAAAGAGAAGAGGAAGAGGAAAAGATCCTTTTTTTTTTCAGTCAAGGAATGTTGTGTACCGCGGGACAGAGATTTATTGTGGAGGTGCTGTTTATGTAACCATCAAGTTTATGTAATCATCAACGGCGTTACGGAGTCGTACTGAATGTGTGTACAGTCTACTCGTACTTCGTACCGTACGCTATTATTTGTTATCAGCGTTGGCTCGGGTAGGGAAACGGTCTTGGCAAGCTCGAGGGAAAAAAAGTTCGCTGTTGGTTTTGGTTTGTGCCTCGGAACTGGCCATTGTTAGGAGAGACCCGACTCCCTCTGGTGTCGAGGTTGAAAAGGCCTGGTACGTTTTGGCTATTGTATCGGATTCCTTTCCTTTCTACCCCCCCCTCCGCTAGTCAACATCATGACGTCAAATTTGGCTTTCGACTACCCTAGGCCAGAATCCGTCGTGTTGGCGGCGCACCATGACATTTCTCATTGTCTACTCGTCTATCATTTCAGAGAAATCAATGTTAGGGGAAGTGAGGTATTCCGTTTTCATCTTTGGAGTCATGGGAGATAAGAGTGTTCAGAGGGAGAGAGAGAGAAGGTTGGTGAAGTCATCAACACTTAGCATGAGCATACCAATACTATATCATCAGTCTATCACCACGACCACATCAGCTATCACCGTACTCGTACTCGTACTCCATGCGGGTCCCACGGCCGGAAATGGGCAGATCAACACAACAAATCTCCGGATCCCCAACTGGCAACCAAAAGGGTAAAGGGTAAATCAAAATGGGTTGTGTGGGGACCAGGATTGACCGAATGAGGTCATGGCTTTCTCTTTTTTTTTTTTTCCCTTTCTCTTTGGGGAGAGGGAGGAAGAAAGAAGAGGGAAAGAAAAGATGAAATCGAAGCTCGCTCCGCCATGGACAAGCCTCATCAGCCACACCATGTACGGATACCTGCGCCTAGCAAGTAGATGAAGTGACAAGTGCATGCACAGGATTGTCGAACCGCCAAGGTGCGAGTAGTGCGAAACGCTGTGATACGTACGAGGTATACGAGAGGCAGTGCGGACATTCGGCATGATCGTACCCTCTGACAATGGCGTGTCTCGAGGAGTCGAAGGGGGGGGGCCGCAGTTGGCCCTGTGCAGCACCTTCCGCAAGGCTTGGCGGGACAATCGTGTTGGTCAGAGTGTGGCTGGGCAGTGAGCCAAGCCAGGCTTTTATTCCATGAGCCACATTTTCGATGCAGCAATCATCCGGATGGATTTTCTGATTACGTGTATTTGCATTTGCAAAGTCACATCATCACATATACTCGACCTTGCAGCTGCTGTGCGTACGTACATATGTACTCGTAATGTCGGGAGAGGAAGAGCAAGTTTAGCTCACACGGTTAGGTCAAACGATGATCGTCGGCTCACTTGGCAACGTACCACAAATAAACATGGACAGGACGACGACTGACGCTGGGGAAGAGAGAGAGAGAGAGAGAGAGAGAGCCCCCCCCCCCCCTGGACCTTTGGGTGCTTTGAATCCGAGCTCCCATCACTGGCCGCACGCTTTGGCCGCCCATTGGAGGAGGCCCAACCACACGGGCGATGATGACTCTAGTAATCCGCCGTAAACGTGGGATGGGTACTACGGAGTACTCGTCGTACTCATCGCGGCGGCAATACAGCAGAGATAATCATGCAAGTCAGGAAATGAAATTGCTACGTCGTACGGGTACCGTGGACGCGCCTCCCTCTCCCCCCTCTCTCCCCTCTCGCTTCCTTTCATTTCCCCCCTCCAGAAGATGACGGCCACGTCAATGTTTGGAAACAATTGAGAGAAGGGGAGTTGCATCTGTTAATTAATAAACCATAAACCAACCTCTCGGCTACTCCACTCTACCCTTGAACGTTGCGCGCGCGCGCCAGGCTTCGACAACCCCCTCCATCCTCGTCACTGATTCCAGGACCCGTGTTATCACAGCAGGGTTTGTGCGTCTACCAGTAAGCTTAACCTAGCTGCGCCGCTACCCTCCTGTAGCTCTCCTCATCATCGTCGCAAGAAACAATCAATCATATACCCCCCCTCTGCCACCCTCCACACCCGATCGAGCTTCTTGCTCTCTCTCTCTCTCTCTCTCTCCCTCCCTCTTTTGCGGTGTGCCAACGACCCTTGCAGGTTGGAGACGAGAAATAGAACCGAACCCCGATGGCGACCAACAGCGGAACAGAAGTACCCAACCCTGGGGAAGAAAACTACGGGAACCCATACGCGTCGCACAACAAGTGGCGCCACCAGGAATCGACCGCCTTCTCCGAGTATGCTTCGTACCGCCAGGGAGAGGCGCGGGCTGGCAGCGCCGACGGCAACGGCACGACGAGCGACCTGGCCAATTTCATAAACAAATCGTCGCGCGTCGAGCCGCCGCGGACGAGCGACGGCCGCCCGGCCACCAACGGCCGTTACCGGCCCATCATGGTGGCGGCCGGACGCAGTGAGGGTGGCCAGCCCCCGGTGCCGGCACCCGAGGACGGACGCGCCTCCTCCGCCGACGGGCGCAAGATCGTGTGCGGCCCGCTGCTCAACTACCGCCGCATGGAGCGCGGCGCGTGGCACGGCAGCGTGCTGGTGGTGGTCGAGGGCGGCGGCGAGCGGGTGCTCTTCGAACCGTCGTTGATCCTGCGCCGCGTCGGCGCCGTGGGCCAGCTCCGCCCGTCGGCCGAGAGCCGGGCCGCGGGGGCGGCGGACGACGAGGCGGGCGGGGCGCGCTTCCCAGCCCAGCGGCTGTACTCTGACCCGCGCAACACCTTCTGGTCCTTCGACGTGGACGTGCCCGTCGAGGCCGACGAGGTCAAGTACGACTACTTCCTGCCCGAGATGAGCTTCTCGTCCGACCACAAGCCGCGCGTCAACTCCTTCTTCGTGCCGGCCGAGGACGAGTCCATGCGCATCATGTTCCACTCCTGCAACGGTTTCAGCGTCGGCACTGACGAGGACGCCTGGAGCGGCGCCTGCCTCTGGAACGACGTCATGCGCAAGCACGCCGTCAGGCCCTACCACGTCATGCTCGGCGGCGGCGACCAGATCTACAACGACGGCATCCGCGTCAACGGCCCGCTGCGCCCCTGGACAGACATCGCCAACCCGCACAAGCGTCGCGAGTACCCCTTCAACTCTGCCATGCGCGCAGACTGCGACGACTACTACCTCAGGAACTATATCCGCTGGTACAACACCGAGCCCTTCTCGAGCGCCAATGGCCAGATCCCCCAGGTCAACATCTGGGATGACCACGATGTACGTTTTGGCATCCTCCCCACCCCGAACAGGATCGACAGACAGGGGACTGACTAGCAATGACATGCAGATCATCGACGGCTTCGGCTCTTACAATGACCACTTTATGCGCTGCGACGTCTTTCGCGGTATCGGCGGCGTTGCTCACAAGTACTACATGCTTTTCCAGCACCATCTCCCCCCGCCACCGTCGACTTACACATCCGGTAGGTATTCTCCGCAACTCCCTGAAGAAGAAAAGAAAAGAAAAGAGGCAAAAAAAAAAGAAAAAAAAAAGACATCCTGATAGTGGCTGACGATCCGTAGACGAAGCTTCGGCAGGGGCACACACCCAAGGCTACGACCCCAAACAGCAGATCAACACGTTCGTCGCCCCGCCAAGGGATGATCCCATGTACATCATCGGTCCTAAGCCAGGTCCGTACGTGGCTGAGCGGTCGTACAACATCTTTACCCGGCTGGGAGCGCGCATGGCTCTTGTCGGGCTTGACGCTCGTGTCGAGGTGAGCTGACGCGTCTCCCTCCCTCTCCCTCTCCTGATATCGTCTACACGGAGAGCGTGTCGCGGGGTGATGGGAGGAAGAAAGCTGACGAGGAACAGCGCACACGACACCAGATCAACTACCCGGAGACGTACGACCTCGTCTTCAACCGACTACGCCAGGAGCTCGGCGCCGCCCGGGGAACCGACAAGGAAGTCAAGCACCTCATTGTGCTGCTGGGTATCCCCATTGCGTACCCGGTATGTCGAGAAATAAACAAGACGAAGAAGGAGAAGAAACATACTGCCCATCCCCCGGAGCATGTGACTGACACGACATAGCGTCTGACGTGGTTGGAAAACATCCTGAGGAGCCCCCTGATCGGCCCCGTCAAGTTCATGGGCAAGCGGTTCGGCGTGGGGGGCGGCCTGTTCAACCAGTTTGACGGCTCGGTCGACCTCCTGGACGACCTGGACGACCACTACACGGCCAAGATACACAAGGTGGAGCGCGCACACCTGGTGGAGATGCTGCAGGCGATCGCGGCTGAGTTCTCAGCGCGCGTGACCATCCTGGGCGGCGACGTGCACCTGTCGGCCATCGGGCGGTTCTACTCGAACCCCAAGCTCAAGATCCCGGTGGAGGAGGACCCGCGGTACGTGACCAACGTCGTGTCGTCGGCCATCGTCAACAAGCCCCCGCCGCAGGCCGTGGCCAATCTGCTGGCGCGCCGCAACAAGATCCACCACCTCAACGCCCACACGGACGAGACTCTCCTCGACTTCTTCGACCGGGACCCGGGTCCGACGGAGAGGACGGCCAGCTCGAACCACTGCACCATGCCGAGCCGCAACTTTGCCAGTCTGACGGAGAACTCGCCCAACAACCAGCCTTCCCTGACGGTCAATGCCAACGGCAACGGCAATGCCAACGGCAACGGCAACGGCAATGCCAACGGCCACGTCAACGGTACTGGGCGCGGCGCCACCAGTGGAAACCTCAGCGCCACGGCTCCCAACGGAAGCGAAGTGGCTACGGATGGCGACGGCAACAGCAACAGCAACAGCAGGGATGACTCCTTCCTCGGCCGCGACGGCCACTCGTTCCTCCACAGCGGAGAGGTCGGATCGGGGACCAGGCACAAGGCCGCGTCGCAGGAGACGCACGGCTTCGGAAACGACGGCAGCCTAGACGTCCGCGTCAATGTCGAGATTGACCAGAGCGACCGAGATGGACACACGATGGGGTACGGCATGACGGTGCCGCTGCTGTGGTACAAGCCCAGGGGTGGCACGGGTGTCAGCGCCGGTTCCGGTGCCCGTGCCAGTCCCGTGCCCCCTCCTTCGTCCTCGTCGGCCGCGGCCTCGGCGCCGCATTAGGGATACCGTCACGCCGGAAAGTCGACGAGGCGAGTCTGAGTCTGAGCTTGGGTCCGAGATGGAGGAGTTGACCTGCTGTAGTCTCTCTTGTCTTGATCGGCGTCGTCAAGCTTCGCGATGCTTCCGATGGAGGGTGATGAGAATCCCTTGGCTCTGAAAAAGCCATGTTTGACCCTGAGGGGATGATGCTGGGTGTGTGTGTGTGTGTGTGTTTTCCTTGATTTACCCGTGATACCACAAGGACAAAGAAAAAGTTTCTCCTTCATCTTCTCCTACATGTCATTACTTTGGATTTTCTTTCTTTTCAGTATATGATTTTCTACCCCTCTTCAATTGAATCATCTTGAAAGTAAAGTACAAAATGAAGGATATTGAATATAGAGTGAGGAAGATTGAATACAAAAGGAAGAGGAAACAGAACCACCCCCCCCCATCTTTCCTCTTGAATGCACCCAATTGCATAACTTTGGTTGACAATCGCATACTTGCATACTTACCATTACCGGGGAGATAGAAAAAAAGACGGCCCTTTCTTCTTTTCGGCATTCTCTCTATTGAAAGGAAACCCACATTTGATAGCGGCAAGACGCGGCTGGCAGAGCAGAGCAGCAACAGCCCCCCCGTCCCCGCCGGTATCGGTGTCCCCACTAATATTGCCTCCATGGTATCCGTAACCGATACACACCCGAGAGCAGCACACATATCAATGGTGTGTAGATGTGACGGTACCGAGATGGTTTTACTTGTCGATACTAGACTAGTAAGAGCCATCTACGAGTGGTATCTGCGAGCGGTATCTATCAGGTACGACTACTATACGGGTGAATATGTCAAATGCAGTCATCTCCCATGGTCCCCTCCCTACCGACCCCCGGCCACCACCCGAAGTACATCATCTATAATCTGTAGACCATCAGCTATCAACGATTGCCTACCTGCAGGCCGGATCCTATAGGCTAGCGCTAGTACGGGCTACGTGTACGGAGTACTCTGTACCTGTAGACAGACTTGTTGCCCCGCCCCCCGCAGCGGGCAGCTACATGTATTATCTGCCTCCGGATTTGAGCCGCGACAAACCGATGTTGGCTCCTGCCAGGGAAAGACGTCAGCTTCTAGAGAGGAGGGAAAACTAAGCTACGCCATACGCCATACATGAGACATCTTTTATCCTTCTCTTCCCTCTCCTTCTTCTTCATCTTTCTCCTTGATTCCCCCCCCAATTTTCTTCTTCGACAACTCTTCCTCTGCAGACCCCCCCTTCCACGCACACGCACACACATACAGACATACACGATGCAGTCCCTCACTGCTGCCAGGACTGGCCTCCGCCCCCAGAACCTCCTCAGGATTGCGGGGCAGAGGCAACACCGTCGGGGTGTGGCCAACCTTGCTACCTTCAAGACGCCCAAGGTCTTCAATGAGCCCAACGTGAGTTTCTGATCATGGCCGTCGGGAAGGAGGGGAAGAAGAATGGGAAGAAGAGGACGGATGGTGAAGGGGAACAGGAAAGCTGATAAAACAAACGCAGCACCACTATGCGAAGGGCAGCCAGCAGAGGGAGGGTCTCGACGCGGCGATTGAAAAGTACAAGAAGCTCCTCCCCCTCGAGGTGCCGATCGTGGTAGGCGGCGAGCAGATTAGGACGTCTGCCTTGTCGACGCAGAAGAACCCCTCGGATCACGCGTCGACCGTGGCCTCGTACCACACCGCCACGCCCGAGGATGTGAACCGGGCCATCGACGCTGCCCTGGCCGCACGCGAGTCGTGGGCGTCGCTGCCGTTTGCCGACCGCGCCGCCATCTTCCTCAAGGCCGCCGACCTGATCTCGACCAAGTACCGGTACGACATCATGGCCGCGACGATCCTGGGCCAGGGCAAGAACGCGTGGCAGGCCGAGATCGACGCCGCCGCCGAGACGATCGACTTCCTCCGCTTCAGCGTGGCCTTTGCCGAGGAGCTGTACGCGCAGCAGCCGGCGCAGAACTCACCCACGCTGTGGAACCGCCTCGAGTACCGCCCGCTCGAGGGCTTCGTCTACGCCGTCAGCCCCTTCAACTTCACCGCCATCGCGGGCAACCTGACGGCGGCCCCGGCCCTGATGGGCAACGTCGTCGTCTGGAAGCCCAGCGACTCGGCCGTTGCGTCCAACTGGCTGCTGTACCAGATCCTGCTCGAGGCCGGCCTCCCCAAGGACGTCATCCAGTTCGTGCCCGGCAACCCGGTCGAGGTCACCAGGGAGGTGCTCGCCCACCGCGAGTTCGCGGCCCTGCACTACACGGGCAGCACGGCCGTCTTCCGCAAGCTGTACGGCGCCATCGGCGAGGGCGTGGCCGAGGGCCGGTACCGCTCGTACCCGCGCATCGTCGGCGAGACGGGCGGCAAGAACTTCCACCTCGTCCACCCCTCGGCCGACCTGGACAACGCCGCCGTCCAGACGGTCCGCGGCGCCTTTGAGTACCAGGGCCAGAAGTGCAGCGCCACCTCGCGCCTGTACGTCGCCAGGTCGGTCTGGCCCGCCTTCAAGGAGAAGCTGGCGGCCGAGACCGAGGCTCTGTCGCAGGGCGACCCCTGGGACCACGCCAACTTCTCGGGACCCGTCATCCACGAGGCCTCCTTCGCCAAGCTGAGCGGCGCCATCGACGCCGCCAAGTCCGACCCGGAGCTCACCCTCGTGGCCGGCGGCTCCTACGACAGGTCCAGGGGCTACTTCGTCCGCCCCACCATCTACGAGACCTCCAACCCCGCCCACCCCTACCTTTCCACCGAGTTCTTCGGCCCCATCATCACCGCCTACGTCTACGACGACGCCGCCCCCAACGCCTTCGAGGACGCCTGCGACCTCATCGACCGGACCTCCGAGTACGGCCTCACCGGCGCCGTCTTCGCCCAGGACCGCTTCGCCCTGCGCACCGCGGAGGAGCGACTCCGCAACGCCGCCGGCAACTTCTACCTCAACTGCAAGAGCACCGGCGCCGTCGTCGGCCAGCAGGCCTTTGGCGGTGCCCGTGCCAGCGGAACAGACGACAAGGCCGGCAGCATCAACATCCTCACCCGCTTCGTCAACATCCGTGCCATCAAGGAGGAGTTTCTGCCCACCACCAAGGTTACCTACCCTAGCAACGAGGTCTAAGGGTCATCTATATCCCTCTTTCATTTGATTTTCCACAGCCATTCTCTTCTTCTCTTACATACACCACCGGCGTCTCTTCTTCTCTTTTCTTCTCCTTCTTTTCTCACGAGGGTATGCAGAATTGATCTGCATGGGGTAGATATCTGCCCTAGATACAAACTACATTTTTTTTTTCCGCAACCACTTTCTTCTACACAAAAAGACTCCTCGAAAAGAAAAACGAGATAGTACTGGTGTTTTGACCATATGAGTGACACGTGCTACGAAGCTGTAGATGACGGTAGATGTAGTGGCACGTATGTCTTGATTTAACTCGTAGGCACCGTACTGTCAAGAGATCAGCTAAGTCTGACCCAAGGGTCGAGGGACTTGCCCCCCCCCTTTTTTTTTTTCTTCTTTTTTTTTTTTTTTCTATTTTTCTATTTTCCTTTGAACAAAAATTGGAGTTCATTCCAAAGAAAAGTAGAGTTGTGAATCGGGTTCGCCGGTGCAGTTGTGGTGGTGGTGTGGGTTGACCTATTCAGTTCGGAGCAAACGAACATCACATTGTCTCTCCCCTCCCCCCACCAAGATCTTCCTCATCAACAAAATCGAGACAAAATAGATGGATAGATTGAGACGAATATACATATCTATATATATATCCAGAGAAAAGAAAAAAGCCTATGCGCCATTGGAAATATCCATGCCAACACCAAAGGCCGTCGTGGGAATGAGCACGTGAGGCGACAATCATGGTAACTTGGGGGTGACCAAGACGTCGACCCCAAGACCGGGGGACATGGGTCCTAGTAGATCGAATGGACCACATGGGCGGAGCGTACGTCGTGATTGGTCGGTTACTGAATAAGGCACGAGGAAGCACGCGACCATTTTCTCGATGATGCTTGGTCGATAGTGTCTGTATGAGTGTGTGTCTGTCTGCCTTGATTTTTTTTTTTTGCTAGCAAAACTGTTAGCATGAACCGATGTCTGTTAGTGACAAAGGGGAACATGCGAGGTGGTGGGAGGGGAAATGCACCGCCCTTTGTTCTTCTCCCCTCAGGGTCTGATAAACTGGTAGGTGCGGCCACACTCAGCGTCGTTCCTTCCCATCCCCCATGTGAACGACAGAGACCCCATGGTGGTAGATGTGGTACCCCCCCCCCCCCCCCCCCCCCCCCCCCCCCCCCCCCCCCCCCCTCTCATCACTTCTCTTATTCCTTTCATGTTCTCTCTCCTGGGTGTCGCTGTTCACGCATACTGAACGCCACCTTCACCATACTCAGCTGTCGTGGTAGTCTCGTCTCACCACATACACCACCACCACCACCACCACCACCACCACCTCTTCATCCGTCACGAGACGCTCCTCTACAACTACTCCATACGATGCCCCGCTCCAGCCTACCGCCCACGCCGGGATCCTCTGCGGATACCAAGGTCCAGGACGGAACCCAGGACCTCGCCTCGCTGCACATGACCTTTGAGCTGCCTCCCCCGGCCTACCAGAACCCTCCCGCTCCAGGTGCCTCATCGGCCTCCCCTTACCCCCTCCAGGCCGCCGAGACGGTCAAGTCCCGCCGTCGCTCCTCGACCATGGCCGGGGAGAGCAGCTTCTCCCTGCCTCCCCCGCCGACCCGCTCTCGCAAGATTGTCCAGATGAAGCCCCGCCAGCAGAACGTCTCGGAGCCTCTCTCCCCAACAACACCTGCCACCCCGGCCAAGGGTAAAGGTGGTACGGGTAAGGGGGCCGCCGGTTCTGGTGCCGGAAGTGTATCCAAGGTATCGACGGCCGCCGCCGCCTTGGCCGCTCAGGGACAGGCTGTCGATAATCAGCAGGGGAAGAAGAAGCAGCCTAGCTCTACGAGCGCTGCCGGCAGAAAGATTGCTCGCAAGACAGCCCACAGTCTCATCGAGAGGCGGAGGAGGAACAAGATGAATGAAGAGTTTGCTCTCCTCAAGAGCATGATCCCCGCTTGCACCGGTGAAATGCACAAGCTGGCTATTCTGCAGGTGTGCTGTCCTGTTATCCTTTTCATTAAGCCAGACGACTTACACATTTACCCCCCCCCCCCCCCCCCCTTGCCAGGCGTCGATAGAATATGTCCGATACCTCGAAGATTGCGTTACTCAGCTCAAGGACCAACACGAGAGCGTCAACGGACGAGCCCAGCTACCTTCGATCCGCGAGTTTCACCCCACGTTCCGCGATGACGACGAGACCGTCGCCGATGCCGACATGGATGATTCTGAGGCCGTCTCCCCCACATTCACTGCCCAATCCAACCGCAAAACACTAGCCCGCCACCCCTCGACATCGCCCGCCCTGCACGCAATGGGCGCCCACGGTCGCCAGAACTCGTACTCGTCGGCCTCGACAGACCATCAGCGCCACTACAGCTACAGCGCCGCCTCGGCTGGTCCGTCGCCTGCTCTCGGTCCCCAGTTCGGCGCCAGTCCCTATCCGGTGAGCAACGCCGGATCTGCCCTCACCAGCCCAGCCCTCAATCCCCAGCCCGATATGGACCAGGAAGCTACCGTCGCCCTGCTCATGCTAAATACGGATAGGAGGGGGTTCAATCCCGCTGATACCAGGAGGACCGTATCTGTGCGGGATCTGCTCACCTCGTGACGACCCCACTCTTTGCTACTTCTTCTCTCTTTCCTCGTTGTATCAGACGTATTGCTGGGGAAAACCGGTATATAGTGAGGAGAGTTAATCAGCCTCGGTAAGCGCGGTGTCTGGAGTCGGGGATAGGTGGAATCGATGACATTGCACCTTTGTTATCATTTGTCATGTATTATGATTCTTTTTTTCTCTTAATTTTGGATATTTCTCTTTATAGAAAAGAATATGTAAGATGGTGGATTGAAAAAAAGACCCAAAACGGAAGGAAAAGAAAAGAAAAGAGGAACCACTTCTCAGCGACTTGACTGTAGGAGATCGGACGGAGCTCACGTATGAATGAACTCATCATCCCCGGGGAGAGTCCACTAACCTGTCTCAACTCTGCAATGAAAGCAATCCTATCTAGAAATAGGGTAGAGTGAAGATGTAGATGCGCTGGGTGGTAAGCCAGTCGAAACCAAATCCAGGACGTCCCGGTCTCCAGAAATAAACGGCACTTGATCGTCCGATCTCGGCGGGTTTATATTACGACAGGATCGGGTGCGAATGGCAGCTGAAAGGAACGACTGGGCGAAGCTGCATAGCAGACCTACAAAGTGCTGTGCCACGGCATATGCCGCTCGCCGTTTCCAGCGCTGACTCGGAGCGGAATTCTGACCGTGCATGCTTGGGCTCTCGGATGAGACGATCAGATACCCCGCCTCGGCCCGGGGTGGCTAAGCATTGGAGGTTGCCAGTAAAGGGGGATTTTGTATTGTATAGATGTATACATGCATATATAGTCGCAGCTGGATCCTCTCGCCATTCCTTCCCCTTGTCCTTCTTCTTCTCCCTCCCCTTGGCAGGACCAGGACAGAGCTAATCAGAACAGACGAGATGTCTAAGCCTTGAGCCTCTCTGTTCCTGCCATATCATCATGGGCATCTTTCAGGAGGAAGCTATGAGGAGGTCAATATCGTCTCATAAAAGAAGGAGGGGAGGCAAGAGAAGAGGGAAATATATTTGAGGTCGAGTAGAAGGGCGAAAAAAAAAGGAGTAGGACATACTTGTACCAGAGTATAGTAGGTCCGATGGTAAGAAAGTGCCAGAGGCTGTGGGCGTCTAGGGAATCAAGCCAGGGCGGAAAATCGAACAGCTCCATGCTCATGGCAAACATGAGCCAGGCGACGGCGATACCGGGCCACATGGCCCACGAGCGACCGGAGGCGCGGTACCTGGCGACGCTGAACCAGCTCCACAGGAGGTTCTGCAGGATTCCGGCGACGACGTTGGCGGCCATGTTGTAGCCGTAGTCCCATGTGACGAGCTTGAGGTAGCCGACGTGGGCGGCGTAGAGGAGGGCGCAGAGCAGGGACCAGGCGCGCAGGACGGAGCGCCTGCGCGGGGTGGCGACGTCGAGGCGGAAGATGCGGACGGGCGTGTAGTACATGCCGTAGAAGACGGAGGCGCCGGCGGCGAGGTAGTCGAGCTCCTCGGTGAGGCGGAAGTCGCGCGTGTGGAAGATGGAGCTGAAGACCCACGACGCCATGCCGACGTAGGCAAAGGCCACGTAGAAGGGCAACAGGGAATAGGTGCTGGGGATGTTGGCGCGCAGCTTGGACAGGCCGTCGACGTGCGCCGCCAGGTTGCCCAGCGAGAAGAGGACGGACAGCGGCTCCTGCATCCCCAGGAAGCGCCGGAAGGGCCACTTGCCGTGGAACTGGACGACGGGCTGGCCGGCCGACACGCGCCCGGCCGTGACGATGTGCTGGCATGTGTAGTCGCATTCGCTTGGGCAGTCCCAAAATAGGAGACGATGGAGAAGGGCTTTTTATTCATTGTTATCATCATTCTTCTTCTTGACTTTTTATTTATTTTTATTTTATACCGGAAAGCGTCTGTAATGGGACCCAGAGAGAGAGAGAGGAGAGAGGAGAGAGAGAGAGGAGAGAGGAGAGAGAGAGAGAGAGAAGGAAGGAAGGAGAGAAGAACATGTACGTACGAATATGCGTCTGAGGTCTGTTGGGATCACAATTCTCACCGCGACAGACGGCTAGACATTGCTGAAACTCGGGGAGTCGGTCGCCGATTGACGCCCTGGCGACGCCGGCGCATAGAACCGTCAGGGTGAGCGTGATGGCCCAGAAGCTCCTCCTTGTGATTGCCATGACGACGGCATTCAAAATCACAGTTTTACGGCGGCTGCGTGGGATGGGACGAAGGAGAGAGAAGGGTGGATGGAACGGTCGGGCGCGACGAGAGAGGAAAGGAGAGAGAGAGAGAGAGAGAAGTGTGTGGTTCCAAGATAGGGTTGCCTTTTCAAGCTTCAACACAACACACCGCTGCCCAGTGCGACGCACAGATTACATGTGTAGCCAATAATTATTAGAGTAAGCAATCAATCTCACTCTCTGTCCATCTTTTCTCTCCGGTCTCGATTATCTGGCAACACATCGGCTTGACTCCTGTCTGTGTTATTACTTGGTAGTCGGGAGACGCCAAGAGA